GATTTGATTTGATTATTATTTCAAGCTAAGGGTTTCGAATTCTCTTTCTCACGCAAGTAATATCTCTCTCAACTTGTCCGCTTTGGTTCGAGTGGTGTTGTTGCAAGGAGTTTGTTGTCGAATGTTTCAAACACTTCGATGCTCATTCTATCAAAAGGCTCACACATTCGGTGCGTTGTTACCTTTGCGTCTACAGCCGAACTTCAGATTGTTAAATTTGCATTTGTTACAATTTCAGTCCCAGCTATAGGATAAGATGGATTGGGTATGATATAAGGCCGATTCATACAAACTGTAGGCCTATTCTCAACCCTATCTATCCTCCTCCCTCTCCTTCATAGATTTTAGTGGATTAAATGTAGTGTTTGCTCCTATCCATGTTTTGTGCGTAATGTGTTTTGCTCTAATAGCAACAGTACTTCTAGCCATTTTGGCATTGTTGTCTTTGGTTTGGAACACCTTCTCTTTCGATGGAGATTAAGCGACGATTAATATAAATTTTAGTTTGTTTAAAAAGAACAATTGAATCGATAAATTAAATTGTCGTTCATGAAACGAGAGTCCAAGTCTTATGTGATAGAGCTTAGAAGTAGAATCAGCTCTGGCAACAATGAAATGCCATACCCTAAGATTTTACAGAGAGAATCGAAGACGAAGAAGATTACACAAATTGATACTTTTCTGGTTCTATCTTCACAGCTGATCTTTTTCTCTCCTTTATACGCCTCTCCTCGATCTAAGTATTCTTTTCTTTCAGGCCAATAAAGTTCTCCCACGTGTCTAGCACCTTGTTTCCTTCTCACGTGCCACTCTTCTTATCTCCTTTCCTGTATCATAAAAGGAGATGTGGAGAAGATGAAACGATTTTTTTTTCATTTTAAGTTTTGATAAAACTACAGTATATTGGTAACCATTATATTAGTCTTTATACTATCGACAAAAGGGGGATATGTCGTCGTGATTGAAGTCCTTAATTCAGAGAATGACGAAATATCCGTATGTGTTAATCTATCTCTCCAGTTGTAGGAAAAAAAAGCATATATAGGATCCTTTGCACAAAGGCCGAATCATATAAACTGTTAGCTCATGAAAATAAAGCCCATTCTCAAACCTATCTAGCCTCCCCATATATATATAAATATATACGGGACAAAAAGGTTTCCTCCGTCAGGAATTTCGAAACCCTAACCATCGTATTCGATTTCGAGATCCAACTTATTTCACAGGTAAATTTCTCGCTCCTGTTCTCACTGTCTCCTTTGAAAATACATCGGAAACGATTCCGGCCGTGTTCCAATCTCTCTGTCAATCTGAATAGTGCGGTTTTATTTGAAGGGTCGTCTCGTGAATGATGGATCAGGCTACGGAGGAGGAGGCTAGGGCTGCAACAACGGTCTTTTGGGACATCATGAAGTGTCCGGTTCCCGATGGCTTAAATCCTGGTCTGGTCCTTCCGTGTATTAGGCGGTTTTTGGATAGGAATGGCTACCGTGGTCCTCTCACCGTCACTGCCTTTGGCAAACTATCCGACGTACCTACTGAGATCCTGAGACAAGTCTATTCCAGTGGAATCTCTCTTTCCATCGTCACCCCCTGTTAGTATCTTTTCTCATCCTTAATTATTCCTTTCTTCTAATATAGTTGATCTTATGTCTCATGCCTTTAGATTTATCAAACAGGTCACTTAGACATTTCAGACCTCGTAGATACAAATCCAACTCCAGCTAATTTTATGGCCATATCTGCCAAAGACGCCTACCCTGGTTTTTTTAGGGTTCTAAAAATGTTTGGCTATAACCCTCTCGAGCCGTTTCCATTTTATTCTTTTGACAGCTTAGGTATGTGTTTGTTCTCTCTCACTGTCTTCTTTGATGAAAGAACCCACAAATGTATCTGTATCAACTGCCTATATATTTTTCCCACAGATTTAAACGCACTTGAGGAGAAAACAGGGGAATCTGCCTTGTGGGATTGCTTTGTATGCGCCCGTGATCCTCCTCAACAAAGCTTTGATAATCTCATCGCTCATCTATCTTGTGAAGAACATCTTCGAAACTTTCATCGCTCCATGGTAATCATCCTAGCATTGTATCAATACATTTTCTCATTGCCACTACTAGTCACTTCCTTGTTTTGACTCCATGGTCATTTGTCCTTCAAGGAAATGGAGGCTAGGAATACTGCGCCTCCTCTTCCAGTTGACACTGTCAAGGTGAGGATGCCACCAAATTCTTGTTTTAATTTCTAAAATTTTAGCTTTGTTTGCTTAATTCTGACCCCATGTTGTTTTTTCTCCACTGGAGGTGAATTCGCCGGTCAAAAAAAGTCTGAAGCTGACAAACGTTCTACCACCTGATAATAGATTATGCTGGGAGGATGTAAAGAGGACTCATGACACAATTGTCGTTTGGGACATCAATACGTGTCCAGTTCCCCCTGGTTTTGATGCTAGGATGGTCAGTCTGCACATCAGACATTTCTTGTTTAAAAAAGGCTACTTTGGTCATGTCAAAATCATTGCCATTGGCGTTCTAACAGACGTTCCTGAAGACATTCTGGGAAAAGTCTATATCACTGGAATCGGTCTTCATAATGTCCCATACGGTTAATATCTTCTCATCCTTAGTCCTTTCTACAATAATGGATGTTTTCCTTGAATAGAGTCTCAAATCTTTAGTTTCTTAAACAGGTCCCTCAGACACTGTGGAGTTCGTTTCTGAGCTTTTCAATAATAGTGGTCCTCTACTTAACGTAATGGTCATATCCAATGCCAAAATCTTTGCTTATCCTGCAACCTATCTACCAGGGAGATGCAACCTTGTGCAGCATTTTCCCTATGATTCTCTTCAATGGTTTTTTCGGCCAGGTATGTGTTTGTCCTCACTTGCATTGTTTTCTAAATAACATGCTGTTCACCTGACTACTTTTATTTTTTTCCATAGACTCAGGGGCACTTGAGGAGGCTCAGAGCAGTCCACCTGGTGAACTTGCCAGTTTCTTCTGCTCAGTATGCAATTACCGTAGTGCTCCTAATACAGACTTTCTTTGTATCACCAAGCATCTCTCTGGTACATACCATCAACAGAAGGTAATCATTGTTTTGTTTTGAGTCAAACGAATTGAGAAACCTCTTACCTCAAGTAGTTTACCATTCTGTCTTCTTCTAGTTTTGTTTGTCCAAAATTGTACCCCATGTTGTCTTTAATTTCCTGGCAGGTAAGCAACTCCAATGCTTAAGCTCACCTCTAACTGAGCCTCATGAGAAAGACTTCGGAGCTGTAACATCGGTCTTTTGAAGGCTTTTTCCGGGCAGGTGTGTTTGTCCTCTCTAACGGTGTTGTTGCAAGAAACAGCAATACCGGCTACAATCTTTTGGTCAACTAACTGGCAATTTTTATATATTTTTCCACAGATTCGGGAGCACTTGAGGAGGATAAGTGCAGTGAAACGAGTGAATCTGCCTTCTGGATTTGCTCGGTATGCTCCGACAATCATCATGGCCAAGGGTTTGAAAATTTTACCACTCATGTTACTAGTTGGCCACACAAGCGGAAGGTAGTCAAGCATCCTAGCCAAACCTGATGGACTTGTATTAATACATTTTGTGGTTGCTCACAGTCTGTTTTGTTTGCCTAATTTTGACCTTTCTGCCTTTGTTTTCTTAAGCAGTTGTTGGACTGGTTGCTCACAGTCTGTTTTGTTTGCCTAATTTTGACCTTTCTGCCTTTGTTTTCTTAAGCAGTTGTTGGACTGGTTGCCTGCGAATGCTCGGTTTCTTCTAAGGGAGTGTGGTCCAAACCATGGTATCCAAGGCAAGCTATATTGTATCTGATAACGTTCAGATTTCTCTAATCATAAAGGATTCTGGGGTTTTCTTACTGAAACTTAAAAATATTGTAGCGAAAGTGAATGAAGTGTGGACGTGAAGAAGAAGAAGATAGAAGAAAAAGAACTGAAGAAGGCCCATGGTGGGTGTTTTTTAACCAAGAAAACTTGCGTTTATTTACAAGTCCTTTGTTGTTTTGTTTTCAATTAACTAAAAGGGAATAGCAACTCAACCTATGGACCAAAAAAAGAAAATGGTGGTTGGTTTTAGTGTTACATACTCTTTTATATTAGATGTTTTGCTTCACTCTGAAGTAGTAAATTATTAGTTGCATTTTCATTTCACAATAAAAGTAGGAGAAAGAAGGACCCGAGAGCGACACAAAAAATCAAAAGATTGATTTTCTAAAGATGCAATAATTTATTGGCCTTTGTTCACAGAATATTCAAAAAAGCAAAAAAGAGGACTCGAAGAGCACAATAAAGTCTATATCGCAAGCATTGTTTCATTTAAAATTGAACAATTTGATCGGATATATTATTATTAGACTAGAAATGTAAGTAGTTACAGTGTATTACTGTAAACTGTAATGGTAACGAACTAAAATATTATTTGTTAAAAAAAAAAAAAGGTTAACTTATAAAACGACGTCGTATAACAAAACCCTTGTTAGTTAAACCCTTCCGCCGCGAACTTCACCCCTCTCTTTCGCTTCCTTCTTTCTTCATCGTGAAAAAAAAAATCGGTGGGAGAGAGAGATGGCGAGGTCGAGAAGAAAGTATAGGAACTCTAGGGCTAAAGTTCGCGTAGCTCTTCCCAAGAAAAACCCTAATATCTTCAAGCCAGCTTTCAATCTCCCTCCCAAGCTCCGCGCTCTCATGGCGGACGATGTCCCCGAATGGGACGACCAAGCTAGCGTTATTCAGAACTACAGATCCTTCGGCGTCATCTCTAACCCTAATTTGCTTCGATCTCGCACCGACCATATGATCCAGGATGCTTCCCTCAACGTTCCTCCACCTCCGGAACCATCCACCGATGATCCTACTGCTAAGGAGTTCGAGCCCATCGATTCCGGAAGCGAACTCGAGGAAGACGGTACGTTTCGATTCGATTTTAGAATAGACTAGCTGCAGACTAGTCTCTTGTTGAAAATCGCTATTGAGAAAATTTGAAATTTAGGGTTTAGAGTGACAAATTTGGGGGAAAGTTACTATGCCTACGAACATCATTCTCTCTACGTGCTTGTGTAAAGTTTACAACATTAGTTTACAAAACATTCAGCTAATCATCAACATATAGTTATGCCATTGTTGGAAGACTTGCACAAGCTTATATGCAACTGGTAGTAAGCAAGAATCTGCTTCACTAGCTTTTGGATATTTTTCACCTTGATAGATATATCTACCTGGTTGTTAAAAGCAGATTGTTTTGGTAATTAATTGTCCAAATTGCTTTGTTCTGAGATGTGTAGACCTTAAGACAGCTTTGGGGAAGCAAAGAAAAGATGGAAAGAGTGCTCCTTTACAGCCGCTCACGACTATGCAACGCACACATATAAGACGTTTGGTGGAGAAACATGGAGATGACTTTGAGGTTTGGATCTATTAGCTATAACTGATTTTACCATTTTATTTGGTTTTCCTCTGTGTGATTCTTATTCTAACTTCTTTTTTGTTTGAACAGGGCATGTACCGAGACAGAAAGCTAAACTCTATGCAGCATTCTATTGGGACACTACGAAAGCTATGCACAAGATATCAGATTTACAAAGATAAGAACCCGATTTTAGTTCCATGATGATATGATCATCGTGATATAAAATCTTTGTATTATCTGTCATTTTTGTTATAATTTGCAACAACACTACAACTGTTATCAAGTTCCTTTTAATCTAAAATCTCGTTTTTCAAGAATTTGATTCAGTTGGGAAGTTCCTTTTATTCTATCAAAATCATATGCAAACTAATAATATAGAGAAACGCTGCAAAGAGTTTTCAAATTTTCACTAACCGTCAACCTCCACTGTGCAAATAAACACATACTCACAGAGGAAAACAAATCACGATTAACATCTAGTCTTAGAAGAGCTTTATCAAAACGAAGAATCTCCAAAGTATTTCTCACTTGAGAAATCACATATATAGCAAGTCATATTATATTCCAGTGAAGCTTCGGCATTGGTAATCCCAGTACTCCTTTGCCTGCTGTAACCTTTCTGCTCTCTCTGTTTTACGCCGTTCTTCCCAATTCTCTCTGCAGCTGCAATTATGATGGTTTAGAAATTTAGTTTTCTCCACAGATACTTTCAAAACTTAAAGAGGCAGGTTTCAAAGACTATAATAAGATTGGTTGTATATGCATATATTTACCTTCGCTTAAGTAAGATATTGAGCTCATCCAGATGCACAGCACCTTTATAAACCCCATCCTGATATCAAATGGACGAAAAACAAGGATTAAGACTTAAAGAGCATGAAACAAAGAGCATGAAGTTTAGTAGATTAGCTCTGGAGAATGTGTCTAACCTCACGGCAAAGCGGACATTTTTCAGTTAGCTCTGCGGTTTTCAAGCCATCAATTACGTTTACTGATGCAGCAGAGCAAGCACACATGTAGCAATATATGTGACCGCATGTTAGAGATATCGGATCAAACACCGTGTCCTGTTTTTCGCCATCAAGTGTAATTCAGTAAGTCGAAGATTTATTCAAAGTATTACATTAAGAAAGAAGATCACACATGCTAGAAAAAAGACTTAGTCTTTGAAACGGAATTCTACAAGAGGAGAGTGGAATAGCACCTTGACACGACAAAACTAAGACTTTATCCCTATAGGCTGATAATATATCTTGTAAATTCCAGATTACTAATAAGTCAACTAACAGTTATTTGACATTGAGATTCTTTGGAGTCATGTTAAGTTGCTTACCAGGCATATTGAACAAGTCAAGTCAATGTCAACTTTTACGGAATCAGAGAGCTCGCAGGAGAGTAAAGGCTTCCCATCATTGAACGTCAAAGAGCAGCCATCAAACAATGCATGAACAGGAGTAGGAGAAGCCACAGCAGTTTTAGATCCCTTCTGAGATTCTTTCAGATTGATGTGAAACGCCATAAGCTCACAGAGCCATGGTGATTGCAGGATTTCGATTCGCATCTTCTGGACTTGTGTCTTAAACAATTGTCCTTGCCTAGACTCATGAATCTGCAGGACAAAGATGCAGAACATATATTGAATAACAAGAGTTCAAATTTGGGATCTTTAATGGATACAAGCGGGTGTTAAGAGTAGAATATACCTTATCATATTTCTTGAGGATTTTTCTAATGGCGACGGCATTGATGAGAGCGTAATTAACCAAGTCTTTGCCTTCTTGGATCAAACCAAGATGATCCTTTTTTCGAGTATTGCCTTTGAACCAAGTGAGACACTTTGAGAAACCAGAAGCTAAATGTAGCTCAAGAAGCTTCTGAGCATTCTCGTTAAACCATCCAACGACGTCTTCCATCTCCTTGAGAAGCTCCGGGAAAAAAGTTCCATCACAAACTAGGAAACACAAATCCACCAAAATCAAAAACACACTCTCTCTCTATATGTATATATATATATATCTGGTAATTCAAAATCTCAAGAAGTGCACAGGGGAATTATGTCGAACAGTACCTGGGCATCCACGAGGACAATTGTGCTGATCAATTACTTGAGTAAAAGCCATCCTCGAGGAAGAAGAAGAAGGGACGACATGGTTTCTTCTGCATCTCTTGAGAATCTTCTTGAGCTTCTTAAAGCCAACGCCAGGAAGATTCTTCTTCTCCTTCTGCCCTTGCATGTACTCTTCATACTTCTTACAAAACTTCATCTTTTCTCACAACGCAGAATCACTTTTTAAAGGATATAAATTTTAGATGACCATCAACAACAGAGAAAGGATACGATTCTTCTTAGATGACCATCAACAAAATTGAGCACTCAATTGATCAAGATAACAAATCAAAAGGGTTACAAATTTTGTTGTCTCGTCGCTCTTATCTCTTCTCTCTCTATATATTGCGTCTCGTGTTGGCTTTATCATATGTATGTATGTATATGGAACACCCAAGAAAAAAAACAGAACAGAGACGTATTTATGAATAAACGAAGAAGGATGTGACTGGTGAGGTCGGCGGAAATAAACAACTTGTGAAAACAAAAATAAGAGAAAGCAACCAAAAGAAAAAAAGTCAAAACGTTATTTATTTTTATGGGGAACAAATCTAAGTTGGTTTTACATAAAAGGCGAAGTCTTTTGTGTTATGGAAATATATTTACTATAATTAAGTGCAAAACAAAAAAAGATTTGACCAATTGATAGATTCATTTATTTCAGTGACTTGTTTATTTTTATTTGACATTTAAGGCAGACTCGTTAGTAAAAAGATTTGTTTATAAAAATTTTAATGAGCATATTTGTTGTACATCACCCCACTTAATGCCGCGTGGATGCTTATGTCTGAGTTTTTATCTTTATCCCATTGGTTGAATGAATATATTTTAGATTAGTAGAACTGAAATATATTTTATCATTTAGGAAAGATCATTTGCTGGAAATATCTTAGATTAGTGTCATATATTATTAAAAGCACAAAGAAAATTTACCTTATGGGGATTCTTGTTGTTAATTAGTAAAAAAAAACAGTGAAAATTTTACTTCCATGCATGGTGGAAGAAGTTGATGGAAAAAAATATAATCCATGATATGTAGTTTAAGATAATATATATAATTATAATGATTTTTTCAACAAAACAAAAAGATAAAGATGCCACCACAAATGGACCCTTTTTGGGATTTTTTTTCTTTGTGGGGTCAAAATTATAAACTTTTAGAAATAGTAAGCAAGAATACAATACAGTTTCTTTTCTTCTTATAAGTTTATATGTATTTGGATTTCGCCACCAAAACCTAGCTTTTATCAATTTCACGCCGCCACTTTTGTTTATTTTTAGCTTTACGACCCTTTGTTACTGACAATATGATTTTGGCACTAAAACATATTTCTTCACCAATCACCCCCACTGTCTTCTTTTGTCACTACTTGATTAATTAATTATATACAACTTTGTTTTGCTTCGGATTTTTATTTTCAAGTTTAATTTAACTAACACTCTACGTAGTTTTATTCCCTAAAAGAATGTGATTCTTTTATATCTTACACAAAACATAATTAGAGCTAGGGCCTAGGGATATGCTCTTTTGCTTTTCAAAAAAAAAAATGTGTCGACGAAGATGCTCATCAATCAAGTTGCAAAGAAAATTTAACTTCAAACTTTAATTTACTTTATCTTTATTTCAATGCTGTAATAGTGTGATGCATGCATCTACTTAAACCCTTGCTTTAGCTTTTATTTTGTTTTTCAAAAGCCTAAGCTATACAAATTGTATTGTTACTTGATAATGAGGTAATGTGATTGACATATAATGTCATGATTTTTCATCTGGCTCTGGTTTGAACGTTTCTATTCATTACACTATTTACTCTCTTTTAAAAAAATTAAAGTTACAAAATATCAATTGACAAACAAAAAAAATCTCCAAGATAAAGTGGCACACCCATTCATTTGTCTGCTCAAGTGGTCATTTGTTTTATTCAATTCCACTGGCTGTAATCATTTCTAGCCCCAGTGGCCAGTGGGAGAATTGAAGTTTTCAAAAGTTAAAACAAAAAATACAAGTTAGTCAAGGATTTTGGTATTACACGGTTAGCAACATATGCATACAATCATATCGTAAATTCCAATTAAAAATATTCCTACAATGTGTAATAAACAAGTTAAATACATTTGAATGCCTAAGCTTTACTGTTTGACAAGAAAGCAATCGTCTCTTGCGTAATTGAAATGCAAAAGACACTTAAAGAATAAAAAGTTATTAGTATGGCTTTTATACGAATGTGTCATGTCTTTGCTTCGTACGCGATATCTAGGTCAAACACGCCAATTCCAGCTCTTATGTTAATCCCATAGATCGATTTTTAGTATAGAAATAATAAAGAATTGTCATGACCAATGAACTTGGAATTGTATTGAACTAATCCATCCTCTTCGATCAAAGTAACTATATAACAACACCTATTTTTAACATATATTGGTTATATATGTATATTGATTGATTGATTAGGCTATATGAAATCGAATGATCAAGATGAAGCATGCGATGGCTGGTGCAGTGTTCCCATGAGCAAGGAAGAGTACCAGTGAGCAGAGAGTTTAGGGATCCTCTTGAGATAAGGATCCTTGAAGTCCACGTAATATAATCCATAGCTCTTCTCGAACCCACCAAATATCTCAAACACATCCATCAACGACCACTGAAAGTAGCCTTTTACGTTCGATCCTTTCCTGCTATGTGATCTTTTATACTTAGAATATGTCTGGCACAAATCATTGAGTGAAACTGTTCTACCCTTTTACTGTTACCTGAGTGAATGAAGCACTGCTTCAATGTATGAGCTCAGATACTCAATCCTCGTTGTGTCCTCAAGTGATGAGTTGTGAGAAGTCACCTGACCTGTAAATGAAAAATCAATCACCAGAGAGGGAGAGAGGTTTAAGCCACATGAAGTAGCAAACTAGCAAAAATCTGAGAGACAGAGAGAGAGAGAGAAAGACCATTCTCTAAGATGTAGACCGGAGGGTTTTCATAAGATTCTTTGATATGCAAAAGTATTTGTTGCAGACTCCATGGTGCGTTTGCATGCTGGAGGAAGTAAATCATCAAACATTAATCTTGTAGTCTCTTTTAAGTGATCACATATGAAATTGATATCTACATACAAAACCTCATTCTCGAGCGATGTGTTTCCAAACACTGCAACCGCAAATTGGAGAAACCAGAGTGAGCCATATATAACTAGATATTTATACTTTTTTCAGGATTTTAGCTTTAATTTTTTCAGACTGTATGATTCATATAATCTATGTAACTTACCGGTCAGTTCCGCGGCCGTGTCTGTGATCAAATCCTGAGGATTTGGTTTCAGAGAGGAAGAGTTGTCCTTGACGTAAACTGCCAAGTAATTTATCACTCCTACGAAATCAAACGCGCCCTTAACTTGTTCTGACTCCTCCTTTGTAAAAACTGGCAATCTTGACCCAACGTTGGTCCTCATCGTCTCAGGATAATCCCCAAACACCAGCGGATGTAATATCCTTTCGAAAACCGAATCAATTAAGAAACTCAACAATCAAAATATATGTTAACATCCATAAATTGGAATCTTAACTTTTAGACATACCAACCAATGTAGAAGTCATTCACTCTAGCTGTTGCCTGCTTATCCTCCACAGAGTCAGTTAAAGGGACAGTACCGTACGCGTATACGCTAATGCCTACTGATCCATGTTGCTTGTACTGTGTAATGAATGAAGAGGAGATACTGGCTGAGCTAAAGACAATGCAATGCATACGAAAGACAGAAAATTTAAAAGCAGAGAGAAGAACCTTGTACTGTTTCTTGTATAAGTTTGTTGCAGAAGCGTGTGCAAGCAACAGATTGTGTACGACAATGTAAGGTTCAATTGAAGAGTTTCCATGGGAACAATTGGATCCAAATGGAGGAGAGCATCGAGCAGGCGGTGATACACCCTGGTCATACCCTCCAAGGGCAAACACATTGGCCTCATTTATAGTAGTCCAGTGTAACACTCTATCTCCAAACTCCTTAAAGCAAGTATCTGCATAAGCTGTGAAGTCTCTCCTACAACCATTACAAGAAGATTGATAACTCAGTTTGATATCACCAGTCAGAATATTCAATTAGATGAAAGGAGAAGAGTCATACACGCTTTCTTGGCTGAGCCAACCTCCATATTCATCTTCTAGGGTCTGTGGAAGATCAAAGTGGTGCAATGTAACGTGTGGCTGGATTCCTGCTTAGTCAAAAGCAATCATTAAAAAATATGAAAAGCTGATCCAAGAAGACTTAGCTTCGTAGGTATTATATATATAGCTAACTAAAAAGGCTCAGGCTACAAATCTAACCATGAGAGATCAATTCATCTATAAGATTGTTGTAGTATTGTAGACCCTTGGGATTAACTGGTTCTCTTCCACCTGAAATAAACTCCAAATATCTAAACTGTAAAGCTTTCATATTGAAAATGCTTCGATTAAATTCTCAATCAATATGTGGACAACCATACTTGGTAAAAGCCTTGACCATGATATGGAAAATCTGTAAGCCTCCAATCCTATGTCTGCCATGAGCTTCACATCTTCCTGCAACATCCAAGCAATGTTACTGTCTGAATTTGTTACTATATCAAATTTCCATCTGTCACACTGGACGAACAGAGACGGAGACAGAGAGATATGTTATAGTAAATACTCTAGATGAGAAAGTTTCGGGACCTTGTATTTGTGATACTGGTCACATGCAACATCTCCAGCTACTACTCCGGAGTGTCCTACAATGACAGTTGAGCTTATGAATACCATTCTTGGTTAAATTATGAGTCTATGAGCAAGCAAAGAAATCAAACCGGCATGAGCTAAAACATCCCAAATGCTAGGAGTTCGCCCGTCTTCGTTGGCAGCTCCTTCCACCTGTTGTAAATCATGTGAACTAAACACTCTTTTATAACATGTCGCAGCAATGATTCAGGAAAAGGTTTTAAAGAACCTGAAAAGCTGATGTGCCAGAGCCAAAGACAAAGTCTGGAGGGAAGTCATGTCTACTGTATTGGAGGGACGAGACTGCTGCAAAAGCCAACGCCAGGAGAGGAAGGAGCATGAGACTGTTGTTCAACATTTTCATCTTTCTCTCTGGTTTTGTCAATAATTAAGCAAGCAAATACAATTATGAACGGTGATCAACCCATGTGGTATTATATATCTATTTAAGGTGGAGAAATTTAATTGAAACACGAAAGTTCCATTGTCTGTCTCTACGTTGGGACCAGTCTTTTTGACAAGTTTGATGAAGAAGTGTTCAAGTTCAAAACGTCGACCAATAAAAGGAAGATACGAAGCAACATTAGCTTTCAAAATGCCACTGTTTGATTCCTTCGCGTTAGTCTCTTTGTTCGGAGCCACACAATCACAGCAAACACTTAAATCCAGGGGGCGTTAATTCCTCTGCAAGGAGCCGTCTCCAGAATTCACTGGTCCCTAAAGGTCCAGCTACACAGACGTCGTTAATTTATTAAAAGGATAAATCGGAAGAAGAATATTAGAGGATATCTTCGATAAAAACATCATTCAACAAAGTAATGGATCCTGAACATGTTTTAAGGCAAGAAGAATATTACAAAACATCACTCCCAAAACTTGTCTCACTCTGCTTCAGTAACTAATAAGCGTTAAGATATGATCCACTTCAAAAATAAGCAGATTTTTTGCCCCAAGCAAGAAAGATGCTTCTCTTCTCTGTTTCTTTACCTGGATATCTCACATTTTACCTGCCAACAAGAGCTCAGGTTTAGATTTACACACTAGGCATCAAAATTAGATTAGCTATATTCATTTCTAAGATAGAATATGCACCTCGATGGACTCCTTGTGTTCATAGGGCTCTTGGCTGGGCTTGGCTTGCTCGGGCTCTTGCTTGCTTCCTTCTGAACCTGCGATACAGAAAGTTATTAAGATAACAAACAATGTAAAACAGAACTAATGTCATATTAAACGAGGGGTTAAAATTTGGATCTTGTTACTCACAGGAGGTAGAGGAGATTTTGATCTTGATCTTGATCTTGAACGAGATCTGCAAAAGTCCAAAATAATATACCCAGATTCAAAAATCCAAACACTTTATTCTGTTAGGTAACGTTCACTATGGTCCTTGATGCCTCTTCTATCTTATAGAGATCAAGAAATTGAACCCAAACAAAAAAGTAACTTAAACCAATCAACACCCCTACTTAGGGTAAAACAAAGAAGATTATTCAAAACCATGTGGCATAACAATTTTTTGTAGCAAAATGTGCCATGGACGTCCCAAGAGAACCGAGATTCCATATTGTCATCATCCATCGTGCCAATTTAGTTTTACTGAAATCCCGATATAATATTGTGATCCAATGTCTCCATTGTTATTCATCTAGCAGCAACGGAAATTAGTGAATACTACTATACTAGATAAGAAAGCCAGATAAAACAAAGTCTCTAATCCAAATTTTCCCATACCTCTGAGTCGAAACACTTGTGAACAACCAAGAATTTCCATCCAGATATTAATTTCCATTTTCTAGTCGATTGTATGTAAATCCATATCTATGAAACAAAACCATATTCTACTCAGGAAAGCAAACATCAGACTAAAACTGCAAGGTTAATCTCGAAATCTCAACCAGAAATGGGGTATAAACATTTATATATAGGGATGGAGTAGGAAGGACAATAATGGCTACCGTCTCAAAACATTACATGCTCAATCAACAAGGAACTTTGGAGTCATCAACAATGACTTTTCAAATCAGATTTTTTATTAACTTCACAGGAAAAATCTACTGAATAAGAAATGTAACCTGATGCAATTTGAAAAAGGGATAACAAACATTACCTTCTTGGAGACAGTGACCTTGACTTCGAGCGGGGACCAGGAGATCTCGAGGTAGATTTTGCAGGCGACCTACGTGAAGACTTTGCCTTTGGACTCCTGCTCCTACTCCTGCTTCGGCTCAAGCTCCGCCCACGGCTGCGGCTGCGACTCCTAGAATAGGATCTTCCCCGGCTAGGGCTCCTAGAATCCTTCCTCGAATCATATTCTCTAACCTAAATAGATACAGAAAACTGAATTTAAAACGCAAAAATGAAAAGATCACAATTCACAGGAAACTCAGCTTTCAACGAACCCGAACATATCCATGCGAAAACGCGTTTCGAAACTCTGTGTCATCGAGCTTTTTCACCTGGGGAAATTGAAGAATAAGAAAAAATTAGTAATTAAGGAGTACTACAACAAAGTCTAAACCACAGAACAGCAACAGGGAATATATCTCACCGCATACTTCATGTCCTCATAGCAGGTGTAATCCACAACTCCAGTTGTACCTACAAATATGATTGTCCAAGACTTAATTCTTTCAACTAGATTTAGAGGCACAAGATTATATGCGGACACTTACCTCTACCATCACGGTACACTTGTGAGAAACAGACATCCCCTCCTTTGCGCATGTGATCCTACAGGAAAGTGATTCGTGTTGTAATTCAGAAACCTTTGAAGATATAAGGGAAAATGAGAAGTTCATTATCCACCAGTGTGTACTCACCTTAAGATCTTGCCAAGAAGCAGATGAAGGCAAGCCTGTCACCAGAACTATGGTGGGAAAAAAAAAAATTAGAGACTATTCCTACAACTTTGGACCAAATAATGCTAATTCCAAGATTGCTTACCACGAAACTCTGATCTCCTAGATGGCCCACGACTACCACCATCGCCACGGCCATCACCGCGGCCACGACCACCACCACGGCCACCACCATTGAAACCACCCCGGGAATCATCTGATGAACGCCTCCCACCATGCGCTAATTCCACCTAAGAAAGGCCAACATTGATTCAGTTTGAAATTGATCAAATATCATGTTAAATTTACTTCAATGTGATTCAATACTAACCCGTAAACGGTGGCCATCAAAGTCATAGCCATCCCGACCATGGATAGCATCTTCAGCATCCCGAGCATCATCAAACTAGACAGGTTTTAAAAAGACAGATTAAAGCATTCATCCTCGAACCATCCCGAAAAGTAACACATAACTGGTTGGTAAGCTAACCTCAACGAAAGCATAGCCAGGAGGCCTTGGCGGGACCTTCAAATCAATTTGAACAACAGGTCCATACTGCAGCAGATGAAGAGAAAACGTTATGGAGACATCCTCAACAACGTTACAAGCCTAAGCACAAGATTGGGTGTGAGGAAAAAAAAAAACCGAGTCTTTACCTTACTGAACAAGTCTTCAACCTCTCTCTCGCGGATATCTCCAGGAAGGTTTCCAACATACACAGTCCTACTCGAACGGCTGCTCATTCTTCCTCTACCAAATCAAAACACAACTTCAAGACAAGATTCCGACAAGTACACACACACAAAAAAACAACATCAAAGGCACATAACCTAAGTGTAAGAAATCTGAAGCAGAGAAGGGGATATTCACCTGCTGGTCGATTTAGAGATCTCAGCCTCCGAATTTTGGGAATTAGGGTTTCAGAGCTGGCGGATAGGTTAATTACTAATAGTGATACCAGTGAAAAGAGCGAGTCACGTGCGACACGTGCAGTGACGTTGTCAAATTGTCAATAATCCAAAAAAAAAAACATCAAATTCCTTTTAAAAAAATACACAAAGGGAGCAACTTTAAATTCACACTAATCACACTATCATACATTCATCTTTCTCTTCCAAAATCTTGACAGCTTTCTGTTTTTTTGGCGTTTGAAAGATCCAATCTTTTTCCCACGATCAGGGTTTTGGCGGTTTAGTATTGCCTGCTGTTATATCTCCATTGATCAGAAATAGAAGAAGAAAAAAATAGTTCTTAAGCTTATTTATAAATGTCTCCGAAACATCTGGAATTGTCACAAAGCTCCGTCGAATCTTGCACCTTACATCTTCTCTCATGGCGGCCGTTTCAAACCGCATATTCGAAAATCCTGGATTCATCATCAGAGCCGCCACACAAACCGTATGACTCTCACTCCACTCCCAAACGCCCTTGTCTCTCCGACCGCTCCACCGCTTTCTCCATTGAAGCTTTTAGCCGCCTCTCCATAGCAGACGACGGCAATGGAGTGAAATCGAGTTACAAGAGAGGGAGAATCAGGCCTGTGGAGAGAAAACGGCGTCGTCGTGGGTCGAGATCGGTTTCTGGTCGAAGTAGTGATCGGAGCGGGACTCTTCGTTGCTGCTCTGTCAATGCTCAAGTGACCACTTGCTCTGAATTTCAATTCGCTGTTGGTGGTACTGATTCTAGTGGGGAGTTGTTCTGCGAAGCGAATTGGTCCTCCGATGTGAGTGAGGCGGCGCGAAATTCACGGAGAGATCGAGACTCAAGCGTTGGAGAGAAGGAAGGAGGATTCGGGTTAGGGTTTGGGATTGGGGTCGTTGAACCAATGGGTAACGATTCCGGTTACGGGAGCGAACCTGGTTACCGAGGGGATGCCGAAATCGGCTATGGTGATGAGGAAGAAGAAGATTCTAAGCCGTTGTTTTGGGGAGGTATTTATCTAAACCTCTCTTTTGTCTACAAGTAGTTACTGCAATTATGGGTCTCAGCTTTTGAAGTTCGTCTATGATCATTGATCGAGTTTGAAGATTTTGATTGATCCTAGAGTCTAAATTTGGAACCTTTATAGTTTAGACAAAGAGAAAGATGGTCTAATCTTGAATTTAACAGTGAGTTGTGGCTTTTGACCTCGCAATTTAACTGATCTGCATCTTTTGATCCGACTCGAGTGAAAATACTTTGAATTGTGTATTAGAAGATGGCTTGTTGGATAGGTACATTTGTCTATGACCAGATCAACTTGTGGAGATGCTTTGAAGACTATACAGTTTGAGTAATGTCATTTTCTCAGTTCACTTAAGTAATGTTTAGCTAAAAACTAGAAATTGTCAAAAAGTTGGTTTTAGGAAGATACTTACTTTCAAGGTATTTAGTTGCAAAGCCAAGCCACAAACTTGTTAGACCACTAACTAGTGTCTGTTTGAAATTGAAAGTGTTTGCCTTGAGATGGTATGTCTTTCCTCTGTGAGAAATATGAATTTGATGTTTGTTGTTTCTTAAGCAGATACAGAATCAAGCAAGGAGATTTGTGCTGGTGAGAAAAAATTCTCAGACAAAAAATCTCACTATAGATGCCGCCGAGGCAGAAGGAATGATTACAAAGCAGCTGTTGATTCCATGACTCATGACATCTCTTTACTTCATCTTCAACCTCATAGATTTGATCAAAACAATGCTGCTTCGTCAGGTGAGAGTGATGTTGATCCAGAGTGAGATGGGAAACTGCATTCAGAGTCTGCAAGCCTTGATAAGTTGTATATATATATATGTTCTCTTAATGTTTTGTATCCTAGAATAAACCAAGGTTCCATGTAGTTTCCTCCACGCCTCTTGTAAAATATGATTTTGTAAAGATACTAGACTACTAGTTGTTTGTTTTAATGTGAAGTGAAACCATAAAGTATTATATTATCAGATTTGGGTGTAGAGTTTAAGAACCGCTTATTGGGCCTAAATTAAACAAGTTATTAGCCCTATGATTGGGCCTGAGGTCCTTAACGGTAAACATAGCCTTAGGGTATTGTGGGTCGTGTACTCGTTTATATATATATTCAATCCCTAACCTCGCCGCGGGAAGAATTTCATCCTTTTAAGCCTCTGAGCGAGAGTTTCGTTTGAATCGAATCTGTGTGTGTAGGAAGATGACTCGAGGAGTAGCGGTGAAGTCGAGTGGAACTGGTGGTAAGAAGAAAGGAGTGTCGTTCGTGATTGACTGCTCCAAACCAGTTGAGGATACGATCATGGAGATCGCCACGCTTGAGAAGTTTCTTCAGGAACGTATCAAGGTCGGAGGTAAAGCCGGTGCTCTTGGCAACTCCGTTTCCATCATCCGAGACAAGGGAAAGATCACCGTCAGCGCAGATACCAACTGAGACAGAAAGTATAAATGAGTTAGTGTACTGATCTAGAAACTCTCCACAAGCTCGAAGATCAGATAGATAATAGACTAGAAGGATGATCAAGAGGAAGAAAGATCACCTTAGAGACTAGTATCAATGGTGGAAAGGGTTGATGACGATAGGAGACAAAAGAGAGAGAAGAAGATAATATTGCTTTCTTATTGAATGATGTAAAATGACAAGTTGCCTTCCATAGTACTCGTTCGTTTGGTCCACAAACCGGATCCAATGACGATTAACATTAAACCAGAACATTTTAATGAACCGGATTTAGCCATAAAGTAAATATAAGATAAGAGTAAGTATTTCCTATCACAATACTCCCCTCTTCAGCGCATCCTTGTCCTCAAGGATCAAAGGAAGGATACTTGTTGATGAAATCCTGGTAGAACTCCCAAGTTGCAGCCGCGGGTGTAGAGCCTTTCCACTGAACCAGAACTTTGGTGATAGCTTTGTTACGATACTTCACCATTTTTTTCTCTAAGATTGCCTCTGGTTCTTTGTCTGTGCCAATATCCAGCATGTACTGAGGCAACATTGGGGTAGTGGATGGATTGGGACAGAGCTTTAGTTGACTGACGTGGAACACATCATGAATGGCGGCGTGTGATGGCAGCTCTAGTTTGTAAGCGACTGCACCAACTTTGTCAATGACTTTGAAAGGGCCATAGTAACGTGGAGATAACTTGTGCGGCACATTGCTTGGTTTCAGAGAGTTTTGGCGGTAAGGCTGCAGCTTCAAGTACACAAAGTCTCCCAGTTTGAATGACCTGTCTGATCTACGAGAGTCTGCAGCTTGTTTCATTCTATTCTGGGCCCTGAGTAAATGAAATTTCAGCATTTGTATGACCTCTTCCCGCTTCTGTAAGCTACGGTCAACCACAGCGGATGGACTCTCTCCTGGCAGGTAAGGTAGATGTATAGGAGGAGGTTGACCATACACTACCTCAAATGGTGTTGTGCGGATAGATGAGTGGTAAGTTGTGTTGTACCACCATTCAGCAAGGGGGAGCCATTTACACCATGTTTTTGGTGCTTCAGCAGTCATACACCTGAGGTAAGTTTCCAGAGTTTTGTTCGTGATCTCCGTCTGACCGTCTGTTTGAGGGTGGTAAGAGGTGGAGAACTTGAGGTCAGTGCCGTGTACTCTGAACATTTCCCTCCAAATTTCACTGAGGAAGGTCGGATCCCTATCGCTGATCACATCTTTAGGCATGCCGTGGAGTTTGAAAACATGATCCATATAGAGTTGGGCTACGTCCAAGGCTGTGTATGGGTGAGACAAGGGCAGGAAGTGGGCGTTCTTGCTCAGCCTATCAATCACAACCAGTATACAATGTTTGCCTGAGGATGGGGGTAACCCTTCAACAAAATCCAGACTAATTGATTCCCAAACGCCTTTTGGAATTGGTAAGGGATTCAACAAACCAGGTTTTGCTGCATTATCATACTTGTTCCTTTGACAAACGTTGCAGTTGCGGACGTAGTTCTGAACCTCAAGACTCATTCTTGGCCAGTAGAATAGTGTCTTGACTCTGTGAAGTGTTGCGTCTCTACCGGAATGACCCCCCAAAGCAGAATCATGTAGCCATTTAAAGATCTTTGTCTTAACCTCAGCATCATTACCCACAACTAACTTTCCTTTGCGTCTTAATTCTCCATTGACAAATGTAAAAGCCGGGTGTGAAGAGGGTTTAGCTTGAATTTCAGAGATGATACCTTGCAGATGAACATCTGTTTGCCACAGCTGTTTGAGAGAGGCAAGAAGTTCATTATGGGCGTGAGACAGGACAATGTGCAACAGCTGAGCTCCTGTGACGCGCGAGAGAGCATCGGCTGCGTGGTTCTCTTTGCCTTGTTTGTACTGTATCTCATAAGTATAGCCCATCAGTTTAGACAACCACATATGTTGAAAAGGGGTAGTTACCTTCTGTTCCATGAGGAATTTCAAGCTTTTCTGGTCTGTGCGGATAATGAATGGACGATGCGCGAGGTAGGCATTCCAGATCTGGACGGCGTGCACAACAGCAAGCAATTCTTTTTCATAGACCGAGAGGTTCTGGTGACGGGGACCAAGGGCACGACTGATGTAACAGATAGGGTGACCTTCCTGCATCAACACTGCACCAATACCCAAATTAGAGGCATCAGTCTCAACAACAAAATCTTTATCAAAATTTGGCAAAGCTAGAACAGGAGAAGTGGAGAGGGCATTTTTCAGGTTCTGGAAGGCTGTGTCTGCATCGCTGTTCCATGAAAACCCATCTTTGCGCAGTAACAGTGTGAGTGCTCTGGCAATAATGCTGTAGCCCTTTATGAATCTCCTGTAGTAGTTAGCTAACCCAAGAAAGCTTCTAAGTTGTTTCTGGTTTGTAGGGGTTGGCCATTGTTCCACTGCACGGATTTTGCTAGGATCTGTGCTAACACCTTCAGCAGAAATGAAGTGTCCCAAATACTCGATCACAGTAGCCCCAAAAGTGCATTTAGATGGCTTTAAGTACAATTGATGGGCGCGGAGTATGAGGAAGACCTGTTGAAGGTGATGCAAGTGCAGTTCCCAAGTTGGACTGTAGATGAGGATGTCGTCGAAAAAGACAAGGAGGAATTTTCTAGTGACATCTTGAAAAATATTGTTCATCAGTCCTTGGAAAGTGCAGGGAGCATTAGTGAGGCCAAAAGGCATTACTAAATACTCATAGTGGCCAGAGTGTGTCTTGAAAGCAGTTTTGTAGATGTCCTCGGGTGACATACGGATTTGGTGGAAACCTGCGCGCAAATCCAGTTTGGAGAAGTATCTGGCACCACCAAGCTCATCTAATAAATCTTCCAGCAAAGGTATTGGATACTTATCTTTGATTGTTTGTTTGTTGAGCCCTCGGTAATCGACACAAAGGCGCCAAGTACCGTCTTTTTTCTTGACAAGCACAATAGGTGAGGCGTATGGACTTGTGCTGCATTGGATAATGCCTTGTGTGATCATTTCTTTCACCATTTTGTCAATGGTGTCTTTCTGTAGTGAAGAGTAGCGATAGGGTCGCAGGTTCACTGGTGTAGCATCAGCAGAGAGAGGTATCTTATGGTCAAAACCTTCTCTAAACGGAGGCAAACCAGCAGGTTCTTCAAAAATGTCGTGAAATGATGTCAGCAGGTATTGGAGGGAGGGATCATCAGCCATTGTTGCTTGGCGAGCAGAGATGTGAGACAGCAAGGCTTCGGGTTGTAGTGGGGTGTGATCCGAGGAGTCAGATATGATCTGAGCCTGAAGGAGAGCATTCTGAGGTGCGTGGAGCATAAGTTTGTTCAGGTTGCTTCCTGTAATCTCTGTGCAGCCAGCCTTGGTGCCTCGCAGCACATGCTTGATTCCATCCAGTTTGAATTCCATGCGTAGGTTCCGGAAATCCCAGAGAATTGGACCAAGGGAGACAAGCCATTGTACACCGAGCACAAGGTCATAGCAGTCAAGTGGTAGGGTCCGGATCTCTGTGGTGAAGTGGTAGCCCTGCATTTTCCATTTGAAGGCTGTACATTTGTGTTTGGTGATGAAAGAACCTCCAAGTGCTGCAGCTACTGTGATGGGTCGAGTTGGTTCGAGCAGACAGCCTATCTCGTTTGCTGTATCAAGGTTGAGAAAGGTATGTGTGCTGCCAGGGTCGACAAGAATAAGCAGCTTGCGTTTACCGTAAAGACCCGACATAACCATACATGTGAAATGTGATGATCCTTTGAGAGCATTAACTGAAATCACAGGACCGGGTTCACAAGTCTCCTCAGCTTGTGCTTCCAAGTGGTTAGTAGCCATCTCTTCTTCGTCAGAATACTCATCCTCATCTAATTCAACAACAAAGATTTGTGATTTCTTGTGTTTCAGGTGGTGGCCAGGTGAGTATGGTTCCTCACAGAACATACATAACCCTTTGGAGCGTCTCTCTTGCATTTCCTGGTAAGAGTATTTTCGTGGTGTTTTTTCAATGGGAGTTTTGGGAGGAAAGGTAGGTTTGTAAGATTGGTGTTTAGGATTTTCTGGGGAAGGGAGTAAGGGCGAAGTGTTTGGGTTTTTGTAGTAGGTGGGGTTGTTGTGTTTGGGGGTTGGGTTGAAGGGAGCTCGGGACTGTTTCGGTTGTGAGTGGGTGAGGTAGGCTTCGTGGAGAGATGCAAAACGAGCAGCCTCAGAAATGTTTGAGACGTCGAACTGTCGCACATGGAGAGCCAGCTGCGGGTTTAAGTTAGCGAGGAAAATGCTCAGTGTGTGTTGGTCTGGAAGGGCCAGCTTTGTCAACACCACTTCGAATTTCTCCAAGTAGGTTTCGACGGAATCATGACCTTGCTTGATGCGAACCAGATCAGAAAGCGGGTCCGTGTATGCCTCAGCAAATCGTTTAGACAATGCAAGGATGAAATCCGACCAGGAAGGGAACACGCCGTAGCGGGTGTTCATATAGTTGTGAAACCATTGAAGCGCTTTACCCTCCATGTAGATAGACGCTAACTGTACCTTCCCCTCGGGAGGAGTGTTGTCGAGCTGGAAGAACTGCTCGCAACGGTAGATCCAGTCACGTAGAGAAGTGCCATCAAAGGATGGAAAACCGACTTTTGTCAGGCGAGAGGAAAGGCCGTGAGGTGGGGGTTGTTGTTGTGAAGGTCGTTCTGTCACCAGCGGGCGTTTTCCAGTGGACCCAAGACCTTCGTTTGTCAGATCTGGTGGGACTGGTTGGCGTGGGAGCTGAGACGTTGCCGTCACACCGCCGGACTCAGTCATCTGTGTTTCGTCGTGGCTGGAAGACCCGACGTGCTGCTTTAAAGCTTTTGACAGCATAGATTCGAGAGAGGAGTGAGATTTAATCAGATCCGATTGTGAGCGTACCAGATCTGCAATCTGGTTTTTGATCTCGTCGGTTGACTGTTTTTGGTCCTCAATCTGTTTGCTCATGGTCTGAAAACGAGTAGCGTGAGCGTCAGCCATGGGAGCGCTGGTCTGAGGGTCTGAGGGCTCTGATACCAATGAGACAGAAAGTATAAATGAGTTAGTGTACTGATCTAGAAACTCTCCACAAGCTCGAAGATCAGATAGATAATAGACTAGAAGGATGATCAAGAGGAAGAAAGATCACCTTAGAGACTAGTATCAATGGTGGAAAGGGTTGATGACGATAGGAGACAAAAGAGAGAGAAGAAGATAATATTGCTTTCTTATTGAATGATGTAAAATGACAAGTTGCCTTCCATAGTACTCGTTCGTTTGGTCCACAAACCGGATCCAATGACGATTAACATTAAACCAGAACATTTTAATGAACCGGATTTAGCCATAAAGTAAATATAAGATAAGAGTAAGTATTTCCTATCACACCAACTTCTCTTTTCTTCTCCCTCACGTCTTTATGAACCCTAGATTGCTCTTAAACTGCAAAAATATATACTAGGTTTTCAATGGGTTTTTTTTATTTCTGGATATTTGAAATAAGGTACTTGAAGTATCTAACGAAGAAGTATTTGAAGAAGCACAACCTCCGTGATTGGCTACGAGTGATTGCATCCAACAAAGATAAAAATGTTTATGAGATACGTTACTTCAGGATTGCCGACGAGCCAGCTAGTGACGAAGAGGATTAAGCTCCATCTTTTTCATTCCTTTTTAGTTACACTTAGACTTTCTCTGAATATTTTTTCTGCTCAGAACGGACGACGTTAATTATATATATATATATATATAGTTTTTTGACGTTAATTATTTATTCCTAAAGAAAATTTTATGAGTGGCATTTGTGTTTTTTGGAATGATTTGATGGTTAAGAATATTGACACAAAAATGTATCTGACCCTAAAAGAAAGACTAATGGAATGGCCGACTATTTTTTGAGGCCGTGTTGGTTCGGCAGAATTGAGTGGTTTGCGACTCAAGTTACGAGTAGAAAATATCTAAATATTTGCTTTTATTTTTTATTGATCTTATTATCGCTAATAACATTAATTTCTTTTAACAATTATGTTTATCTATATACATATGCTAATTTTTATTTTTATATATTTACACTTTTGATGATGAGAACAAAAAAAAAAAATCAAGATCAGATATGTTTGTTTTTGGGTGAAAACAATAGGAGTATTTTGTCTATAATTAGATTTGTTAACTATGATTTAATTAATTTTAATCCATATAGTTACATAGCAAAACGGCTTGTAAAAAAAAGTAACAATTTTAATAACAAGTTACAAACTAAAGTTAGTTTCACTGTAAACCCTAAACCCAGTTAAATTTAAAAGAAATTAAAAAAAAACAATAACTTTGGGTGAAAGCCTAAATTGACGCAGCCTCTCTCTGCTCTTCTTCTTCTATAAAAACCCTCTTCTCTTCTCTATTTCTTCTCATCATACAAAGCATTCTGAAACCAGTTTAGAGAGCAAGAGAGGAGGATCAAGCTTCTTCGAGATCTCGTTAGTAATCTCTTCTTCTCTGCGGCTTCGGACAAGAACCTGTGAAACCTCTCTTTCTTTCTCTGTTCTTTTGTTTCCCTTCAAAACTCGTTAAACCCATAAACCACAATGGCTCGTTCTCTCTCCAACGCTAAGATCATCTCCGTCTTCGTTTCCGAAAAGCTCTCCAACGCCGTTTTCAGGTATAAACAAGCTCCTTCCATCTGAATGTATTGCTCTGTTTTCTACTCGCTATAACAAAACGGTGACGTATTTTGTGATCTATTCAGACGAGGGTTCGCCGTCGCAGCCAAAACGGCGTCAGATGGGAGCGTTTCGAGCGGTGGAAACGCTTCTCCCGCCGTGATGAAGAACAAAATTGTGGAAGCTTCAAGCGACAAGGCGCCATGGGTTCCAGACCCTAAAACCGGTTATTACAGACCAGAAACCGCTTCTGAAGAGATTGACCCGGCCGAGCTACGAGCTGTTCTCTTGAACAACAAGCAATAAATTAAATTTTAAAAACCGTTGTTGTTTTTGATTAATGCTATGTTTAATGAGGAGATCAAGGCAAATGGGTTATGATCCTTTGCGGTGAACCCGAATCTTTAATTCGTTGCCCTTTCTGTAATAATCGTATTGTTTGATCTATCATTTATATTATATGAAAAAAAATTAAACTTTTAAAGGTTTTCCATATACGAAGTTTTACTATGCCTCACAGTCAACAAAATAATTTATGAAGAAGTTATAATTTTGTTGGGTTTTAAGTTATAATGTGTTGTCATGATGGTCTAATAGAGTTTAAGTTTTCCTTTGTATGAAATAGCATAAAGCGTCTCAACTCAACATCCAAGAGAGTTACATAAAAAACAGAAAAAGGAAAATCATGTGTTTGGTAAAAAATAGTAAGAGATTAGAAGAACACCTATTTAAAACGTCTATCATCTTTCGACTAATAGCACCACGACCAATATGTCAAATTTGGGAAACTTTAAATATATTTTTGACCATATTTTTTCATTCATTCTTAGACTTTTAAATGTGATATTGGAAACCTAAACTTCAAAAGTTCTGGCGTAAAATGATGTATGAACGATCGTTAATTCAATAGTATTTAGAAAGAAAAAAAAAAAAAAAATGTCAATCTTTAGGTTTTTTTTTTTTCTCACACAAACAAATCAAAGCCATTAAAGCCATAGACAATGCGACCACACGTGGCAAGTCATGTTGTAGTGGGGGAAATGTTGATCATAGAAACATATAAGTAAACGATTAAAACAGGCAATAGAGAAAATAAGAAGCAGAGAAGCTCTTAAACTTGTGAGCCTCAGAAAATTAGCTTTAGGGTATGAAGACCACATAACTTCCGTGTTAATGGTTGAGATTTGAGAAGAAGTGGCTCATACTAAATCCCAAAGGCCACCATGCAAAAATCAAAGACATAAAGAAAAGTTTTGTAGCCTCACATTCTTAACTAAACAGCGACCCTTAAGCTAAATATCGGTGTATTTTGTTTCAGCACGATCCAGATCTTTATTTGACAAAAGCAAATACATGTTTTGCCAATTTCCCAATGAATCTAAATTGTATCTCCTTTGAGAAACAAACATGACACCGCAACAACAACAAAAGAGCTATCTTCCTGTTTCTCCATCTTCAAAATACTGATTAGAACAACCAGAATTTGAGCTTATACGAAAGATTTTCCGACGATTGTAAATTTGTTACCGAGTTTACATTTAAACTTGTGCTCATGTTCAAGTTTGATCCAGGTACCTTCAGTTAAGGATATTGTCGACTCTATTAAAGATTGTACCTTCACTAGGCTACATTCCTCTCCAAAGAACTCTATTGTGATATATCTGACACTAAGAACCAAAGATCTAATAGACATTCGTAGGATGCAACACACAAACCATTGATAAATTAAATGATTGAAGAAAGAACAATAACGCTTCAAGCAAGAGTTAAGATTCTGCAATAAAAGGCTAAACCTTTAAACCGAAGAAACAAAAGGGTTTCTTCCCAAGTTCTCCTTAATCGATTTACAATCAAACCCACATCCACACTGTGGCGACTCGTAAAACTCATCGATCGCGAAGTTCGCCGATGTAATCCCGACGGAGAACTCGAGTTCGTCACCATTCCTGATAACCTCGACGATGTTGAGCCACAAGAATAGAACTTTGACCTTCACGCCGGTGAGCTTGGTGAGCTTGTTCTGTGATATGTAGCCAGAGATTGTTGATTTGTAATCCAATTGGTACGATCCTTGAAGAGCGAAACTGCACGAGTTGTTGAAATACGCGTGAAATTTGCCAGTGGATTTATCTAGATCATATGATACGACACCTTTAGGAAGGATCCCCACTGGAAAATTGTAGCTTTGGAGGAGAGTGTACGCCGTCGGCAAATCGTCATCTGTAGCGGCGGCGATGAATGGCGAATGAAGGCAGAGAAAGAAGAGGAACGAGACGACTGAAATCGGAAGCAGAGTCATGTCAATGAAAACCCAAATTTTGAAAGTCCGTAGCAACAACAGTGATTTGGGTTTTAGGTTTATCCCGTTTGGATTTCGTTTTCCGTCACTTTCTCGGTAACAATTTTCTCTGGGGAAGACGTGAGAGCCTTTTGTAGCTATCTGAATCATAATTCAAGCGACCATTTACACGACACCGTTTCACTTAACTACTGGACACGTGTCACCTGTGAGCACATGAGGTGTTTTTTGGATTTTGTAAGAATATTATCAAAGTCTTTTTTGTCGTTTTGTTAACAAAATTAGCAAAAATATATATATATATCTTAGCAAGTTTTTTTTATGGAAAGCAAGGTAGCTGATTAACCAACAAAACCTAATTATTTATTTTACAACTCATGTGGTTGTGTTTATTTCAGTGAAACATAATCTTTTTGTTTCTCTTTAAACAACTGCGTCGTTTATTAATTTTGTTATGCATATTAGCTTTGAGGCCATCTTCTCTTTATTTTATTTGATGAAAAGAAAAACAGCTTTAAGACCCATTGGGCTTCAAGAGGAAGAAAAGAGCCCATTATAACAATTATACCCACAACCACACTGTGGGCTGTCCACGAAATACTTCGCCGAGAACTCCTCGGAAGCAATACCAACGGAGAACTCGACATCGTCTCCGTCACGAGAAACCTCGGAGATGTTGAGCCAGAAGAAAAGCACTTTGACGCTTACCCCCATCAACCTCATGATCCGTCCTCTTGTTATGATGCCGGAGATTGTGGGTCTGTATTTGACCTTGTACGACTCTATAGGGAACTGACACGTGCTATTGAAATGGACTTTGAATACGCCGGTTTTTCGGTTTAGCTCGTAGGCTCGGACCCCTTCTGGTAGTATTCCTCGTGGTAAGGTATAGTTTTGGAGAACCTCGTACACACTTGGCTTTTTCTGGCCGTTGACGGATAAAGAAGTAGAGAGAAAGATGATGGAGAATATCAAAATGGACATTGTGTCTTCTTCACTTAGTTTTTTCTTAATCTCTGTGGTTTTGCTTTGGGTTTGTGTCTCATCTAATTATCGTTAAACTTGTTTTGAATGTGCTTAATTATAGTAGTCGGCTTTGGGAAGTCTTTGTGTGTTTACTGTTTAGATTGAAGAAGTAGTTGTGTTCTTTCTTTTTTTTTTTTTTTTGTCATCTTAGAAGTAGTTGTGTTCAGGGACGTTGTGATCTGACTGTGAATGGGAAAATAAACGGCCAAGATTTGATCGGGCTAATAGTCACGTGTTATAGTTTGAGCAAAAACGACGTTGTTATTTATGCTAAACAATTTCATTAAATTCGTATTTTGTTTTCAAAAAAATGTTAACAGTTACATTACCTTGGCATTGAGCTTGGTTTTCGGCTAGAAACACTATCAAATAAAAATAATACAGTTTCTTCAAATTAAATTAATAGGAGAAAGTAATTGAGAGCAAAATCACAAATTACTATGAGATTAAACCGCTGGTGTAAGGCACTCCGGTCTTCCAAATCCAATCATCTTCAAGGAATAGACCGGTAATCGTGAAATTAGCTGCCTCAGTCGAATTAATCACGTGATAACCAGGCCATGTAACCCGGTTTGTAGTGTTTGAACCCGGTCCGGTATTGTTATACTCTGCATAATACAAAGTACTTAACGCGAAATCGCCGTTCCATTCTCTCCAGCCAACCGGTTCAAGGAACCCGTCTATGTACGATTGCATGTAAACCGTTCTCGAATACTCTTTCCACGGTCGACCCAGATACGTTTTAACCGTATAGTTACTGGAAACTAGATCATCCGCGGGTCTAATCGTACAATTGTGGATTGACGTACCAGTGTTCTGGTTCGGATCAGACCGGCCCTGCGCAGTGATGGCGTTGAACTGGTTTGGCATCGGTTTTCTCGGGTACAAATTACAGTTTTGAAACACAACTGCGGCGTTTCCGAATATGAAATCGACCGTTCCATAGACGTCACATTCTCTATAGAACTGTCTTAAAGAATGCGTGTAGAGCGTATCTTGATAAGCCTCGAAACTGCAACTATAGAAGATTGAGAAATCTGCACCGCTCCGTAACGCAACCGCCTGGTGTTTCTCTGGTCCGGCCGTGTTCCGGAATGTCATGTTCACCGCCACGAAGTTCGGTGCTGTCACAGCTGAAATAAATAAATAAAAATTCATGTGCACGATTAGTTATTATCAATTGAATCTAAAATATCATTATATTGAATGGCTGCATCATCCAACTATCTTCTTTTTTTAAAAATTATCATAATGCTTATAGTACACTCAGTATTATTAATGCATCTTGTCCCCTTATTCACCGCTTTCAATTCTAATCTTTTTGACCTATAGTTGAAAATGCAATAATTAAAGGCAACTATACTTACGTACTCGAGAAATTAAAATATCATTGGGAAATTAATTTTAAGATCTCGAGACATTATGATTAATAACATGTGATTGTGTGACGTACCAAATGTGGCGGAGTTGAAAGTGGTCCAACCGTCGACGACGCTTCTGTTTCCGGTGACCACCGTCTGATTGATACCGTCGCCGATCATCATCATGTACCTTTTGTTCTTCGCGATCGAGATGTACTCTTCGTAGATTCCCGCCGTCACGTATATCAAGAAGAAACCACCGCTTCCGTCGGTGTTGTTCGGAGCCGCCGATATAGCCGCGGTGATGTTAGTGAAATTCCCGGTCCCGTCTTGGTTCACGGTGACGATATCGCTGATCAGAACCATGCTTCCGTCGTCTCCGTCGCCGTCAGCGAGTTTTCTCCTGCTGAGCGACTCGTAAACGGCTCTTGTTTTCTCCGTCATCTTCAACGGTAGAGCTCCGTTACGGAAGAGACGGAGCGGTTTGGTGTGGGTGGATGATCCGGATCTCGAATGGGCCCAAGCGAACCCGGCGGCCCGTTTCTTCTTCTTTGGAACCCATCCTTTGGTGAAGAGAGCGAGCGAGACGCCTAAGAGCTTCGTGTCGTTAACGAGAGGCAACGCGACTCCGTTTCTTACGGTCCACGTGGCGGAAGAAGAAGCGGCGGTGGTGAGTCCCTCGAGACACGTCTGCTCGTTAGTCAACGCCGCGGAGAGAAGCGTCTGGACGTCGTCGGCTTTGGGAAACGGCAACGCTTTGAAGGAGGATCTTGCCGACGTGTCGTTAACGGTTTCGAACGACGTCAAGAGATAATCCATCGTTAGACCGGCGAGAAAACGGCAGTCTTGGAGAGCTCTGATAACGGCGGGTTGCGATACATGAGCGTTGCGTTTGATGTATTTATCGACGGTGCGAATGAATTTTCGCGATTGCGATAGCGATTTGCGGATAGAGAAGCGGCCGTATTGTTGAACATTGCCTTGGCTGTGCGGGAAAACGGTTTTGCAGTATTTAGGATCCGGCGTCGTTTTACAGATTGTGGAGGAGTTGGATAGAGATTGAGAAGAAACTAGAAGAAGCGATTGAAGAAAGAATGATAGTGTGATGAGAATGAGTATCGGAGAATCCATTGTTATTGTTACCGGAGATTTTATGTGAATAAAAACTTTAGGTTAAGTGGTTTTATATAAGTGTGTTGATGATGAATTGAGGATGAGGTATAGGTCCATCTTTTTAATATAATATATTTTGTGTATGAAAACTATGATATTGTAATGCTATTATTAACCCGAGTCAACTCGTTTGGGAGTCTTAAAAACGCGTAGGTTGTTTAGAGATAGTGATCTAATAATCATGGATACTCTTGTCTGTTTATCAAATATGCCTAGCTGTTATTGCATAACCATATGTTCATTCCATCTTAAGAAATATTTAGTATTAATGTATCGAGTAACTACTTAACCTAAAGTGGTATCGAGTAAACACATTATCATAGTAGCATGTGTTTTATATTCCGTAAACATAAATTTTGAATTAAAATGATAAACTTGTTAAAAGTATTAATTTTGTTGGTCTTGTTGTTGAATATTTCATTCAGTTTCTCTAAGTACCGAAAGAAACGAAACAAAAACTTTATTTAGGGTCTTATTTTATGGGAGTCAAAACACTCGTTAATTTTAAGTAAACTGTATGTGAACAAATAATGTAATTGCGTATCTGGGGCGGGTTTATTTGTAATAACGAGTTATTGGGTGTTAATTTGTTTTGTTTAATAGTTGTGGCAATGTGTACGTTGACAATCTGTTCAATAATTTAGCAAGCCCGATAAAAGCATATCGATGGTTCCAAGTCCCAACCTAACAAGATATAGAAGATACAAAAGAATTATACCTATCCTAGTCTCCTTTATAAAATTACTACTGCTAACTCCAAAGTGTTGGTATTATACTACTATTTATCTTCTAAAACGATCCAAATGTACTCGTACGTAACTGTAGTTAATGTCCCAACGATCATCTAACGTAGTTATAATTTCATCTGTTTAATAAAAGACTGATGCAAATAATTATAATCGCAGAGTTAATGAAATTGTAACCGTTGAGCTTTGATGAGCTCACAGTAAGCGTTTTTTATATTAAATAGTTCTATTAACCAGTAGTATAATATAATTGTGGGTTTCATATCGAAAACTTAAGTTAATTAATTTAAAGTATGTACTAGTAGTAGTAATGTAGTATAATATGTTGTCAGATATATATAATTGTCATGGAACACAGTTTCAAAGGCAGAACGGTCCGGAAACGACCGACTCTTCTGGCCTAGATTTGTAAATCATAAATATGATATTGTAGAGTAGTTGCATATTCTTTAATTCCAAATTTTCTTCTTCGTATATAACTTATTATGGGCCATGTCTTTCGATTATACATACCAGCCCAACTACTATACTGGACATGGATCCAATCGATGAACTTCCTCACACCAAATATGCTTCTTCTTCTTCTTCTTACTAAAAAGCTACAAAATGTTTGAACACGACGTAAAAAAAGTTATGACATCCGTTAGAAAATAAAAGACGTTGGAAGTGTGGAACCGATCGATCACCGCAGATTTGCCATCAAGATTTGCCTCTATCTATTATGGAGAGCATGAATCCTAAAACGTATAAAACGACAAGCCGGTCAAACTGACCCGGTTATAACGTATAGAATGACTCTATTGGCACTATCGGTCCATTTATTCAATGTACTACTAGCTAGGACTCATCACATGCACGCAGCATGTACAGCTCCATTTTAATATCAATCTTTTTTTTTTTGGCTTCATCACTCCTTTGTTTGTATATATACATCTACATATATATATATATATATGTTTACTCATCACTTCGGCGATATTTATATACTTATCGAAAACCACATTCCCTATATACAGCCCTAATTCATATCAACAAAATTCTTTGTACATATACATGATATTTGGATTTGGTAGAACCGTAGAAACATCCGATATTGAGATTCTTAATAGTTTTGACAACAAAAAAAAAAAATCTTGATAGTTTATACATATGAAAGTTATTGGAGACATGTATTCAACTAAACGTTGCGATAGTTATCGAGATAATGGAAAACCGATGTGCATGGCATCATGATTGATGCATCAATCGACAATGATGCGACCATTGCATTTTTCAGAAAAAAAAATAAAAAATGAAGAGCATTGCTTATCTACTTTGTAAGTTGGGCCCTCAAACGTTTAAGCCCATTTCCAAGTAGCCGAATCAGGCGTACGGACAACTAGTTTTTTCCAAGTATTACAAAATAACCCTCCATTTTGTTTATGTTTTACGTTATTCACCTGAATTTATTCTTATTTTGGACACAACGCCCACAACTCTCGCATTCGTTCTTTCGCTCTCTCAGCTCCATCTGACCATCTCTTTATGTGTTTTTTTTTTTCTGACAAAGCATATGCATATCTCATTATTATTATTTTGGTCATTACCCACGTAAAATTGACTGGACAATTCAATTGAATTTTTATTTATTTTTCATTTTTACCATATTTTGATGAACACTTAAATGTTCCCACTGAATTCGGTATGGGTGAATGATTACAAAACTTTTACCATTTCGAGATTGTGTGTTAACGATGAGCAAGCAAAGATTTACAGGATCCTTCATGTTCAAAGTAAACTTTTTTGTTACAAAGTTAAGTGAACAACTTGTATAAATCATGTTAATTGTTAATTAACAAAGTACTCTTATCAGATGAACACCCTTATTATAAATCTTTGTAGGTGTGTGTTTTTTTGTTTGTCAAAAAGATTTATACTTTTGTTTAATTACCCGGTTCATTTAACCAACCAGTTTAGCATAGGAGATAGAGAAAGAGAAGAAAGTGAAAAACCAAATCTTTTCTCTATATAAAGAGCTAACGTCCTCTGCTCACCTAGCATAGCAGTAAGCAGTAAGCAGTAAGCTTCTTCCTCTGCACACTGTGTTGTATTGATTGGTTAACCAGAGCTTTCTCACTCTCTCTAGGGAAATGACTTTCCTGTTCTCTCCTTCGCGACTTATCTTCCTTCTCTCTTTCTTCTTGCTTCTCTCCAATGGTTTCTCGTCCTCGTCCTCTCGCCGTGGCATCCACCGTCGTCACCACCTCGACAACCACAATTACAAAGACGCTCTCTCCAAGTCCATTCTCTTCTTTGAAGGTCAAAGATCCGGAAAGCTTCCTCCAAACCAGAGGATGACTTGGAGAAGTAACTCTGGTCTCTCTGATGGCTCTGCTCTCAACGTAATACTACACTACTTTCTCTTGCTTTTTTGTTGCTTTTATGGGTCTATTCCTCGGTTTCTCTGAATTCTACCAAAGGTTAAGATTCCACAAACAGAATTCATCAAAAGATTAAACCTTTAACCTATAGGTTTGTTGCATAAAACAGAGGAAACATCACTCGTATTTGAAACCCTATTTTTTTATTGTTATTAGGGTTTATACTTTATAGGTTAAGTTTCTCTTTAAACCAAAAAAAAAAGGTTAAGTTTCTCTATCGAAATCATCAATATACTAGATAATGCATATTTCGGACCTTGGTTTTGTGTTACTCGGTTTCGTACTAACAAAAGATTCAATCTTTATGTGTTTGATGATTGATGTATACAAGAAAAAAAAAAAAAACAGAGAAGAGTTACATTGAAAACACTAACTATTGCTAATGGGTTGAAACTGTAGGTGGATTTGGTGGGAGGATACTACGATGCAGGGGACAATATGAAGTTTGGTTTCCCAATGGCATTCACAACCACAATGCTCTCATGGAGTTTAATTGAGTTTGGTGGTCTCATGAAATCTGAGTTACCAAACGCTAAAGAGGCAGTTCGTTGGGCCACTGACTTTCTCCTCAAAGCCACTTCACATCCTGATACCATTTATGTTCAGGTTCCGTTATCTACTCAACGTTTCCCTTCTCAAAAACTTTGGGAAACAGAGTGGTCTTAATGTAAGCGTTTTCATAGGTTGGTGATCCTAACATGGACCATGCTTGTTGGGAGAGACCAGAAGACATGGATACACCAAGAAGTGTGTTTAAAGTCGACAAGAACAATCCTGGTTCTGACATTGCCGGTGAAACTGCTGCCGCTCTTGCCGCCGCTTCCATTGTTTTCAGGAAGTGCGACCCTTCTTACTCTAATCTCCTCCTCCAACGAGCCATTACGGTAAATAAACTAAGAAATCAAACATATTTTTTTATCTTATCATTATTTCATTCTTCAAGTTTTGTTTTTCTTCCATTTAATAATCATGTGGCAGTTTTATTTTACAAAAAAAAATCCATAATTCTGCTATTTCAATCTTTGAGCATTTAATTAAAATTGCTTTTGTTGGTTTTAAGGTTTTTGCATTTGCGGACAAATACAGAGGACCCTACAGTGCAGGTCTAGCACCAGAAGTTTGTCCATTCTACTGTTCTTACTCTGGATATCAGGTTCTAAGTTTTAAAAAATTTCTTACAGTATTGTGTCTGAAGAATGGACAAACTTGTCAAAAACCTGAAATCAAATTGTTGATGTTTTGGTGTCTTCAGGATGAGTTGTTATGGGGAGCTGCTTGGTTACACAAAGCAACAAATAAACCAACGTATCTCAATTACATCAAAGCTAATGGACAAATCCTTGGAGCTGATGAGTTTGATAACATGTTTAGCTGGGATAATAAGCACGTTGGTGCTAGAATCCTTCTCTCCAAGGTGTGACACTAATCACAGATTTTTGAAAATGTGGTCCATTAGTTCTTGATTTACTCTTTAAAGGCTGGATTCTTATGAAACCCCCTTTCGTGTGATCATGTTTTATCTAGGAGTTTCTGATTCAGAAAGTGAAGTCACTTGAAGAATACAAAGAGCATGCTGATAGTTTCATTTGCTCTGTTTTACCAGGAGCCTCCTCTTCCCAATACACTCCAGGTTGTTGTTTTCAACTATAGGAGAATCCTTTTTTGTTGGTTCAACCTTGATTATGATGATGGCTGTGATGTTAGTTTTTAGGTCCTTCAGATTTTTTCGATTTCTTATTGAAATTTAAAGTAAAAAGGGAAATTACGAAATTAATGAAATATGTATGGGTATGGATAGGTGGGCTATTGTTCAAGTTGGGTGAGAGCAACATGCAATACGTGACGTCTACATCCTTCTTGCTCTTAACCTATGCTAAGTACTTAACCTCTGCTCGTACCGTCGCTTATTGCGGTGGCTCCGTCGTCACCCCTGCCCGCCTCCGCTCCATAGCCAAGAAACAGGTCCAATTTATACTAAAGTACTGATAAACTTTTATTAATCATCCGAGTCCAAACCGATCCATCAACTGATTCATGTGTGATTGTATGGCAGGTGGATTATGTACTTGGAGACAACCCGATGAAGATGTCATACATGGTTGGTTATGGTCCGAAATATCCACGTCGGATTCACCACCGTGGCTCATCACTCCCCTCCGTTGCAGCCCACCCGAGCAAGATCCAATGCCACGACGGCTTCTCCATGTATACCTCTCAATCTCCTAACCCTAACGACCTAGTCGGTGCAGTGGTTGGTGGTCCGGACCATAACGACCAATTCCCTGACGAAAGGTCCGACTACGGACGGTCCGAGCCAGCCACTTACATTAACGCCCCGCTTGTTGGCGCTTTGGCTTATCTTGCTCGCTCCTAATTAGTCCAACTCTAATCAAGAATAAATCATAATTAACTTTTGGTTTACAATGTTAATTAGTAGTAAGATTTCCTACAAACGAATGGCTGTTCGATCCTACGAGGCCACGACTGAATGATGTTTTAGAAAAATGATGATGTCTTTTCGATGTGATATCATTTTTATTTTTCTAATTATAATCACTCTCGTTGTCAACACAAATAAGCTCAAAACAAACATAACAAAAATTGTGAAAGCTTTGCTCATTCGATTTTACTTCAAGATTTTGATAAGAGAAAATTAGAGTAGCATTATGAAGTGGAAATCACGAGATGGTGAACAAATAAGGCGTATTATTACTATTTAGTAATTTACCATTCAAAGGGAGAATTTGTTTTATCTATCACGTTAAAGTATAATAATATAGAAAATATATATATATATATATATATATATTTTTTTTTTGTCAACAAATAATAAATAATGACGAAGGATGATGAATGTTTTTTCATGGGAAACGAGCAATTGACCAGGGAGAGAGAGATGGGTCGATTAAAGCTGTCATTGTCTCTGTTATGACAGATCTAATTTCTCGTTTACGCATTTTAAATTTTGATGGATAGAAGGAAATAATTGTGTTTCATAATCCACATATGTAATTGTATCTGATTTTACTATTTTAGGTAATCGCATTAGAAATTATCTAAATCATGATACCAAAAACGTATGTAGTGAGCTTACAAAATTGTCTATCAATCTATCATTTTGTGGGTTATCAGTCGTACTTTATGAAAAAATAAACAAAGAAATATCAATATCATTTATATTGGATTACATACTGTACTAATTCAATTATGCAGTTTTGAACATTGCCAATCAACAGACAAAAAGTGTTTTACATATATACAACATTTTGTACACAAATTTTAAGGAAGAAACAAACATTAATTTTGACAAAAACAAAAAAAACAAACATTAATTGTGGTGGTTTTGGCAAATACCTACAAATGAGAAACAAGTTGTACAGGTTTCTTACAATTTTAGATGATTTAATTAAGCAAGTAAGTTTTGATCATTCTTAACCACTTAATCAACAGATTAATTCCGTTTTTCCTATATATAAAAGTTACCATGAAAAGTGGAAAACGTTACCACCTAAGATTGGGGTCAAACATCCGCAAAAGAAGATGGTACCACACGATGTAATATTTTACCTCAAACCATATTAGCTATCTTTAAAGAAAGGGTTATAATCTTAAAATAGCATACGAACTGACCCTATAAAAACATCATGAATCCTCCACTGAACAAATCACTTTTAAATTTGTTTACACTCTTTTAAAAGAACATAAAAAATAAAATAAAAATAAAGATATTATCACCATGGCTAACGCAAGAAGGTTGGTAGCCAAGGCAAACAATACTAATGTAGTAGGTTCATTGATTCTGATGGCCTTGGTGTTTGGTTCTTGCGTGGCTAATGGTGAATATCTCGGCGGCCGCCGTGGCCTTGCCGCTAATTCCGGTAACCCCACGGTCTTTGATATTACTAAGTTTGGAGCTGTAGGAGATGGTTCCACCAATTCTTTCAAGGTAAAATTTCTTAAATTTTTATCCATAATCTTTTTGATTATTTATAAAATACAATGTAACATTCTAATGGTTCATCCAATGATATGCATGCAGGCGTTTTTGAACACATGGATCCAAGTGTGTGAAAGTCCTGTACCAGCAACGCTACTAGTTCCTAAAGGACAATTTTTGGCTGGTCCAGTTATTTTCGCCGGTCCATGTAAGAGCAAAGTAACCGTCGATGTTCAAGGAACAATCATCGCTACAACGAGCGGATACGCAACTCCTGAATGGTTCTTATTCGAGCGTGTTGACAATGTGCACCTCACCGGAACTGGTACATTCCACGGTAAAGGTGAAGCTGTGTGGAAAGCAGATGGTTGTGGCAAAAAGGTCCAATGCAATCTTCCTCCAACGGTAAGAATAATTTATTTACCATATATATATATATATACATATATAATACATTGGTAATAATATATAACACGTATGTATGTACACATGCAGTCTCTCAAATTCAGGAACATGAAAAATGTTGAGATCGATGGCATAACTTCAGTGAACGCAAAGGCCTTCCACATGTTCTTAGTCAAAACTGAGAATGTTAACGTCCACAACATCAAGCTTCTCGCTCCTGCTGAAAGTCCCAACACCGATGGTATCCATTTGAGCAACGCAGACAACGTTAAAATCCTCGACAGTACAATAGCAACTGGAGATGATTGTGTCTCAGTGGGCCGTGGCTGCAACAACGTAACCGTGGAACGCGTGATTTGCGGTCCAGGACACGGTCTAAGTATCGGTAGTCTTGGTAAGTACAAGAACGAGGAAGACGTGAGCGGCATCCGCGTTAACAACTGCACAATGCTAGAGACAGACAATGGTCTTAGGATCAAGACCTGGGGTGGTTCAGATCCCAGCAAAGTTGTGGACGTTAAGTTTACAAATATCATCATGCAAAGTGTTAAGAACCCAATCATCATTGATCAAAACTACGGTTCAAGAGGCGGCGTAAGTATATACATAACTGAATTAAATATCCCAAGCTATTCTTTTGAATACTCATCTTACAAGATTCATTTTCGTGTACGTGTGTCTTTGTAGGATTCACGAGTTGAGATAACTGATGTGTTGTTCCAGAACATTAGAGGAACAACAATTACAAAAGACATTGTTCAGCTAATGTGTAGCAAATCAGTGCCATGCAGAGGAGTCAACGTTGTTGACGTGAACTTGAACTACGTAGGCAAGCCAGGAGGAGAGAAAAAATCGTCTTCAGGCGGTATAGTCGGAGCTTTTTGCGACAACGCCAACGTTATCTTCGGTGGAAAACTTAGCTTCCCTATGTGCCCCAAATAAGTTTTTTTTTGATATAAAACTATCTAATAATTAAAAAAAATAAAAAATCAAAAGTTTCCACAAACATTTGTTTTGTTTGTGAGTTAGCTCGGGAATTTATCAAGAAAAATTAATCATTGGACTTTTGATAAAGTTTTCCCTGATTTTTTTTTTTGTTTTTATTTTTTATTTCCTTGGATTGTATAATAAACAGATCCTTCTGGTTGCTAAAGAGTTTACTGGTTAGGAATCTGGTTTATGAGAATTAGTGTGTACACATCCATTTTTCATTAATAAAGTTGTTATTTATAATTAAAGGCATTCAACAGAATAAAAAAATAAAAATAATCGACAAGCTGAAATCTCGATTATCTTTCTACATATATACTATTAACTTTTCTGCTTAAATTATTTACGAAACTTTGAAAATAAAAGGTTAACTTAAAGAGTAAAAAGCATATAAAAGCAAATTAAATCAGATTTTGATTTCTCCATCTCAAGAAGTTCCATGATTTAAAAAATCTTCCACTTCTATATATTAATTTGACAAATTGTAAAGATTTTAGACTCAAGTTTGGTAGACACACATGACTATTTTTTTCAGTCTTATATCAACCACGACCCAAAAAAAAAGATACCGGTTTCTAAATTTTCAGATAGAACCATCAAAGAATTAGTAGTGAGAAAATAAAATATATTTTTCCTTTGAGAATATATAATATCGAAACACAAATCTTTGGTTAAAACATCATAATGAAGGAATAGTCAACGACGTTCAGAATCATAACCCAAATTGCTCATCCCATTTTTTTTTGTTCAGTACAAAGTGGAAGACACAAAAGAGGCTTTATTGGGTTTAAAACTTAATAAGCCATTTAATTTATATTGGGCTTTTAAAAAAGCCTGTTTTATTAAAGCCCAACTGATTGAGTGAAAAGGAGAAACCCTAGAAACATTTGAGGTATATAAATTCTTTTCGTCTCGTTTGATAAGCAGTTCTCCGCCACATCAATCTCCAGAGAAGGGGAGAAGCAAAAATGGTTTCGCTGAAGCTCCAGAAGCGGCTCGCCGCATCAGTGATGAAGTGCGGAAAGGGCAAAGTATGGCTCGATCCCAATGAAAGCTCCGACATCTCCATGGCCAATTCCCGTACGTCCTTCTTTTTCTTCCTTCTTTTGTTTCTGCCTTCATTTCTATGGTTTGTTTTCTTCCCTGTGTTTGTCTGCGACGTCGGTAGATGATTTGGCGTACTATGATTTCTTGTTCTGTAATTGAATCACTGTGTTCTGTGTCCGATCTGTAAATTTATAGCTCATATGTGTTGCCACTGTTTGATTTTTTTTTATAGATATAGGCCTTGTAGTGCTCTCTGGTTTGGTTGTGTTAATCAGAATAGAGATTTGTAGGATCAAAATGATTGCTGATCTTGCATATTATAGACTGCGGCTTGTATGGTGTTCCATTTCAAGGATTGTTACATATTTGTACATCTCTACAGCTCTGTGTTTTTAGACGCTGATGCATTCTTTTGAACTTAATGTAGGCCAAAACATCAGGAAGCTTGTGAAGGATGGTTTCATCATCAGGAAACCAACCAAGATCCACTCTCGTTCCAGAGCTCGCCGTATGAAGATTGCCAAGATGAAGGGACGTCACTCTGGATACGGTATATACTATAACACTGAGAATCCTCTGTTGGAATTGAACTCGTGACTATTATTGGCATTGTTTAATTGTGACTTTTGTCTCTGGTTGTGTATGATTAAAAAGGTAAGAGAAAGGGAACCCGTGAAGCTAGGTTGCCAACAAAGGTACTGTGGATGCGTAGGATGCGTGTTCTCAGGCGTCTGTTGAAGAAGTACAGAGAGTCCAAGAAGATTGACAAGCACATGTACCATGACATGTACATGCGTGTTAAGGGTAATGTCTTCAAGAACAAGCGTGTCTTGATGGAGAGTATCCACAAGTCAAAGGCTGAGAAGGCCAGAGAGAAGACTTTGTCTGATCAGTTTGAGGCTAAGAGGGCGAAGAACAAGGCTAGCCGAGAAAGGAAGCATGCTAGGAGAGAGGAGCGTTTAGCTAAGGTATAAACTAAATTTCACACCACCTTATAATTGATATTCTTCATTATGGTTATGTATTCTTATATGTGTATTCTGAATTTTTGTGTTTTAGGGTCCCGGAGGAGATGTTGCACCTGTAGCCGCACCAGCACCTGCTGCTACACCAGCTCAAACTGCAGAGTAAGTGTCATTTCAACGGTTATGTAAATTGATTTTTGACATTAGTTAACATCTATCTAACTCATTTGTTGGTCTTTGCTTGTGTAGCGTACCCAAGAAAAAGTCAAAGAAGTGAAGAGGATATATAGTGTGAAGCTATATCTATCATCAGTTCACGGACTAGACTTGAAGAAGGTTTTGAATGTTTTTTCGAAATGGGTTTGTGGAATAACTTTTATTTTCGCAAAGAACATAACTTATGTCAGTTTATTGTTATGCTTTCAGATTTTTAGTTTACAGTTTCCAGAGACCTATTTTGCAAAAACTTGTGTTCTTTTTTTTTTTTGTTTCTTATCGTGCTTTAAGCTTACATCACACAATTTCAACAAATTCGTCCGCATCTATACCATTGTCAAACTGATGTCAACTTTAGAATTTAATCGACGATCGAAAACTTTAAAACCAGATTAGCAACAATTTCGACTTCCTCTGTTATTTTGCTGCAACTTCGACTTCCTCTGTTATTTTGCTGCAACTTCGACTTCCTCTGTTATTTTGCAACAACTTCGGATTCCTCTGTTATTTTGCAACAATTTGAACTTTGGATTAATGTAATTTGTACATAAATCTTGGGGGATTATCAATTCTTAATCGTATCATTTATCTCTCAATGAGAATTTCGATAGCATGTTTCAAGGGTTAGTTGCCGCTGGCTGCGGGGACGAACATGTAAAGCAGGGATAAGTTAAACAACTTTGTAGAAAATGGTTGAAACGAAACTGCATAGACTTGCAAACTGCATAAACAGGTTTCTCGTAAAAAAAAACGCTTTCAAAAAGTGGAAACGCCCACCGTGGGGCTCGAACCCACGACCACAAGGTTAAGAGCCTTGCGCTCTACCAACTGAGCTAGACGGGCTTGTTGACTCTAGCCGACTCTTTCTATATTCATACTAACAACCACATCCCAAACCTAACTAAAAGCAATCTGTAACTTTGCAAGTACAGTGCTGCGGGATAAAGATTCTTTTGAAGAGACAGACTGAAAACTCATCAGCGTGTATTATAAACTTAAAGCTAGTGTTATGTCTGAAAAAGAGATGCACGTGTAATATAAATAAGGCTGAATAACATTACAACAATTCCAATCACCTGCCGTTTTGGCCATTGGAGACTTCACACCTTTTATTTTCTTGTTTACTCAGAAGAAGTCACACCCATCATCAAACATAGCTGATGATAATAGTCCCTGTACAAACTGACACTTCTTTGCCTTCTCCAATTGTTCACTATCAGATAACGGCAATGACGATGCCCCCTCTTTTGCTGCTGTCGCATCCTTAATCAAATTCTTGTCTTCTACACTCGAATCAGGCTGTACACGCTTGGTCTGATTTGGCATTGGAGTATTGTCGATAAATGATAAAAACTGATCTGAAACAACGGATTTAGATGTATGATGATGATTCGTAACTGGTGGCAACTCATCATGGAGGGATTGAAGATATTTATCCGAGGAATATGGATCTTCTCTGTAAGACATTTCCTTCTGCTCACTGTAAAGTTCTCGGTCAAGGACATTCAAATAAAACACTTTCATTAGAGAGGCATTAATTTTGGCTTAAAAGGTTAAGAAAAGAAAAGAAAAAAGGATATCTTCAAGACATCTCTATGATGTGTTGTTATATGATCCACCATATGCGCCTTCACCCTTTTGTTACAAACCGGACATATCTACAAAAACCAAAACGAATTGTAAGAATTACCACACAGAACTGGAATGAATGTTCCATCACACAATGAAATATTCAGATCTTATTAAGAGTTGTGAAACCAATCCAATACTTAAAAGGGAGACCTACTTGGACTCAAAATCCGTTGGAGAACGAAGAGCACATGTTTCTGAACTGAAACTATTCATAACTGCAATCGGATTCCTAAAAGCATCAATGAAAACAGTCCTACTTAACTCAAGTCCAAGAATTCCCTCCCTACTCTCAAAAGCAAGCATGTAGAGCCAAAAATATGTCAAAAATACCAATCAATGGCGCGTTATGTTAATACAAAGAGTAACCGAAGGTTGGTTGGCATGTTTCTCTTTAAAACTATTCACAATATCAAACAGATTGGAAAGAATCATCTAAACAAGTCACAATCCATTCGATTATTGAAGGGCCATCTTTGAGGAACCGATCAATCAACAACTAAACTGTTAAAAATTTCTTCATGTTAAAGAGCAAGAGAGCTGGGACGTGAGTCCACATACCCCATTGTAAGCTTCAAGATGATGTTCTTCGTTCATATGGTGACACAACTCAACTAAATCATAATCATCTGAGCAGAACGGGCACGGGTAATCCACTGCTATATCTTCATCTTCTTCAAACTCTTCCAAATCTAGATAAGGACCTGAAAAATATTCACAACAAATCAACTCAGAACAAATACCCCAATAGGAAAAATCAAGGAAAAAGTCTTCTCATCTAAAAGCAACTGTAAAGGCACGATTTTTAACTGAAAGACCACCAAGTACCGCCAAAGAGACCATACGGCGAACCCAATTCAGACCCATCTTAGCTTATAAACCCTAAACTGAAATTTGAAATTTGAGGGGATTGGATAATATACCTGATTGATACTTAGCAGCAGTTTCTGATCGGTAGCTTCTCGAAGAACCAGATGAGCTAACGCACCACATATCGTCTTCCATCTGATTCTGAATCTCCCACAAATTGGAGCTTATATAATTCTCAGCTAACCAAAGCTTTTTGATTATAGATAAATCGAGAGACCTCGTCGTCGTCGTCGTGTCAGCTAAATACCCAATTCTGAGATAGAAAATGTCAAGAAACTGCTCCAAAGGCGAGACCTTTTTTTTAATCCAGCCCGAGACTTAATGGACAAGAATACTTCGGGTGTGCTAAGCTTAAATTACTAGTATACCCTTCCATTGTACCCGGCCACTTTCTCAACTACCTCAGGGGCTTTTCTGTCTTTGTCCTTGTAAGAGAGGATGTGATTGCATTGCTCCCCAAGTAAATAGCAGTATAAAGGCCTGACTTGAAACTATTTTAATGGGCTTTTATACTTGTCTCCCTTTTTCTTTTTTGATGTTTTTTCACATTCTCGGGAGTAGTTGAAATTTAAAGCTCATAAAATTTCGGTTTTGGTTTGCTATATTAGCAAAAGGGGTGCTTACTTTTAAAATCGCTAATTACGATAATAAAAGTGAAGTGTGAGAAACTAAAACCCTTTGACTCGTCAATGGCACCGTACCCGTACAGTGAATTTTTTTTGCGAAGATATTTTTTGGTAGACCTAAACCAATTTAAAACAAACAAACCGGTTTACTTACTAAGCCATGTCTTGAACACCAGTCTCAGACTCTCAGCCATTTTCTCCAAATCTTCTTGCGTCTACAGAGGTTTTCCTTCCCATTGTACCCGCTTTATCATCATACGGTTGAGCCATTTTCCTTAGAGTCTGTCAAAAAATTGTTTTACTTTTAATGCCTTGTTGTCAGTTTCACCGTGAGTTATAGAAAGGCAGAGAATTACATGGGGTCTATCTCTCGAGCAATGTGAATAGCCATGTCTGTGCTTAGATTCAAGTGGGTATCCCGCATATGTGACAGTATCCAACATGGTGGTTTTGACCGCTTATCATGACGGCTATATCTGCAAGTTTTACGTCAACGGCATTATAATATTACCTGAGGAACATTGTGAATTGTGAAATATTCTTCTATTCTCGAGGTATCCCAAATACTTGCGCATATTTACTTAATATACTAAGAGATCATCACATTTAGTAAGTAGAAGGAATCTAAAGGACCAGACTCACAAAGAGAAACTTTAAGGCGTCCATACATTACCTTTTGTCTACAAATATCATCATCCCATAATCAGCCTTTCACCGGATTACTCGCCCTACACATTGAGTTGCTTGCCTCTGTGTTTAAGACAAAAAGGAGTTATTAAGGGTCACAAACAGGTATAGAGTTGCACCAAAGTATAATAAAATGCATACAAGCAACCGTGATCCAAAACATACCTTTCTCCCGGTTGCTGGTTTTGTATTGAGAATTTTAGATATATCAACAAAGAAAAATCTTTAGTCATGCAAGTGAGATATGGAATGAAAGGTCTCTGATTTTGAACAATTTGGCTCACCTGCCTTGGTTTTCTATCACCTAGCTTTTGCCTTTGATTTTCCTCAATAATATTGACAGTTCTACCTATATTTCTATCACTCGTTCCCTGCAGTAAAGCAAAAAAAAAAAAAACAATTAGATGAGAAACTTGAAACCAGATTTGGGTGTCAAAATGGTTATTAACAATGTCAGCTACCTTATAATTCTTTTCTGGTGACTTGTTTTTGGGGCTATTTCAGATGGATTCCTCAGCAGACTAGCTACCTTGAATGATCTCCTTTAGGAACCGACGCTGCACACAATTAAAGATGATCTTTACGTGATAACAGTTTGATAATTTTTAAACTTATTTCCCAGCAGTGAAAGGGATCAACACCCATTGAAGCAGACAAGGAATAAGTGATGATGGTCAAAATGCATCATCATTCGTAATAATGCAAACCATATATATCCCCTCCATCTAGAGAAGCAACAACAAACAAAACCAAAATATCAGTTTCCACAAATGGATTGTGCTGAGTGATGATTGTGTGGAAGAATGAAGGAAAACCTTGAGCAATTTCAATCTTCTTCATTCTTCAAACCATCTCCGATCTGCTACACATATAGAATTAGAAGAGAGGACCATTTTTCATTTTCAAGTCCGAATCAAACAATAGCCAAAATGATGAATAAACTTGATAACAGAACAAAATAAAGAAAAGAAAGCAGTGAGAATTTTGAGATAACTTACAGATCGTGTGAATCTTAAGTCTTGAGTCTGTAACGGTAGAAGAAAATAGTTAGACATAATATAGATGGTCCATAAAAGCTGCAGCTATAAAAAGTTTTGGCTTACCTTCTCGACGAGATTCATACATAGATGACAAGACATTCGTAACATCATAAAGCCGCCTTTCTTTTGCTGCAGAAAAGAAAGTAATGTGGCAACAAACACAGATCAATTAGTTTCAAGTGAATATGCAGCATAAGAAAGAAGAAGTCTAAAATTCACAAGATGAAGATAATTACTTGGCATTATTGATGTATTGTGGGCATCACCAAGCAGTAATTATGCAGCCTCGTCAAGGGAGATGATCCTAGCTTGAAAGTAAGAAAATTTAAGCATTAGGAGCGTGAAGACAAACAAACTAAATAGATCAAAAGAAACCAAATCCAAATTCAAGAGTTACATTAACACTCTCATTGATATGGAGACAGTGAAAAGCGCCCTTAAACCCCCTCCTCCTACATAAGGAACACTTCCTATGAGTATACAAAAAATCAAATTGCTATAAAATTAGGATATTAGAATCAGAATACAAAGAAAAGAGAAAGCTCACTTGTTGTAGCTCCTGGAACTGAGGGCAAACCCTTTCCTCTTTGCTCTTCTTGTTAAAACCTAGTAAATAAGACCAAACCGGTGTCTAAGCAAACATAACAAAAGAGAAATAAGGAAATTAAGAATTAAGTGGAGAAACAAGTCTCACCACGTCGTCGTCTCCTCCGGAATAGGATTTGACCATCGTTGTTGTGTAAGAATGCATCACCTAGAGGAGAAAGAAGCAACAACAAAAACCATTCTCGATTATGTGTGAAACGAAGAATGATAAACTAAAAAAGAGGGATGAATTAGACTCACAACTTATATGATGGACAGATGGGGTGGGATGCCAAGGCTAACACCATCAATCACAAATAGATTCAGTTTTGATTCTTCAAAGCATCTCTGCGATCTGCAAATACAGAATGAGAGTCAAGAAACATCGATCGTACGTTAGTTTGTAAATTCAAATTGAGATAGAAAGAGCCAAAGTGAACGAAAACCCTAGAATCTTTAACCTTTACTTACTCACTGTTTTTTCCGAAGAAGAATGTATGTTAATTTCTCAAATAGATTGATGTTGAGAGTATATTTATAAACATACTGATGTGTTTATGTTTTCCCAAAAAAAAAAAACAAAAGGAAATTTACTTTCTAAGAAAAAGGAAATTTTACTTTTCTAAAAACAAAAAAGAAATTATAACGTTTAATGAAAAAAGGAAATTAGAACGTTTAAAGAAAAAAGGAAATTACTGGAGGGAGAAAAAAAAAGGAAATCTTATATTTTATACATTAAAAAAAGTATTATACCTTATTAGCTATACGAAAAAAGGAAATGTTAGGTTTATGTTTTTCAATCTTAAAAAAAACGGACGCTTCGACCTCGTTGGAGGATTTATTATTGGAAAACCAACGACATCAATTCAATTTATACGTTTGGGCCTTTCCTACTTCAACTTCACTTCTAAAGGCTTAAGTACAGAAGCCCATATTAAATCTGAGAACCTTTTGAGATTCTGATACAGAGAAAAAAAAATATCCCAAATATTTCCCGGAAAATTTCAGACAAAGCCATGTTAAGATCCAACAATATTTGAGCGAGTTCTCATTTACCTTGTCGCTTCGACGTGAGAGAACAAATCGAGCCGCCATTGTAGTCCTTAGAAGAACTCTCTTTAGTCATCGTCCTCCTCTTTTTTAGATGGGAAGCCCTAAAGCCGCCGCCACCACCAACGAGACGGATGATCCTACAACCGATTTCATCGGAGACGCACGGCGGGACTCCGGCTCTGATACAGAGTCAAACGCTGATTGTGACGGAGACGACTTGCCCCTTCTTCTTCTTCCTGCTCCTCCCGGTGAATTCGAAGAGGGAGAGAGAGTTTTAGCCAAGCACAGTGGTTGCTTCTACGAGGCCAAGGTACTGAACTCTATTTTTGGAATTAGAGTGCTGCGTTCTCTGCTTTTGCGCGTTACGACTTACGTGTGATATTTTTTTTTTGTTTTTTCTTTCTCAGGTTCTTAAAATTGAATATAAAGACGATGAATGGAAGTATTTTGTGCATTACATTGTAAGTTGATATTTTGTACGATCAATAGTTATTAACTTGTCAATGAAAATGTAAATAATATATTATTGTAGTGTCTCTCGTTTTGAAGATGTAAAGTTTATTTCTTTTGGCAGGGTTGGAACAAAAGGTTAGTAGAGAAGTTTCCTTCAACATAGTTAAAAGGCTTCTTATTACATTTATCCGTCTGAAATCATTCCGGTGTTGGTAAACTATTTGTATAAAAGGGAATCCATATGGTGATTTACTGATTATTGAATTCGAATGGTTGCCAAGTTCTTGATGTTTTGATGATATCAAGGTCTGATTTGTATCTTCTTGTACAATGATAGTTGGGACGAATGGATAAGTATGGAGTGTCTGTTGAAGCATACAGAGGAAAATATTGTGAAACAGAAGGAACTGGGTATGAAGCAAGGAATTAAGACTGCTACGGCTTGGAGAGTTTCAAAGATGAAACCTAGAAGTCCTAATGGTCAGTCAGCTTCTTCTTCTTCTCTGTTTCTCGGTGAACTTCTTGCTGCTTTCGTGGATATATAGAGTCTGTATCAGGGACTCGCTTTTGGTCTTGTTTGCTTTATTCATTGTCAGTTGTCAACCAAGTAGCTTAAACTAGACATATGCATCATTTGGTGTCCGTGACTACATTTGAAATGTTATATGTCAGCTGATATTATGTTCCAACATTTTTGTAACTTTTGCAGTTGTTAGAGGAAGAAAGCGGAAGCAAGATTCGGTTGATACGGTAATCTCTCTACTTGCTCCATCTTTCATCTTCCCAATATCCTGGTTTTTCTTTTAACCGGAGAGTCTTACTTACATCTTGTTGTTTCCTGAATACAGGAGAAGAATGTGGCTCCTTCGGATAACCTTTTAAGTTTCCATATCCCACCAGCATTAAGGAAACAACTAATTGACGACTATGAATTTGTTACTCAGATGCACAAGGTACTGCTAGTTAATGTGCTAATACGCATATAAAGAACACCTTATATTATTTATCAGCCTGTTTTTCTTCCCTTCAGTTCTCAGATGGTCCCTTCTATTTGTTTGTTTGCAACCGACCATAGTCTTTTTGATTATTGCACCCGCATGAATATGTTTGTTGTGGATGTCATATGCTCTTCTTAGGTCCATATATTGAAGGAATTTATTGTAGTCATTTTTTGGTAATGGTCTGAGCAGCTTGTGGAACTTCCACGTTCTCCAACTGTTGACGACATCCTGAAGAAGTACATTGACAGCCAAATGAAGAAACATGGCAGGTAGGCTCTTTGTGGGATATAGTTTTCTTCTGCTGTTAAGTTTTAACTTGTTGATCTCCTTTGTTTCTGTTGACATATACTTAAGAGAGTATTCCAAGCTTTTGATGTATCTTTTACTTTCTTTGGTGATTCTATATAAGGGTAAGTGATTCAGTAGAGGAAATTCTAAAAGGTCTGCGTTGCTACTTTGACAAAGCTTTACCGGTGATGTTACTTTATAACAATGAACGAAAGCAATACGAGGAGACTGTAACAGCGGATGTTTCTCCCTCAACTGTGTATGGAGCAGAGCATTTGTTACGACTATTTGGTAAGGCCATTCTTTGTAGTCTATAAAGAACCAATTTAAAAGCTGAGTGATCTGCTATATCCGCCTATCAAACCATAACTAAATTGGGGTTTTGCAGTGAAATTGCCGGAGTTGCTAATCCATGTGAATATGACAGAAGAGACATTGAAGGAGTTACAGGACAACCTTGTTGATATTCTCAGGTCTATTACTGTCTCCTCCTACTCAATGCTTAAACGCTTGAAAACTTTACAAGTATGTGAAGACATAGATAAATAAAGATGAAAACTTTAAATGAGTTACGCAGGTACTTGAGGAAGAATCAGAGTTTGTTTTTCTTATCGGCATACAAAGCAGTGGAAGAAATGGAGAAGAATGAAGAAGATAAAGAGGAGGGGGCTTAATGGCGTGACATTGTTGTTGTATATATACGGTATGTACAGGCGAATTTATCTGTTTCTAGTAATATTTATGTAGTGAGTGAGAGAGTTAAGTTCGAACTAATATTTATTAGGTTCGGTCTGGATTATGAAAAAGTAATTAATGTCGTTATCGTGTGTATGTGGCGGCTTTCTAGATCCACGATAGTAGTACCATTGTATTGTGAAGGCTTTGAAAAACCAGTGTCTTTAATGATTTCTTCTCTTTCACAGTTATCGTTATTGAGCTGCAATATTATATTAACTTCTCTTGATTTTAAAATTTGTTACAGAGTTGTATCCCAAGGAATGATGATCCACTCAACTCCAGTAGTAATGCTAAATTTGTGTACCAATGAGTTCAAAATCATCAAAATCACATGGATAATACTTAATGATTTGATCATTTGTATCAATGAGTTCAAAATTATCAAATCACATGGTATGAAAAAGCATACAGTATATTATTTTTTTAATCATCTCCAATATAAATTTATTTGACCGTTACGGAAAGGGAGAGAAATAATAATAAAACGCTCTTTCTTTTTTTCTTTTTCCTTTTTTTTTTTCCGTTTATTTGACTTTTTTTCCTTTTCTTTAATAGATCGTCCCGGCCCCACATAATCTTTCAAACTTACCGTTTAGATTAGATAAGCACCGTCCGATCTCACAGTTGCAACGTGATGAAAATAAACGGTCCAGATCACTCGACCGTTTATAGCAACTCCTTTTGTCCTTTATATCTCTTGTCTCTCTCTCTTCTCTCTATGGAATTTGAAACTACAATGCTCTGCTCTCAACTAGCTTCAGCTTCTTCTTCCTTAGATTCTTCTTCTCTTCTTCTGAGTCTTTGAATTCAATTCTGAGATCTACTCTTTTTCCATCTAAAGCTTCGATTTTTTTCTTTTTCTTCTCGTGTTCTTGTTGAGGTTCACAGATATTGTGAACCACCAACAAAAGATGGTGAAAACAGCTGCTTCTCAGTCACCTTCTCCGGTGACTATAACGGTGACACCATGTAAAGGATCCGGTGACAGAAGCTTGGGTTTGACGAGTCCTATCCCACGCGCCTCCGTTATCAACAACCAAAACTCCCCTCTAAGCTCAAGAGCCACGCGCCGCACTTCCGTCAGCGGCGGGGATCGGAGATCCAGCGGTGGTGAAGGAAGATACTGTTCGATGTCTGTTGAAGATCTAACGGCTGAGACGACGACTAACTCCGATTGCGTTTTGAGCTACACTGTTCATATCCCACCTACGCCGGATCATCAGACGGTGTTCGCTTCCCAGGAGAGTGGTATGGGTGAAGAGGACGAGTTGCTCAAAGGGAACTCCAATAACAGAGGTTTCCTCTCTGGGACGATCTTCACCGGCGGGTTTAAATCTGTGACTCGTGGTCATGTTATTGATTGCTCTATGGACCGAGCTGATCCGGAGAAGAAATCAGGTCAGATCTGTTGGTTAAAAGGCTGTGATGAGAAGGTTGTTCATGGGAGATGTGAGTGTGGTTTCAGAATCTGTAGAGATTGTTACTTCGATTGTATCACAAGTGGTGGAGGCAATTGTCCTGGATGTAAAGAGCCTTACAGAGACATCAACGACGATGTTGAAACTGAGGAAGAAGATGAAGAAGATGAGGCCAAACCGCTTCCTCAGATGAATGAATCAAAGCTTGACAAGAGGCTTTCCGTTGTCAAGTCGTTTAAAGCGCAGAATCAAGCTGGAGACTTTGATCACACTCGCTGGTTGTTTGAGACTAAAGGAACTTATGGCTATGGGAACGCTGTCTGGCCTAAAGATGGGTATGGAATCGGGTCTGGTGGTAACAACGGAAACGGGTATGAAACGCCACCCGAGTTTGGAGAAAGAAGCAAGAGACCTCTTACTAGGAAAGTCAGTGTTTCTGCAGCTATTATCAGTCCTTACAGGTGACAAATCTTTCTAATTTTGGATGACAAGATCTTTTAGATAGATGTTTCAATTTTTATGGTCTGTGTTTTGTCTTGCTAAAGTTATGATTTTTCTTGTGTGTGACGAAACAGGTTACTCATTGCGCTGCGTCTGGTGGCTCTTTGTTTGTTCCTGACATGGAGGATTCGTCACCCAAACAGAGAGGCAATGTGGTTGTGGGGAATGTCAACGACCTGTGAGCTTTGGTTTGCCTTGTCTTGGCTTTTGGATCAGCTTCCAAAACTCTGTCCGGTTAACAGATTAACTGATTTAGGTGTTCTTAAGGAACGCTTTGAGTCTCCAAACCTCAGGAACCCCAAAGGAAGATCTGATCTTCCGGGTATAGATGTGTTTGTCTCAACTGCAGACCCTGAGAAAGAACCGCCTCTGGTCACAGCCAACACCATCCTCTCGATCCTAGCTGTTGATTACCCTGTGGAGAAACTTGCTTGCTACTTATCAGACGATGGAGGAGCTTTGCTTACATTCGAAGCCTTGGCTCAAACAGCTAGCTTTGCTAGCACATGGGTGCCGTTTTGCAGGAAACACAGTATAGAGCCAAGGAACCCTGAGGCCTACTTTGGCCAAAAGCGTAACTTCCTCAAGAACAAAGTGAGGCTGGATTTTGTGAGAGAAAGGAGGAGAGTGAAGAGAGAATACGATGAGTTTAAGGTCAGAATCAACTCACTGCCTGAGGCGATAAGAAGGAGGTCTGATGCTTATAATGTGCACGAAGAGCTCAGAGCTAAGAAGAAACAGATGGAAATGATGATGGTAAGCAATCCTGAAGAAGCTGTTAAAGTTCCAAAGGCCACTTGGATGTCAGATGGTTCTCACTGGCCAGGGACTTGGTCCTCTGGAGAATCAGATAATTCCCGAGGAGACCACGCTGGGATCATCCAGGTAACTTCTTTTGTCAAGATTGTTTGCTATTTCTCTTTTGTATTGAAAAGTGTGTTCTAATATTTTGTGTGTTGGTGCAGGCAATGTTAGCTCCTCCAAATGCAGAACCAGTTTATGGAGCAGAAGCAGATGCTGAGAACTTGATTGATACAACAGACGTTGACATCAGGCTGCCAATGCTAGTCTATGTTTCAAGAGAGAAGAGACCGGGTTATGATCACAACAAGAAAGCAGGAGCCATGAATGCTTTGGTTAGAACCAGCGCAATTATGTCTAATGGCCCATTCATCCTCAATCTTGATTGTGACCACTACGTCTACAACTCCATGGCTTTGAGAGAAGGAATGTGCTTCATGCTTGATCGTGGAGGTGATAGAATCAGCTATGTTCAGTTCCCTCAGAGGTTTGAAGGTATTGACCCAAATGATCGTTATGCAAACCACAACACTGTCTTCTTTGATGTTAGTATGAGAGCTTTGGATGGACTTCAAGGTCCAATGTATGTGGGAACTGGCTGCATCTTCCGCAGAACAGCTCTCTATGGGTTTAGCCCTCCGAGAGCAACGGAGCATCATGGCTGGCTTGGAAGAAAAAAAGTCAAGATATCGTTGAGGAAACCTAAAGCTGTGATGAAGAAAGATGATGAGATTTCTTTGCCCATGAATGGAGAATTCAACGAAGAAGAGAATGATGATGGAGATATTGAGTCTCTGCTTCTCCCAAAGAGATTCGGAAACTCAAACTCTTTCGTTGCTTCAATCCCGGTTGCTGAGTACCAAGGGAGACTCTTACAAGACTTGCAAGGCAAAGGCAAGAACAGTAGACCAGCCGGCTCGCTTGCTGTCCCGCGTGAACCGCTTGATGCGGCCACTGTAGCTGAAGCAATCAGTGTGATTTCTTGCTTCTACGAGGACAAAACAGAGTGGGGCAAAAGAGTTGGATGGATCTATGGATCAGTGACTGAAGACGTAGTCACGGGATATCGAATGCACAACCGAGGATGGAGATCAATCTACTGCGTGACGAAAAGAGACGCTTTCCGTGGAACAGCACCGATCAATCTAACGGACAGACTTCACCAGGTTCTGAGATGGGCAACAGGTTCTGTTGAGATCTTTTTCTCAAGGAACAACGCCATTTTCGCAACCAGAAGGATGAAGTTTTTGCAGAGAGTGGCTTACTTCAATGTCGGAATGTATCCATTCACATCGCTGTTCCTCATCATTTACTGCATTCTCCCTGCGGTCTCGCTCTTCTCGGGTCAATTCATAGTCCAGTCACTCGACATAACGTTCTTGATCTTCCTCCTCTCGATAACACTCACGCTCTGTATGCTATCACTCCTTGAGATCAAATGGTCAGGGATAACTCTCCACGAATGGTGGAGAAACGAGCAGTTCTGGGTTATTGGAGGCACAAGCGCACACCCTGCAGCTGTTCTTCAGGGTCTCCTCAAGGTAATTGCAGGAGTGGATATCTCATTTACCTTGACTTCCAAGTCATCTACACCAGAAGATGGAGACGACGAGTTTGCAGACCTGTATGTTGTGAAATGGAGCTTTCTGATGGTTCCTCCGTTGACGATCATGATGGTGAATATGATTGCGATTGCGGTGGGGCTAGCGAGGACTCTGTACAGCCCATTTCCGCAATGGAGTAAGCTTGTTGGAGGAGTGTTCTTCAGCTTTTGGGTGCTTTGTCATCTGTATCCGTTTGCTAAAGGATTGATGGGAAGAAGAGGCAAAGTTCCGACAATAGTGTTTGTGTGGTCAGGTTTGTTGTCGATTATTGTGTCTTTGCTATGGGTTTATATCAACCCTCCTTCAGGGAAACAAGACTATATGCAGTTTCAATTCCCTTGATTCTTTAGGTATTTTTTTCCTTTTCTTTGTGAGTGGTACAAGGCATGAAAGTTCTTCTTTCTAGGCTTCATGTTTGTAATCAGATTATTATAATTACGCTTCTGCCCAAAGTAAGCCTTAGGTTCTTTGGCTCTACTCTATATTGTGTTTACTTGCAAAGCCAGCCGTTTGAGCCAAAAACATAGCTAAAGAACCCAGATTAAAGCAAACCGGATGAATAAATCTCACCGGGAGCGAAATTATTGAAGCAACCTGGTCTCTGCGGTAGCGAATCATCATCGTGGTTGAGAATTTACCAAACACAAGTATTGTCATCACAACTACTGGGCCCATGCGCTAAGATACAAATAATGGGCCACCGGTATCGGCCCATACAAAACCAAGGTCGGTATCATCTGAAAAAGGGTCTTAACTGCGATTTGATTTAGGTTTTCCAAATTCTTCATATTGAGTTTGATCTTAAATTTTGGTAAAGTTTTAAAAGTCTTGATCGATGATGAAAGCGAGGGCGGCCGGGGTCAAGGTCTGGTGGGACATAAACAGGTGTCCGGTTCCCGATGACGTTGATGTTGGTCGGGTCGGTCCGTGTATAAGACGGGCGTTGGAGAAATTAGGCTACTGTGGTCCTTTCAATATCACTGCCATTGGCATACTAACAGACGTCCCTCATGACTTTCTGAGACAAGTCTATTCCTCTGGGATGGCTATTCATCATATCCCCCTTGGTTAATATTTCAGTTTTGATTGATATTAAACGTTCTATTAGAGATTTTGTTTTTATTTCATATTATTATAATAAGAAATTTCTATGCGAACAGATATCACTGAAGTGACTGGGGCTCTGATTTATTGGAGTTGGACCCATCCACCTCCGGCTAATATAATGCTCATATCAAATGAGTCAATCTTCTCGAATATTCTCGACACGCTATGTAGGATCGGATACAACGTTGTTCGGTCGATACTTCCTGATGGTTCTCAACAAGGAGCCGCCTCCACTTCCACTTCCCCAGAGTACCTCCTCTGGGAAAGCATACTGGCAAGCTTACGGGCCGGTATTTTTGTCCTCTTTCTCTTACAGTACAGGGTTGAGAAATAATAAGCTGTTTTTGAACTAGTTTTTTTTTTTTTTTTATATATATATAAGATGCTATGGATGCATGGGCACTACAAGGTGACAATTGTGGTAGTGAAACGGCTGAACCTGCCTTGCGTTGTCAGCAATGCATCATTTCTGTCCAAAGCTTTGAAAAATTCACCACCCACGGCTTTGAAAATTTCACCACCCACCTCCAGAGCAGAGAACATGCCCATAATGTAAGCATCCTAGCTGAAAAAAGACAAGACTTGTTGTGATAATACATATGTTTTTTCTCAAGCTACATATGTAGTGTTCTTATTCTAGTTACCATCTGACTTTAATGGTAATATCAAAATCATGTGTTATAGATTATATATAATAATTTTGGTTGTTAACGAGCAGGCACAATACTACTGCAACATAGACGAAGAAAAGAAGAAGCCTAAAAGAGGAAAAAGAAGAAAAAAAAGATATAGGAGTTGATGGGCATATGGGGAATATTTTGTCCTACTTTTTTACCAGCTAAGACATGAGTTTTCACCCAATTTCTCAATAAAAAAAAAAAAAAACACATTTAAGGACAGTTATTGGGAAGATGATTTTTAAAGATTCTTAAAGTTTAAGATTTTATTGTCATTGGTTTGTGGATTTTTATATTTTAATAATATATTTTTGATTTTGTTTTTTCATTTAAAATTTTTTGTTATTTAAAAAATTGAGTATTTATTAATTATAGAATTCTATCAAACTTTAACCCTCTCCAATCTTTTTGATTTTGTTATTTCTTTGTTATTCAAAAAATTGAGTATTTATTAATTATAGAATTCTATCAAACTTTAACCATCTCCATCCTACCAAATCAAATTGCTACAAAATTGGGATTTAAACCCTTAAACCCTAAGACAGCGGCGGAAGATAAAAGAGGGTTAAAAATGTAGACAGCGGCGAAATTGTATTAAACCATAAAAGTATAAGATGATATTGAAGATAAAACATACATTGAGATCATGCGACCAATGCTAGTCTATGAGTCAGAGATAGAAGCGGCCTGGTTAAGGGGGAACTTTCTGTCTCTCATGCCCGAGTCCCAATGCACCCAAAAGAAGTTGCCTAAGTTTTAAAAAGTAGATCTTACCTACTTCTTTTAGCTAAATAAGGTAATTTTTCTACTTTTCCTTCCTATTATGGCCGGCCGGAGAGGCCTCTGGACAACCTTTCCCCCGTTTTCCTCTCCATTTGTGCCGAAGGAAGACTCTGTGCTTGTGACGGTTGACTCGGGGCTGTCCTGTTGAGAAAAGTACCCTCGGTTAGGGTCAGTTTTCGTGCTCTGTTCTGGAGAAAGTACTGCTTGATGCAGTTTAGTAGGCTCTGGTTTGTTTTTCGTCGGGATTACATTTGTTCACTCTGAGAAGTAGAAGTCTCGCTAAGGCTGCTTACTCCTCCTTTGACTGGTATCTCGTGTCTGGCCTGACCTGGGCTTGTTAGTTGTTTGAGTGATTTCTGCTTGTGAGTTTGGTTCTATTTGGTCTCAGGTGCAGAGTCTGCTTTCCATCTCTACCTTGGCTCTACCTCTTCACTGCTCAGAGCTTATGGCGGCCCGTTACTCTCGTCACGATAAGGGGAAAGGAATCGCCACCTCTAGTGGCCCCAGCCGCAGATCCTCGTTTCGCTCCCCTGTTCGTATACCGGAATGTGATAATGATGATCTCATTAGAAAAAATCGTCTAACTCTGGTTGGGCGGGTGACAAACCCCCGTGTCCAAAACCCTAAGGCGCTGGTTCACTACATGCTACAATTCTGGAACCTGGGGAATAGAGTCTCTGGACGTGACCTGGGGCAAGGGAAATTTCAGTTTACCTTCAAGTCTGAGGAGGACTTACAGCTAGTCCTCAGTTGGTCCCCGTTCCATTTCAAGCAATGGATGTTTATCCTCCAACGCTGGGAACCAATCATCTCAGAGACTTTCCCATCTAACATCCTATTCTGGATTCAACTCCAAGGAGTTCCGCAGCATTACTGGACAGAGAAAGCTCTCAATGCCATAGGATCGGATGTGGGAGTTGTTGAGGCAGTAGATACCGAGAATGTGCGAATAAGAGTCCACTTAAATGCTCTGCGTCCTTTGGAGAAATCAGTACCAATAGTCCTCCCCTCTGGTGATATTACTGAGGTAGTTTTGGAGTATGAAAGATTGGAGAAGCACTGTTTTCTCTGCCTCTCTTTGTCTCATGAAGAGCGCGATTGTAACAAAAGGAGATCTCAGCATGTAACTGACAAAGATGACTCGAGGATTAACCAAAGAAACACTCTCCAGAGAATTGATGAAAGGAAGAGGAAGCTTGATTCTAGCATTCCTTCTGACGCTGCTCCTAAAAGGCGGAGAGATGAGAAGCGTTTTTCCCCTTCCAGACGTCGGGATTACCCATCTCATTTTGATTCCCCTCGAAGACTACCAGTTAGAAAGGAGGATCGAAGGAACGTTTTAAGAGATAGAGTGGACCCAAAACTTTATCATAAAGATAGTGGTAGAGCGAGGGATCTGTCAAGGTCAAGACCTCCCCCCCATCTGAATCATCATCACAGGCAGGGCGCTAGAATCCAGCTATCCCTAGGGCCTCTTCTGCCAATATTTGTTAACATTTCCCCTACTTCGGTGAGGGAGGTATCTCCGATCACACCACCGCCGCAGGAGCAGAGAGTTTTACCTCCTCCCCCACCCCTTCCCCCTAGGAGCACGCCTGTGGCTTCCTCCCCCTCACCAAAGTCTCGAAGACCTGCGTTAGAGCGTCTATCACTGGGAGTAGATGCAGGGGGCCAGGACCCCACAGGAGGAGTCTCATCCTCCATGCTAGGACGACTGCAAGAGGTTAACATTGAGTATGCGGGAGATGAGAACTTTGGACTCACGGATATCAACAATGCCAGCATTTTTGGGTCTTGTGCATCCCCTATCCACCCTACCTTGGGTCATCGGCTAGCATTGAACCAAGATCCTTTGGGAGAGACTTCAAGACGCCCTGCATCCCTTAGGCTGTCACACGATCAGCATCAGCAGGTCACTGTCACTATCCCGGAGCTCCCCCCAAAAACAAAAGCGCCAAGTAAGAAGAGAGCAGCAAACTCTTCCAAATCTAGAGGTAATAGAAGCCCTCTCCAAGGAGCCAGTACGAGGAAAAGAAATTCTACAAGACCTAAGATGAGCTCCTCTACTAGAAAAAGATTATGTAATGAAAAGTTACCTCAAGCTGAGGACCAGGTCATGGGGGCTCAGGACTCGCAACCCGCCATTGTACTAATTCCTGCTTCTAAAAAGAAAACTTCAAAGGTGGATTTTCAAAGTCCACCAAATCTTCTTCCTTAGTGTTAGTTAGTTGGAATTGCCAAGGGCTGGGAAGCACCCTGACAATTCCAATACTGCGGGAGATTCGACGTGAGATCTCCCCTAATATTATGTTTCTCATGGAAACCAAAAACCAGGATGATGTGTTTCTTTTAGTGTTTCAATCTATGGGTTTCAATAACCATGTTACTGTCCCACCCCATGGTTTAAGTGGAGGTTTGGCCTTGTTTTGGACTGATGAGGTGTCGCTAGATCTTTTATCTTCTTCTCCAAATTTAAAGGACACTAAGGTCAAGTTCAAACAAGTATCTTCTTTCATCTCCTTTGTGTATGGCGCCCCGCAAGTGTAAAATAGATCATGTGTTTGGAATGCAATCTCTTCCCAAGGTACTAACAGAGAGAGTGCTTGGCTCCTTACGGGAGATTTTAATGAGATCCTGGATAGCAGTGAGAAGGTCGGAGGACCACCGAGAAGTGAAGGCTCCCTCATTCCGTTCCGCTCCTTTGTCTCACAAAATGGCTTGTGGGACGTTCCACACACCGGAAACATGTATCTTGGAGGGGTCAAAGACATAATCACTTTATTCAATCTCGGCTGGATAGGTCTCTAGCTAATATTGCTTGGTCGGAACAGTTTCCCTCGGGGAGATCAAAATATTTAAGATTTGAAGGCTCAGATCATCGCCCCTTAGTAACGTATTTCGACCCTAATAAAGTACTGAAGAAAGGAAGCTTCCGATTCGATAGGAGGCTTAGAGACAAACCAGAGATTTTTCCTCTCATTGAGGCTGCTTGGAGCGGATATGATTTAGAATCTCTCTTTCTCAAATTCTCTAGATGTCGAAGAGACTTAATCCAATGGAACAAAGACCAAATCAAGCTCAAAGTTCAGGAGGTATCGGCTAAACAGGAAGCTCTGGAAGCAGCACTTTCAGCCCAAATTCCCAATGTTGAGCTTATCGATTCTATTACTTAGCAACTAGAATTGGCTTACAAAGAGGAAGAGTCGTTTTGGCGACAAAGAAGCAGAATTCAATGGCTTCAAGAGGGGGATCAAAATTCTAGTTTCTTCCATGCGGTTACTAGGGGAAGGAAGGCAACTAACTACTTCTCTGTTTTGGAGAATGATAATGGAGAGGAAGTATATAAAGAGAGCCAAATTGCGGGCACTATTACTGCGTTCTATGAGAAACTCTTCTCTTCTGCAACAAGTTCTCAACTCCAAGTTGTGGATGAAGCAATCCAGCCACAGATTACATCAGCCATGAATGTGAGGTTGATCCGGGTTCCATCAAGTATGGAGATTAAAGAAGCGGTGTTTGATATCCACCCGGATAAGGCACCGGGTCCGGATGGTTTCTCGGCTGGTTTCTACCACTCTTATTGGGACATTATTGCAACAGACGTGATCAAGGAGGTCCTCTCCTTCTTCGAAAGGGGCCATTTGCATCTTAGGCATAACGAAACTCATGTACGGCTCATTCCAAAAAAGACGGGGGCAAAAAGAGTAGAGGACTATAGACCGATTGCCTTGTGTAGTGTTCACTATAAGATTATCGCCAAGATCTTGTCCAAGAGACTTCAGCCCCTCTTACCGATTCTCATCTCCTCCCATCAATCGGCTTTTGTTCCGGGTAGAGATATCTCCGATAATGTGCTTATTACTCATGAGGTCCTGCATTTTCTAAGAGTTTCAGGAGCCAAAAAGCATTGTGCAATGGCGATTAAGACGGACATGAGTAAGTTCTACGATAGAATCGAATGGTCCTTCCTTCGAGCGATTTTGACTAGATTTGGTTTCCATGACATGTGGACGGGTTGGATTCTGGAATGTGTATCTTCGGTGTCTTACTCGTTTTTAATTAATGGTGCTCCCCAAGGCTGTGTTACTCCGTCCCGAGGGCTCCGTCAGGGTGACCCTCTATCCCCTTACCTATTTATTCTTTGTTCCGAGGTTCTCTCCGGATTATGTCGGAATGCTCAAAGAAAGGGAACTCTCCCGGGAGTTAGAGTAGCCAAAAAAAGCCCGTTGATAAACCACCTTCTCTTTGCGGATGATACTATGTTTTTTAGTAAAACGAGTGTCAAAAGTTGTGAGACTCTCTTATCTATCCTTAAGCGTTATGAAGTTGCCTCGGGGCAATGCATTAATGCTGCCAAATCAGGTATAACTTTCTCCTCCAAGACCCCCCTTGAGGTGAAACAAAGGGTGAAACTATCTCTTGGGATTACCAATGAGGGAGGAATTGGGAAATATCTAGGACTCCCGGAGCATTTTGGAAGAAAAAAGAAAGATATCTTCACTGGGATTGTGGAGAAAATTAGACATCGTATCGGAACGTGGACAACACGTTTCCTCTCGGCTGCCGGGAAAGAAGTCTTGCTAAAGGCGGTATTAGCGGCTATGCCGGCCTATGCGATGTCGTGTTTCAAGTTGCCCTCCTCGCTATGTAAGAGAATCCAATCAGCTCTAACAAGGTTTTGGTGGGACACTAATCAAGATAAAAAGAAGATGTGTTGGGTTTCATGGGAGAAGCTTACCTTACCAAAAGACTCGGGAGGATTGGGTTTTCGTGATATAATCTCCTTTAATGACTCGCTGCTAGCTAAAATCAGTTGGAATCTAGTGCAAAAACCTGACTCGCTGCTAGCGAAAGTCTTAATGGGCAAATATTGCCATTCGTCCTCCTTTATGGAGTCTAAATGTCCATCGTCGGCCTCACATGGATGGAGAGGTGTCCTGGCCGGGAGAGATATTCTCTCAAAGGGTCTCGGCTGGATAATTGGCAATGGAGCTGAGGTTAGTGTGTGGAGCTCTCCGTGGCTGTCTGCCTCTATCCCAATGAGACCAATAGGCCCCCCTCCTCTATCTAGTTTGAATTTAACGGTCAAAGATCTGCTGATCCCAAACTCGACTTTGTGGAATCTAGAGGCTGTTAGACTCCATGTACCTCACCATGAGGAAGATGTACTCCGGTTAGTTTTGAGCTCCATCCCTAGACCGGATAAACAGAGATGGCTACTTCACAAAAGGGGAGTTTACTCTTCGAAATCTGGCTACTCGTGTACTAAATCCTTTGGGTTAGAGACTTCAGAAAGTAACTTTAATTGGCGAGCTAATATTTGGAGTATCAGCACGTCGACCAAGTTAAAAATGTTCTTGTGGAAGGCCGCTAGAAAGGCTTTACCAGTGGGAGAGGCCCTCGCTAGTAGAGGTTTTGGAGCGGACATTGTTTGCAAACGCTGTGGTGAGAGAGAGGATTTAGTTCACATTTTTTTCTCTTGCTCTTTTGCAGCTAGAGTGTGGGATCTTGTTCCTGCGATTCAGAAACCGCAGACCACTGATGACACCTCTTTAAAGGAATGTTTGGTTTTAGCAAAAAAGATGATCCTCTTACCCCCAGTAGGTTTATGTGTGACTCCGATTTACCCGTGGATCTTCTGGTTCCTCTGGAAAGCTCGCAATCTGCTGCTCTTTGAAGATCGTGGAGGGTCCGAGTTGGACATCGTGGTGAAAGCTGTAACCGAAGCCAAAATGTGGGAAAAAGCAAAACAACTTAAAGTGACTAAGGGTCACGGCCTGCGGAAGGAAGCCTCTACGGAGGCTCGACCAGATGCGTTCTTGTGCTTCTCGGACGCAGCCTGGAAGGCGTCCACCGGTGTGGGAGGGCTTGGCTGGTTAGTTAAAGACCCACTTAGGAGAACGATTCTCCAAGGTTCCTCATTTAGACCCTTTGTGGCTTCGCCTCTTCTGGCGGAAGCACTCGCTATGGAAGCTGCATTCGAGGCAGCTTTAGCGTCGGGTGTGTTAAGCGTAGCCTGTTTCTCTGACTGTCAGGAGCTCGTGCTTCTGCTGCAATCGGGAGGCTATGTCAATGAGCTTGATGGTGTTCTTGCAAACATCTCGTCTCTTCGTTCTAGTTTTGTGTCTGTCTCCTTTCATTTCATACCTCGTTCTGAAAATTCTCAAGCAGACTCTTTAGCAAAAGCTGCTTTAATTTCCTGTACCAGCTCCTCTTGTGTTGGAGTTTAAACGATTTCGATTATTAATTTATAGTTTGCCCAAAAAAAGAAGCGGCCTGGTTATCATCATAACATGAATGCAGGAGCCATCAATTGCTTTGGTTATGATCAGTGCAATCATGTCTAATGGCCCTTTTATCTTGGTTTTTGAAGTGGCAATAGAATCTGCTATGCTCAGTTCCCTCAGAAGTTTGAAGCTATTGGACCCAAATGATCATTATGAAAACTAATAAAGTCTTCTTCGATTTTACTAGAAGTCTTGCATCACACAAGTATGCACTCTGGTTAGTCGGAGACAGAGTAAGAAGAGTAGAAGACATCAGACACATTACATTAGAGAAATAAAAAAAGGCAAAGAGGTAAATCATTTTTAAAGGTTTGAGAACCAAAGTAGGAGAGTAGTATCTGCACAATATTACTTTTAGAATCAACAATAAACAACACCGAAAAAAAACGCTTTAACCTGAGCTATCTGTGAATAACCTAACTATATATTTTTTTATTTTTTTCCCTCTGGAACATATTCACCCGCCGGTACAACACTTAAAAAGAAGTTCTCTCTTCTAAATCGTATCTCCAGCCTGGTTGAACTGTCTGAAGCAACACTACTATATAGTACTGTTCCGGCAAGATTTTCAACATACGTAGTTGTCCCCAGTTATAAACCAATCGGTCTGGACCAATGAAACTCCGCTAATCTTCGGCTTACTCCTCATTTTTGGCTGGTTAAAACAAACAAAACCGAACTTGAGATGAGATTGTGATTCTGATTTCTTAACAATGCTATTAGGAATCCGAATATGCAAGAAAAAGTCCGCAACTTTTTTAAAGCGATTTAATTCCACAAAAGTGATTGGTTTGTTACAGATTTACATTTATTACAAAATTTGATGATAATCATAACAATAACCAAGAAGTGCCTTATACATAGCTTGTTCAATGCAGAAACTAGGTAAAGATTCGAGATCCTTTAGAGTTGCTCAACTAAGTTCATATGTGCAAATCTCTGATATTTTGCCTTTACTAGCTAAATACACTAAGAAACTACATAAAAAAGGGTTAGACAATCAAGTGTGCTCATGGTGTTCCACAATGCATCAGGTCCAGTAAGGACCAAGAAACGTGCCCTACCACTAACCCATTTCCCCACTATTATAATTTACAATCTCCACCAATTGGCCAACGATGGAGTATTATGAACTATAAAGCAAATCATAAAGCTTCTATTTGTCTAGTTATGTAATGTTGCCAACGAAAAAGCCAAGCCTTTCCCATAGCCAAAAATGGTATAAACTTCACATATGCTCAAACGAGTAAAAAAGCCAACCCCACAAAGAATGAAGATTCCTAACTTATAGTTCAACCATTGATGAACAAACACAGACAATAAGCAAAATGACACTGCAATTGAACAAAGTTTGTGTAGATAGTTTACCTGTGAACGTGAAAACTCGGCTAACCCGACATCGGCATCAATGGGAGTGTTTATACAAATCATAAGGTGCCCACAAAGTGTCTAAAGGACATGGAAGCTTGGAATCAAGCCTTAGCCATGGCTTGCCACTACCTGACCAATGAAGCAAACTCACAGGACCAGAATGCAAATCACGGCAGCTACCTCTAACATTATCACCACCAAGGCCATGCTGATTCCACCGATGTGAAATCGGAGCAACGTGACCAGCAAATACGAGAAGAAACGGTGGAAGAGAACCAAGCTCATAGATCCTCTCCATCTTCTGAATCTCCATCCACTTCTCAATCCGTTTGGTGAACTTAAATCGTCTCCATTTCTTCAGATCAATCACCATGACACCAGTATTGAAGTAACAAGGGTTCCTCCCTTTGAACGTTCCGTGAAACCTCTTATCAGACCAGAAACCTCCGGTGAAGTATTTAGTGAAATTGGCGTGACAATACTCGGGAGCTCCGATTGTTCTCGGGCCTAGACCCGTTTTCCAGAGCTTCACAATGTCATCGACGACGATGAGGTCCGAATCCAAGTAGATGACCCGCTTAACGCAAGGCTCGAGCAGATCCGCCAAGTAGTTTCTGGCGTAATTGAGCGGTTGCTCCAGGGCCTGCCTCACGGAAGATGAGATCAACGACTGAACGGTCTCAGGGGCAAAATAGTAAATCTTGAGATTGTTCAATTTGGGGAAAGTAGAACGGATAAGAGATTCTAGGGTTTGAATGTCGGAGGAGGAGACGAGGAAGTGGAAGAAGACGCTTTGAGGACACATCGAGTGTTGGAGGATCGAATTGACGGCTGCGATTGATCCGCGGAGGTAATCGATGTCGAGAGTGATGGCAACGTGGACGAGATTAGGGTTACAGACGCCGGAATCGTCGCCGGAAGATCTGCATTGTTCGGCGTTACGAAAAATCGGAGATTCTCTGAAGGAGGAGGAGGAGTGTCGTGTTTTGAAAGCGCCAGAGGGTTCGGGATGCGAAGACGATCGGATAGCTGCGGCGGGGGAAAAGGATCGGAGTGAAGGGGAGAGGAGAATCATGGCTAATGCGGCGGTAAAGACGGCGGAGAATCTCGTAATCCAATGCATGGCGAGAATGCAGAAGATACGAAGAAGAAGGCTTTTATAAGTTTTGTTAAAGGAAGAAGGAAAGAGCAACAAATCAGAGAGGAACCTTCTTCACCTTCATGTTCATGGTGAAGAAATCGAAAGAGGCGTAGGATAAGAAGAACACAGAGAGGCACATTTCGCATGTCAATGCTACTCTGCGCCCTCTCTTCTCTTCCCTTCTCCTCTGCTTTCTACTCGTTTGCACGATTACGCTATTTTAAGTTTTTTTTTTCTAAGGAAGAAGAAGCAGAAGAAGAAGAGATTACTATTTTATTTTTGTTTTTTTTTACACGAACACAGAGAGAGTGAGAGAGAAAAGGGTCGAGTAACATTTGTATTTATAGTAGTTGAATATATTATTTAATATAAAAAAAGTGTTTTAATAAATTAAATGTGGATTAATTAAAGCAAGTGGAAACGTGAAAGTTAAAAAGATGTAATTAATGTATTGTGAAGAGCAAATGTCACTGTCGCTGGTGATGATTCTATTTCTAGATATTAATGTGTGTATGTACTCCTTGTTTCTTCTGTTTATTACTTTTACAATGACTTTCTCTGGAATCTCTGATAAAATTACAGTCTCGCAATTTCTTATTACAAGGAAGTAAAACTTAGTTAGGTGTTGTGTTTGTAAACACGATGATGTCCTAGATCGACAGATTATATATAGAAGAAGCTTCAGCGAAACGTCGAGCCAACCTAACCAACACCGACCATATATCGTGCCCGATATATTTTCTTAGATGATAGTACCAGTTTATAAACCATGTCTTCTTTATGTTGATTAAATATAATAATGCTACTTTTGAGGTTCTAGATCACAAGTATAGCAATTTAAGAAACACTTGAAAGATTATAAAGAATTACTCTCTTTATTGCTTAAGAAAATATCTCAAAACTTAAGCTCTCAATCTCTCAATGTCTCACACTTAATGTCATGCCTCGACATCTATATTTATATAAGAAACCTATTCCTAATCCTATTAGAAATACATATACTTAGATAACTCCTAAAGTATATGATCATTATCTCTAACTAAACCATTGCTCGGTTTAGGACTAGGATAGCTTCTTCTCCAAGTTAAGTCTTCAAGCTTAACTCAACATTCTCCCCCTTAAGCTTGAAGTCTTCTTTTGCCAAGTCTCGAACACCTATGAACTCCCTCATCTCTTTAAACTTGATTTTTCCTAAAGCTTTTGTAAGTATATCCGCCTTTTGCTCGTTGCCGGGAACATGCTCCACCTCTATTTGTCCATTCTCCACGCATTCTCTTATAAAATGATACCTCCTATGTATGTGCTTGCTTCGACCATGAAAGACCGGATTTTGGTGAGAGCAATGGCTGACTTGTTATCCATGAGCAGTGTAACCTTCTCGCTTGGCTGTCCCGTGACTTCACTAAGTAGATCCGCTAGCCAAATTGCTTGCCTAGCTGCTTCGGTTCCAGCCATGAACTCGGCCTCACAAGAAGACATCGCCACAGTCTCTTGCTTATGTGTGTTCCACGAGATCGGGCTTCCTCCAAGATAGAAGATGTGTCCAGCAGTACTTCTTCCGTCGTCCGGATCGACATTATGACTACTATCGCTATATCCCACAAGTCTCGGTACCTTTGCCTGAGAACGTGCAAATACAAGCCCAAGTGAAGTAGTACCTTTTAAATACCTTAGGCATTGTTTCATTGCAGCTCCATGAGAGATCTTTGGGTTATGCATATAACGACTTAAGATCCCGACACAATAAGTCAAGTCCGGTCGTGTGTGCAGCAAGTAACGAAGACAACCCACATTCTTTCTAAACATTGTGGCGTCTATACTCCTTTCATGCTCCGATTTTTCAAGCTTCAGGCCGGATTCCATTGGTGAATGAACTGAATTACAATCCTTCATTCCACCTTCTTCTATGATCTTCAATGCATACTTCTTTTGATTTAATGATATCCCTTCTTGATGTTGACAAACTTCAATACCGAGATAATATGTCAAGCATCCGAGGTCACTCATCTCGAATTTTGTAGCCATTTCCTTTTTAAACTCGAAGATAAGACTCATGCTTGTTCCTGTAACAAAAAGATCATCAACATACACGGCTATAAGGAGGTAATCATGCATTACTTCCTTGCGATACACAGATGGTTCCTTTGAACACTTTACAAACTTAAGCTCCATGAGGATTTGATTCAATTTGTGATTCCAAGCCCTTGGTGCTTGTCGTAATCCATACAAAGCCTTCTTAAGTTTATAAACCTTTCCTTCTAGTTGCTTCTTTTCGAATCCTTCTGGTTGCAAGAAATGGACCGTTTCTTTTAGCTCACCATGGAGAAATGCAGTTTTTACATCGAGATGATGTATCTCCCATCCATTTGCAGCCGCAAGGTTAACCAACAATCTTATGGTTTCAAGACGAGCAACCGGAGCAAACACTTCCTCAAAATCGATCCCGTATTGTTGTACATACCCTTTTGCAACGAGTCGGGCTTTGTACTTGTTGATGCTTCCATCGGCGTTTGTCTTGAGTTTAAAGACCCATTTTAACCCAATTGGCTTAACTCCATCTGGTAAGTCCACAAGATCCCAAGTTTGGTTCTTCTCAATCGAATGAATCTCATCCTCGCACGCAAGCATCCATTCTTTCTTTCCTTTAGCTTCTTGGTAGTTTCTAGGTTCATTGTTTAAACACATCAGAAGTATCTCACCTTCCTCCTCAGCAAGTAGTGCATAGTCTTGAAGATATTGTGGTCTTTGTCTTTCTCTTGTAGCTTTTCTTAAAGCTATAGGCTGATCACCAGCTTCGGAATCCTCATGATCAAGTTCTTCTTCACTCTCATGACCATTATCCGACACATGATCATTTCCGTGATTGTTGTCTACTTGTTCGATTTCTTCATTCTCATTCTCGGTTTCTTGTATACCACGATTGCCAAACTCTTCAAAGCCAAAACTAAACCTTCCTCCATGCTCCTCTTCTGATGTATTTAGCTTCCAATTCCAGCCTTTTGTTTCGTCAAAGATCACATCTCGGCTTACAACTATCTTCTTTGTTTGCGGATCAAGTAATCTATAAGCTTTTGAGCCCGGCTCAGTTCCTAAATGAATAAGCATACGCGTCCTATCTTCTAGCTTCTTTAGGTGCGGCTTCTCCACTTTTGCGTATGCAATGCATCCAAAAATCCGAAGGTGATCAATGTTAGGCTTCTTAGATCTAAAGACCTCATACGGTGTCTTGTCCGAGAGTGCTCTTGTTGCAATACGGTTTAGCAAGTATGTAGAGTGTCTAACTGCTTCTCCCCACAAGTAATTCGACATGTGCATGTGTTTTAAGATGCTTCTAGACATCTCCGTTAGGGTTCTATTGCGTCGCTCGACTACTCCATTCTGTTGAGGCGTGTATGGGGCAGTGAGGTGACGGTTTATACCCTCTTTTTCACAAAAAGACATGAATTCTTGTGATACAAACTCCCCTCCTCTATCTGTCCTGAAAGTTTGTATGTGAAGTCCTGTTTCTTGTTCCACAAGTTGCCTAAACCTTTTGAATTTTTCAAAAGCCTCACTCTTTTCCTTCAACAAGCTCGTCCACATATACCGAGAATGATCGTCTATGAGGACAAAGATGTACCTATTTCCAGCAGTTGTGCTTGGTGATATAGGGCCACAAAGATCACCGTGAATTAGCTCAAGCATCCTACTTGCTCTATACGAAGTAGCTTGAGGAAACATTCTTCTTGTTTGTTTCCCAAGTAAGCAAGATGCACATAATTCCTTCTCGACAACAACTCGTGGTATGCCCTGAACTAACTCCTTTTGTATCATCGATTTGATTGTCTCATAGTTTATGTGACCCAATCTTGCATGCCACCTGCTAGAATCCGAAATTGTAGTTAGATTACAAGAAGCTATGTTGCGAATCCTCATGCTTACTTTGTATAGCCGGTTCTTTGATCTATCGGCCTTAACAAGTAGTTTTCCTTCTCGGTCATGCATAGTTAGTTGTTCTCCTTTCATGCGTATGTCACACCCAGATTCTGTGGCTTGTCCAAGACTAGTGATGTTGCTTTTTAAGTCTGGTATGAAATACACATTGGTCATCTTTCTTGGTTCACCATTCATATCAATAAACGAGATTGTGCCTTTTCCCTTGATAGCAATGCATGAATCATCTCCAAATCGTACTTTCCCGGTGATGGAGTCATCAATTTTGTCAAAATACCTTCGATCTCCTGTCATATGGTTGCTAGCTCCATTGTCGAGGTACCAAAGATTTTCTTCACCAATATCACCAATGTTTGTTTCATACTTGCTGGGAATGCAATGTTTCTCGTTGAGATAAACGACTTCATGTAGCATGAGCTCGTCCGCGTCTTGTGTATCATTAGTCTCCGCTTCTTCTGCTTCTTGTAACTTAAGTAGTCGATCAGGACAGCTCGAGGCGTAGTGTCCAAGTTTGTCACATCGAAAACATGTGATTTTGGACGTGTCTCTTCCTCCTCCTTGTCCTCGTCCTCGACCTCTGTATCGTCCACCTCGGCCTCTTCCGCGTGTGTCTCCATTATAATCCCGATTCGATTGGCCATCCGTGTTTGTATACATAAGTTTTCCACCATCGTCTTGGCCATCGTCTTCCTCAAAGGTGCGTTCTTCATATGTTTTCAGACGTCCGATAGCCTCGTCAAAAGACATTGTATTAAGATCAAACACTTGCTCAAGTGTAGCGACTATGTGAATATACTTTCGCCGGGGAAGACTTTTCAGAAATTTCTTAACAAGTTTAGGCTCTGCCATGGTTTCTCCTAGAGCCGCAGCCTTGGAAGAAATCTCAGCAATCCTTCCTGCAAAGTCGTCGATCTTCTCGGAGTCTTTCATCGTGAGTTTGTCAAACTCAGACAACAATGTTTGGAGTCTAGCGTCTTTAACTCTATCTGCACCCATATGTCGTGTGTTGATCGCATCCCACACCTTCTTTGCTGTATCTAGGGTACCAAACTGAAGAACAAGTGTTTCGGGGATGGATTGAAACAACAAAGCTATGGCCATGGTGTTCTTCTCGGGATCAATCGCTTCTGTGACGGGGTCAATTGCCTCCCAAACCTTATGAACCTGAAGTGTAATCTTCATGCGTATGGCCCATACTGTATAGTTCACGGATGTGAGCATAGGACATGCGATAGAAGAGCTTCCACTTGTCTTTGGTTTTGGGTCGGAAACAACAATATCGGCCATGATTGATCAAGATCGGTTTATAGGCTCTGATACCAAATCTAGATCACAAGTATAGCAATTTAAGAAACACTTGAAAGATTATAAAGAATTACTCTCTTTATTGCTTAAGAAAATATCTCAAAACTTAAGCTCTCAATCTCTCAATGTCTCACACTTAATGTCATGCCTCGACATCTATATTTATATAAGAAACCTATTCCTAATCCTATTAGAAATACATATACTTAGATAACTCCTAAAGTATATGATCATTATCTCTAACTAAACCATTGCTCGGTTTAGGATTAGGATAGCTTCTTCTCCAAGTTAAGTCTTCAAGCTTAACTCAACAGAGGTTCGTAATACTGACTATATATAACTACTGTTTAGCTAAACTCGAGAGAGATTAAAAGTTCTTTTGTAACTTGAAGCCCCCTATTTACAAAATACTACAGTAAGATATGTTTATTCATAATAGTGAAGTAATCATCGAATATAGAAAGTGAAATATATATATAGTATAATTGAGTTAATATATAATGACGATTCTTTTGCCTTGGAAATGAGGTCCCGCGAGAGATTAGTAAACTACTTTAGACCTTTTAATACGCATTCGTTAAGACTGACACAGTCACACTGACACACTCGACCATATCGAATCTTATTTTATTCTGCTTCAAGAATCTAACACGTACGTTAACCAGTACCACCTCTCTCATTGAAGAGAACCTCCTTTGGCGTCTTCTTTTTCGTCACTTTCTTCTTTTACTTTTTCTTTTTTTTTCGGTTTATCTATCACTTTCCAGCAGTAAATAATGGGTCATTATTCATTTATCATATGTCTAATCTCAAATCTAATACAATTAACTATGGTTATATTCAATATAGACATACAAAATTGTCCGTACCCTTTAACCCTCTTTTTTTATTTTGTCCTTTACCGTAAAAAATAATGGATGGTTATAAAATTTCCGCAATTAAAAAACTGATTTTTGGATCTTAAGTTCTTAACATACGATTTTGCATGTTAACTTAACATTTTTCAGATAGTCGACATTGGTTTCAACAAGTTCATAAGCAATATCCACTAGGTTACAAGCTATTTTTTGTTTTGTTTGTTACTTTGTTTTTAGTCACTATGTTATTTTACAAAGTTCGCACAAGTGTCTTCGTCGTTTTTTAATACCAGTTCGTCAAATCAGAGTAACTAGCACTTATATTTCGTTTTTTCTTTTATATTTGCGTTTTTCCTTATAATTTGTCAAATTAAGGTAACTGGCACTTAAAAAATTGATTAAGACCAGTAAAAAAATCAAAGTGATGGCACAACTAGTATAGCTATTTGAGTATGGGACTTGCTCCATATACTTGGTGAGATAAAAACAATTGCAAACATTATGATGTTTCTTCATTGACTTTTTTCCCCTTAAATGATGTAATTTGTTTGAAGTTTACTTTGTTGTAAATGCAAAGACAAATATTATATGATGCGTTTGAAACTATCAAAACCTTAAGATCAACACAAAGTACTGAAAACTAGAAAGTTTAGGTTCACAATTCATTTTAACAACGTCCTGCTAATTTTCAAAAGAAATTTGATAAATTTCTTTTATGAGTGTAAGAATTAATATCGAGGAGAGAGACAACGAATAGCTAAAGATCGCTACAAGATTATTGAAACAGAGAGGAAACGAGAATGGTGAGAGCAATTATCAAGCTGATGCAAGCAGAGATCTCCGGCGATGTTGCTGCGGCCGTGATAATGATCGGTGGTCTAGGCTTGTTAGGAACGCATTCATTGCAAACCGGCGGCAACGGCGGTGGAAGCGGCAATGGGCAGTGAGTACACGGTGGTGGCGGTGAGGGAGGAGGAGGAGAAGGCGGCGGCGGACAAGGAGAAGGGGGCGGTGGAGAAGGTGGGGGCGGACAGAATATCTCTACCGGCGGTGGAGGTGGAGGAAGCGGCGGAGGACATAGAATTTCTTGTGGGGGCGGCGGTGGAGGTGAAGGCGAAGGAGGAGGTGGCTGATCACATGGATTCTCACATTCTAAGCACATAGCACATTCAACCTCTGGTCTCTCTGTTATCCTCAGTGCAACAGATTGTGATATCAAAAACAGAGTGAAGAAACAGAGAAACAACTCCATTTTCAAGATGAAGAGAGAAAATGCTGAAGTTCATCAAATGGTGGAAGAAGTAAGCTAAGCTCTCATGGCTTTTTAAAGAACTTGACTTTTCTGAAGAACCTTCAAAAGCTACAACTTTTGGAATCTGATACCATTTAAATTTTACAGCTTCGAATTGAAGAACCAAGCTCTTTTTTGGACCATATCATAACTGTCATCCACATTGGTCGAACAGATTCTCTTGATTTAGAGATTCTTGAGATTTGGTAATTAAAGAGTTCTTTGTTCACTTCCGTAAGAAACCAAAATGTCTCAGTAAAGCTAATTGAAAGAAGTTTTATTCAGACACTTATAACAATGATTGTGTCTTTAGTTTTAAAACCACTCGCCTCTCATCTCTCTTAAGACTCTAGAGTGAGGAAACGTTTCAGGATCGCCTCGTTCCGCGTTGCGTTTGAATATCATTGTTGCTTTCATCAAAGACTCTTCCGCCGTGTCTAGCTGCTCCGGCATCCATCCGATGACGTCTTTCCCAGCCGGGTACGCCGTTCCATCCGTGGCTTGCGTTATAGGTTTACGAGTATCGGCGAATTCAATCTCCGACAACGGAGAAGCTTTGTGGTGTTTGTAATACTCTTGGTCGGTCTCTGTCTCATCCTCTCTCCGCCTCTGCTCCTCCGCTTCTCCTTCGTTCCTCGGCCACGGTGAGCCGTCTAAACCGGCACAGCTTACGGAATCAAGCGACGGCGGTGAGGCGGTTGAGCTTTTTCGTCTCTGTTGGAAATGAGGTTCTGACGGGTGACCAACGGGAGTACTCTCTAGCTTATGTGCGGTGGCGCGTGGTGATTTTGGCGGTACAAGCGGTTGCTCTTCTAAACTCGGTCGTGGAGTATCGTCAACGATTTCTTCCGCCGCTGTCTTAGGGTTTGCAACATCATCCATACCCTGCAACACAAGCAATCACCAAAAGCTACTTATTGTTTGTGTTTTTTTTTCTTTTTTATTTTTGTTAAAAAAAAACATTATCACATCCGGATTAATTATTTTTAACATCGTCGACTACGTATTATAAACTGAATAGCTAATAAAATATGAGAAAATAAAAGAAATAGAAAATTTATATACTTCGGGGTCTGTGGGATAAATAGCTGGATCAGCTCCATCGTTACCGGAATGGATCTCCGGATCAGCAGTGCGGCCAGACGTTGAAGATCCAAACGCTAAACACCTTTGAGCAAGTGGTCGAACACGAGAACGCGACGCTGAGGCAAACGCGAATAATCGAGATTGCATCATCATCATATAGCTTTCTTCACAATTGTTTTCTGCGTTTTGTTCGCTGATTAGGAAAGTTTGTATTTTGTGGAGTAGCGATTACTTTTATAATTAGTCTGCGTTGACACGTCTCAGTGTCATGCCTCGTCGGTAGTGACGTGGCGGGCTTAGAATGACTAGAAAAGCTTAGAAGCTGCTCGGTGTCCCTAGATTTTCATTTACTTTATCCATATAGCAAATATAATTTTGATTTTTTTTTACATCTATTAAAACTTGCATTACAAACGTTTTACCCAACAACTAAATAAATATCTGATATTTAATTCTCAACATTAAAATCTGTCACGCATTAACACAGGCTATTATAGTGATGGTAATTTTAAAGTCGATTTTTAGCAGAAGAGCAACAAAAAAAAATCGACTAGATAATGACACTAAAATTTCCTGCCATAATTGCAAAACAAAAAATATCTAGTCTTTCAAAATTCTGACAAATGAAAGCGTAAACAAAGAAATTTAAAAAGAAAACTCTACAAAGCAAAGCAATATGTTTTAACCGAAGTTAAAACCACCGGTAGGAGCATTACTACCTTGGTTTCCGAATTGGAAACCGGAAGACGGATAAGTCAGAGGAGTACTCGCGGTGTCTATTTTCTCCTCCTCCTCGTCTTCTTCAGCCCAAAACGCCTCGAGGATTTTCACAGCTTTCTCGTAAATATCATTATTATCGTGACTCTGGAGATTCTCAATCTTGTCCAAACCTCCTGCCTCGTCAATCATCTTCGCATAGAGATTCTCGTTTCCTGTGTTGCCTAGACTCTCCTCGGCTTCACCAACTTTCAGAATGTTCTCCAGACCTTCCAAAGCCACTGTGACGATCCTTGGATCAGGACACGGCAGGAGATCACACAGCGGTTTGATGCAGCCTTGGCTCACCAGATACCTGCAAAGAATTGCAAAGTCAAATTACAAGAATCGTTTAAGAAAAAAAAAAAAAGACAGAGGATAAGCTTTGTTCTGCTTTTTTTTTTCTTACTTGATTTGGTCATGACTGCCACCAGAAGTTGCATTAGAAATTGCCCAAGCAGCTTCTTTTTTAATATCGAATTCACCGTTTTGAAGCAGGCTAATCAGAGGCGGAATAATGCCTGCTTGAATCACTTCCTGCACAACAAAAATTTCAGTGTTAAATACAAATGAGAAAGGGGACTTCTGGTTTTGATAAAGAAAGATCCAGGTTTTTGACATTGTTATTTGTTAATGTTAAGTAACTCACTTGAATTTGACTTGAGTTCCCAGCTGTAATGTTAGAGATAGTCCAGCAAGTTTCCTTCTTGATGCTCTTCTTGTATGTCTTTGTCAAAATGTTTAACAAAGCAGGAAGCGTTTGACTGCTAATAACCGCCTGTTATGGAGAAAACAGAGAATGATATACTAAGTAAACATCAAACCTATAAGAGATATTTTGTATATTTAACTATTTAAGGCAGACAAGTTAGGTATGGTATTAGTACCTGAGTCTGTAAATCATCTCCGGTGACAATATTACCAATGGTACGGAGAGCTGGAATCAGAACTGAGGGCGACGGATGACTAAGAAGACACATATGACAAGATCAGATTAAGATACATGTAAATCAAGAATTAAGTAATTGGTTGCTAGAAGATAGATACTTACTTTAAGAGCTGGACAAGGCGAGGGATGACACCAGAGTTGATAACAGTTTGAATTTTTTCATTTGTACCATCGGAGAGATATGAAAGAGCCCATGATGCATCTGTGAGAACTTCTTCATCATTTGAATGCAAAAGGCGCTCAAGAACTGGTAAAGCTGGTGTTGTCTGTTTAACAAATGCAATGAAACAGTCTCAGATCAACAAGCGGTTAAGAAAGAAGACTTGAAACATATCCAATTGGTTTATCTATAGCAAATAGTTATATTAAAGGAAACCTGCTCCAATGGTGGTTGCGGCTTCCCTCTACAGAAATTTGATAATGTCCATGTAGCATTCCTCAGCATGGAGAGTTTTGAGTGCTCATTGAATTGACCCAGAAGAGGCATCATGGCCTCACAACTTAGGACATGATCACGGCATCTTGGTGAGTCACCAGCCACATTTCCCAGTGCCCAGACAGCCTGTAATCAGGAGAAAGCAAAGTAGTCAGGATGGTAAAACAGTCCAAATTGTGTCATGAACAATTTGATCAAACAGTTTCTTTGCCAAAACAATATACAAAAGTCAATATCTAATCTGCTACCTGTTCCCGGACATCCTCACTGGTAGAACTGAGAAGCTGGACGAATGAAAGGACAGCACCACTATCAATAATGACCTTAGTGTCCTCAGATGTCCCTGAAGCGATATTAGTGAGCGCCCAAGCTGCCTCAAACTATAACAGAACAAGAAGAAAAACAGCAAAATCCAATCAGCAAATTAAGAAGAATAAAAAAACACTAAGCTAGGCATCTATATCGAAAAAGCAGGCTCACCTGAAGTTGGGTGAAGTCATCCCTGGAAAGAAATTGCACAATGCGGGGAACAACACCAGATTGAACAACTTCAGTGATTGGAGGACTTCGCTCTACAAAAACAAACCATAAGTAAAAACAATTGAACTCCACAACAAAAAACTGAACACCATATGAAGCAGAGATCTAGATATCACAAACCAATTGAAAGCAATTTTCTTAAGCCAGCAGTCGCCTCCAATTGTACGTCTCTATCCTCTGAATTTACTCCATTAACCATCTGTCGTAAATTCTCCAACTGCAATTGAAAGAACAAACCTTAAAATTATAACCTTTATGATTTCATATAGTATCTGATCTTTAAGCAATTCAGTTTCTAAAATTAGGGTTCACTATACCCCAAAATTAAGTACTCATGATATAATCAGATCTTAACTAATTCGCAATCAGATTCAAAACCCTAATCTAAAATCATCTGAATCAATCTCCCAATTTAAAAGCATCTGAATCGGTACCAAAACAAAAACAAGTAGTAGGACACGAAGAACATACTCTCGATTCCGTAGGAAGAGACGAGGAGAAACCTTGCCCTAGCTGTGAGGCCATGGAAGCAGTAAGACCTTCACGCCTCTTCTTCTGCAAGTTCTCCTCTCTCTTGTTCTTCCTAATCTCCACCATGTTGCCCTCCCGTCTCCGACGACCTTCATCGGCGTCAACAGATACCTTGTACATGTTCCTACGAACCTCGGTCTTCGCGCTCGGTCTGTAAGACATGGTAGCTGCTTAATCGAATCAACAGAAAACAGAGGATCCGAAGACAAATTCTGAAGGAATCAGTACAGGAGAACAACGAATCGATCGATTTAGCTTTTTGAATTTTGTCAGGAGACGAAGAAGTAGGAGAATAAGGGTTTTGAGAAAGTCTGATTTTTATACAATGTGGCGTCGGGACTTCAGGAGGCTACGGTTCAATGGCGGTAGAAAGACGATATTGGGCCTGGGCTTTAAGTATTAATAACGATATTGCCATTACTTTTGAATTTGAAATCGCAACGTCTACAAAAGATATCGCGGGATTTTTTATTAATAATACTGGGATTTATTGACCTGTCTTTTGACTTTAAAATTCGAAGAGGCTTTATTAAATAAAGAAGCCCAATAGCGGCCCAATTATTTTTCACTAGGCCGTATAAGTTATCGAAAGGGTGGGTGATTGACTAGTTAAAAAGATGTACGTAGGCAAAACTAGTTGCAGTATAATAAGTTACGTAACACCGAGTGAGAAATGATTTGGTTAACTGGTGATACTTTTAGTAGTTTACAAATGAACGAGAACCCAATTGAAAAGAAACTTGAAGTAGCAAACGTTGTACAAGTTAAAGAGAAAATTCCATTTTAAGATTAAGAGAATGTTTCAATGTCAAGCAATGCTCCTTCTTTATGCTCGTTTGGTATATTTCACCCATAACTCATTTTTACTTTTGTACACATATAAATATTTGTGGCCAGTGTTGCCTTCTCCATCTTCTTTTCCATATACATGAAAAAAGAAAAAGAAAGAAACTTCTTCTCTTGTTTTTCTACTACATACATAATCGAAGGCAGCAATGAAAACCGGAGATAACCGGGAATGGAAGCAGGAAAGTGATGATCGTGAGGAAAAGGTGGAGGAGAAATTGAATGATTCGAATGGGAAATATCAGTTTCGAAGAGTTATTGCCTATAGAGCATTGTCTGGTTAAGCCAATGGCCGTTGTTTTGGAAGTCGCAAGGTAAGAACCGGTAACGTCAAATCGGATGTTCCGAGCCGGCATAGTCGAGTTTCTTAAGCTCAAGAATATGAATAACGATTTTGTATTAAAAAATGTGGTTCATAGATGAGATCTTTATTTAGTGTTTGTCTCCTGTCTTAAATGATACAAATATATAACGAAAATAATGCTCTTATATATATTTTCTAAAGCATCATATACGCAATTTCATAACAAACATAAGCATCGATGGACAAGAACTTAATCACCTCTTCACCAAGAACTTCATTAGCCAAATCTACCGGACAAATCTTCCTATTTGGTTTCCACGACCCAAATCCCAATAAGTTATAAGCCATAGCCTTCAAGCTATACCTTGATCTCTCACTATAACTTAAATGAAAATTTACCTTCACCGTACCAAATCACGAACATCAACTTTCTTGACAACTCCAATTAACCAGCCGAGCTTGGTGACCGTTTCAGCAATACCTATTCCTACAAAAACATATCTCTCATCAAGAAACAGGTCACCAAAACATTCGCCGAGGTTGGTGTTTTGATCCATATGAATTAGTTGGAGTATGAGGCATTTGGTTTTGATGCAGAGTTGAAGAGTCGAGGTTTTGGCAACATCTTGAGGATTGGTCTTGGCGTTTAGAGAGATAATCACCGTTGGTTCCTCTTGGTAAGCTTCTCGTATGGCGAGGATCCAGTTTTTGGCTACCGATATTTCGTTTGTCACCGTTGTTTCTATTAGGTTTTCATGGAATGGAATAAAATGTGTAATCGTTACCATCACTCAATATGATATTTCACTGATTATGTATTCATCCATGTCCAATCGATATTTATAGATGGAAAAAAAAGAGTCAAAATTTTCGATTTTCGAAAAGAATCAAACTCAATGAATGGGTCAAATGTACCAATTTCCAATATGTAATATAATAAAACACACACAGAAAACAATATATTGAATGAGGCTTTGATTAATTGCAAACAAAATTTAATATCCCCCACAAACACATACATATACATATCATCTTCCTACTTTTTAATTAATCAATTGAGATACAATCACAAATTACAAGACAAAAATGAAATTATAGGAAGTTAATCAAATTATTATAATACCAAAAAACAAAATCGACCACGAAAAAAAAACCTGAAGACTGATCCCTTCGTCTGACCAAATTAATCAATCCATATTCTCACGTAAGCCCCATCTCCATGCATGATGATATGACGTAAATCATAATATATGATACGAACATATATATAACTAGATCATCATCAATTCATCATAATCCCTTTGGCTTTGCATCGATCAGTGTAATCCTGATTTTGCATCTTCATTTGCTCATAGAACCTCACGATGAACTCCTCAGCTTTCTCATCTATCATATCATCTCCTCCTTCCACATCACTATAATATTCATCTTCCTCGTCGATATCATCGTCGTAAGGATAGTCCAAGTCACGCAAGGACATGGCTGATCCGTACCCCGAGATTCCTGATGACGATGAAGAAGAAGCCGCCGTGAAAACCTCGGTAGCCTCCGTTAAACGCTCACCGGAATCACCAACATCATCAACACCAGCACCACCGTCTCCTCTTGTCTCCGTGGAAGGAAGAGGAGGAGCCGGAGGTAGAACAATCGTGTTAATGAAATTGGAAGACGGCATTATCGTGCTTTCTGAACGGACTCTACGTACGGTCTCGACAGCTCGACGCCAAAACCCGGTGTGGAAGGCCTTTCTCCTCCGGCGACGACGGAGCATGAACATGACGACGGAGAACATGTGCATCCCACGTGATACTTTTTTCTTCTTCATGGTCGTCTTGTTTATTTGCTCTATCTCTAATTGTATATCACCATCCTGTTTTTTTGTTAAAACTTTATCATCATTCTGATATTTTGTTTCCATTTGATCATCATTCTGATATTTTGTTTCCATGGACAAATAATATGAATCAAAATATCAGAAAGATGAAGAAAAAATTCAAAGAAAAATTTTTAAAAAGAAAAATCTTCTCCCTGGATGAACAGGGAGAGAGATTTTTTTTCTTTTTTCTAAGAAAGATTCTGAGGAGGGATTATGATTTGTGTACAAAGATCTCTATTTATGTGTTGTGTATATTATTGGGGGTGTAAATGTTAGTTTGAAATAAAGGGGTTAAATAAAAATATATCAAATTGTCTAGGGATTAAAGGAAGTAGGATGTTTATAACGTATAACTAGAAACAGCGCGCTTTTCTTGCCGTCGTTACGGGACAAATAAAATCAAGAAAAGGAAAGAACAGCCTAAAAATTTGACTAATCTTATAATTATTGCTGTAGTTAGCTTAATTAAAGGAGAAGAAAAAAAATGTGTGGTTCGAATTTGTAAAAATAATAATTTGGCAAAGCTTAGTCGAATAAAATTATATTGCACCGTAATTAAAAAAAAAAAAGATTAATTTCCTAAGGTTTTGTCTTAACTCTTAAATTGAACCCAGTGTACTGTTGTAGTATTTGTTTTGGCCTCAATAAAAATAAGTGGCATTTGTTTTTTAGCTATTGGTTTAACTTGAACAGCTACCAAAAACGTATAAAATTATCAGAGTAACTCATTTTGGTTGAGAAAGATATAACACGATTAGTGATGATAAAAAAGACAAAAAGTCCTTAAATGATTGAAAGATTGATTTAAAAGGAAGGAACCCCTTAAGTAACTTGCACGAAATAATTAAATCTTGCCACAAAACATGGTTCCAATGCTTTGCACTACGTTCCAACATGTTCGTTTTCCCCAAGTATATATATAAGTACACGTAAGAGATGCAATGTACATCGACCATATATATGTGGTTTCATTTTGTAAAATTGTTTCAGTCAATCAATATATATTTTTTATATCGACCCAAATTCAAAGCTTTGTTGGAGGCGGTGATCAGATTCAGAAATGTGAACAGTTCACCTAGACGTTTTAAAGTAGCCAATGAGGCAAAACAAAACCGGACTTAACTACAGTGAATCGAAATAGATTTTTTTTTGTTCCCCACGACACAATATTTGTTGTTAATAATGATGATTTTAACTAAAGGAAACAAATTAAAAGAAAAGTAGAGAAAACAAAATCTATGATAGGACACGGTTGCGTGGAAAAACGAATGAAACAACGAGACAGCCGTAGTAAGACATTATTCAACGGCTGCAGCGTAATTAACTAAACCTTCTCTCTTTTAATTAAGCCTATTATTATACAATTGTCTCTCTGATTATTATTTCAACAATTATTATCTGGATTACAACGAAGGTTCCATTGTACGTACGTAAATCTCTATTATACTTAGCTTGTACCATTATTATTACTAATCAATTCCAATCGTCTAACTTTTTGTTCATTAATAATGGGTTGAGCTTAATTATTAAGTATTGACCAGATCATAGTTTACCCACATACAAACACACACACACACACACAAATTATACAAAAATAGTGTTGGGCGACGAAAGTTGTTTTCTTTGTGCGTTGAAGTTTGCAAGATTCATACGATTTTTGTTCTCATGTGATTTCTTAATTGTATCCTGTAATCTTTTAATTACAAAAATATTAAGTTTTGACTAATTTTAAGACGGTGGTAATTAGTATAACATTAACATATTAATGGATATTTATATTTGAGATATTAAGAAAGGCACATGGTCTGGAAAAATATAAGACCTTGTTCGAAATTTTGTGGAATTTATTATATATATATGTCTCCTAAAATGTGTCTACGCGTCGAAATCATAACCAGAACAAATAGAGTACAATTAGAAGAGTAGGTTTAAAAAAAAAAGGATTTTTATTAGTATTATTTATTTATTATTAAATTTCTGCAGAAAACTGGTTGAAACTAATTGAATCTTCTCTCTATATAGTACCCTAAAATTTGAAATCAGTTTGAGAAAGAAAAAAAAAACAGATTTTTTTGGAAACAAAATTGATTCTACTTAATTCGTCTAATTTTCTTCTAACTTGAGTTGAGATATTCTTCAGTTATAATTTATTTTTATATTAGTGAGCGAAAAAAAAAAACTAAAAGGAAACAAATATAATGATACAAAAAGGAAAATGTAAATTAAGAAACAAGCAAAACGGCTACACAGCTCAGATATTGCCCGCGTACAGCCCACGTAAAATCCAGTTTAATATGAAAAAATTAACGTTTAATTTGATCCTTAAAACGAACTTATTTTATTGAATAACTTCTACATCAATCTCTCTCTCTCTCTCTCCGCGTCGACCAAACTACAAAAAAGCTGCTTGCTTCCTTCTGTATATATATATATATATATATACACACACACAAGTGTGTCCACAACCTCATTCATCACCACAATCACCTGAAGAGTTAACCAAAGCAGCAAACAAGAAACACTCAAAAATCAAGAACTTAAGTCAGATCTTGTAAAGAATTTGATAAAAAAGAATCCATGGGGGAATCAAAGAAGAAAAGCAGATCAATAGCAACACAGAGAGCTTGGAGTCTTGTGAGAATGGCTCTTCTATGGGGAAGAAAAGGTGGGATCTTCAAGAGATGGCACATGTTCGAGCTCCGTAACTTGTTCTCCAAGCATCTCAAAGCCCTAGCCCATCATAACAGCGTTAACAACGACCGTTATATCTCTCGTTACGGCGAGAAACAACTCTCTTTCGACGAGACGCCAATCTTTAACGTTAAGATGCATCGTCCGGCATCCATGAGGTTCCTCTTACCTTGCATTGCTCCTCCAGTTGATTTTGATTACGACTTCGAGTTGGACCGTCAAAATGATACCGATGATGCGAGATCATACGGCTACTACGATGATTCTTGCCATGAGAAATGTGATTCTGCTGCTTATAAGGATCATCAAGAGGAGGAGGAAGAAGAGAAGGGTGTTGATATGAGGGCAGAGGAATTCATCGCTAACTTCTACCAACAGATGAAGTTGCAGAGGCAAATCTCGTATTTGCAATACAAAGAACACAACGACCTTGTATGATGATGATCAAAAGTGTCTCAAGTTTATTCAATTATTTTGTGTTATCAATGTGTAACCCACAATTTTACAAATCAACTCACAATATATTTTTGGCCTACAAACAAAATAAAAATGATTGTCAATATTTCTTTCATAGGATTATTGTGTAATTTTTTTTCGCTAATAAGTTCATTTTGATCGAGAATTTGTGGATACACCTTTTCTATGCTCTTACTAGTCTTTTGCTAAGCTTTTTTCACAAAACCAACATAACATTGGGCTTCATGTTCGACTTCCACTTTTTTTTGGTTGACCTCAATTGCGTTTTAAGCAGCCTGAGACAGTTTCGTTATCCCAAGAGATCACCCACCATTCTTAGGTTTGATCATATTGGTAAAAACAAATGTAGCTAAATTTCAATTTTACTTGTGTTTTTTACAGTCTTGAGATTCAAAAACTAATCACTAAAAACTTGAACTTCAAAAGATCACCTACAAACAAGCTTACTTGTGAAAAAGAAAGATTAATCAACTAGCTCCTTTTCGTCAACATCAAAAGCTTTGCGTGCTTGTTTCAGCTCTTCTTGCATCGCCAACAGTTCTCTACACCGGTTCAGTTTTGGCAAATCCTGCATGCAACCGGGTCAAGGACACAATCATATGTAGAATACAAGACTATTATCTGTCTCAGTATCCCGTTGTATGCTTTAAAAAGACTTACCTTGCGGATTAGATACAAGAAGTCATCAACAAGTAGTCTTCCTCGCTTTGAACCAATTTCTTGAGCCTTATGTGTCTGACATATTAAGTATCACTTGTTAGCTTTTTCTAAATATATATCAACTTGTAATGTAAAGCATGAATCATCACGAAAAAAAAGCTCTGTACCAAATCTGTGACGTACTCCACAACAATGTCTTCTACAAGCGCCACAGTCTCTGGAAGCGGCTAGAGACAGAGGAAGTTTAAAGGGCTAGTTTCAGAACAGCATAGTTATATAATTCTACGCATCTACGAGTGATTCACTTATATGGAAGAACATAAAACAATTCTAAATGGTTCATATCGCCAAGATAAACTTACGTTTTGCTCATCGCCAAATCCATACATCATATGCTGCACTGAAAATCATATAAAAGCGAAACCCAATGTTACCAGAAACACAAAACGAAGAATACAAATAAGATTTAATCTGAGATCTAGCTAAAGAGTGTGCGGAAATCACTTTACATTCTTTCTGAAAGAGGGTTTTGCGCTTTTCCTGTGGCTGAGAAGTTCCCGCAGCTTTCGATTTAGAAGAGGACGCCGCCGTTGCTGGTGTGTTACCACTCATCTTCTTCTTCTTCCGATAATCAAACTCCAATCCCTGAGAACAATAGTAACAGGAAAATTAGTGACATCTCTCTACCCGAGAAGATTCAATTGAGTCGAATACTAACCCTAGAGTTCAGGGGAAAATTTCACGAAGCAATTCAAGAAATTCGGAGCCTAGATTCTAGATTTCTACCGGAATCAGAACAAGAGAGCTGCCGGAAAGTTGTATTCCGGTACCGTAAAACAGCCAACGGAGTGAAATCGAAAAAAGTTTCTTATCCCAAACATTATTTGTCAGAATGGATAAGGAATGAAAATTGAAAAGGTGTAAAGTGAGGCAGAGAGGTCACCGGAGATGGATCGACGGGAGTAGCTGCTTCGTTCGGCACTTGCAAAATCGGCGATGATAAAAGATAAAATCGGTGAAACGGGAGAGGAGTCTTCAGTGATATCTCTCTCTCTCGATGAACATATTACATTATTTATATACGGAGCACTCTTTTGCTATACAAAGTATTTGGGCTAAATAAAAAGGCCCATTCATATTATTAATCTAGCCCATAATCTGAATGAGAAATATTCCACTAGTTTGACTCGTCAACAAAATTGAATCGACGTCGTTGGTATAATAAATCCTCCAAACGAGGTCGAAGCGTCCCCCGTTTTTAAGATTGAAAACATAAACCCAACATTTCCTTTTTTTTTCGTATAACTAAATTAAGTATAATACTTTTTTTTTTATGTACTATGAAATATACGATTCCTTTTTTTTCCCCTCTCCAGTAATTTCCTTTTTCTATAAACGTTCTAATTTCCTTTTTGTTTTTAGAAAAGTAAAATTTCCTTTTGTTTAGAAAGTAAATTTCCTTTTTTCTTTTTCGGGGAAAAACATAAACACATCAATATGTTATAAATATACTTTCAACATCAATCTATTTGAGACGTTAACATACATTCTTCTTTGGAAAAAAAAACATTGAGCAAAGTAAAGGTTTAAGATTCTAGGGTTTCGTTCACTTTGGCTCTTTCTATTTCTATTTGAATTACAAACTGTACGATTGATGTTTCTTGCCTCTCATTCTGTATTTGCAGATCGCGGAGATGCTTTGAAGAATCAAAACTGATTCTATTTGTGATTGGTTTGTGTTGTTGCTTCTTCCTTCTCTCTCTAGGTGATGCATTCTTACACAAGAACGGTCAAATCCTATTATGGAGATTGGGTTGGGCTTTGTTTCCGGAGTCAGGAGAGGAGACGACGACGACGAATCTATGATATTAATCCCTAATTGTTACTCTTCTGGAGAGTACTGTGGTGAGACTTGTTTCTCCACTTAATTTTTGATTTCCTTATTTCTCCTTTGTTATGTTTGCTTAGAAAACGAGTTTTTGTCTTATTTACTAGGTTTTAACAAGAAGAGCAAAGAGTACAGGGTTTCCCCGCAGTTCCTGGAGCTAAACAAGTGAGCTTTTTCTTTCCTTTGTATTCTGATTTTATTACGGTGATTTTTGTATACTCATAGGAAGTGTTCCTGATGTAGGAGGAGGGGGGTAAAGGGCGCTTTTCACTGTCTCCATATCAATGAGAATGTTAAAGTAACTCTTGAATTTGGATTTGGTTTCTTTTGATCTATTTAGTTTGTTTCTAATGCTTAAATTTCCATACTTTCAGGGATGATGTTGAGGATGGTGAAGAAGAGTCATCTTCTTTTGGGGTGAGATTGTTAACAAGTTTTTTCTTCTTTATATCTTTTTTGTCTTGTTAACGAGTTTGGTCTAACTTTGTAGGTTTTAACTAGAAGAGCCAAGGATCGGTATTCGTGAAAAGGTTTTTGCCCTTAGTTCAAGGAGCTACAAGTGAGTTTTTTTTTCCGTTTGTATTCTGATTTAAATCCCAATTTTATAGCAATTTGATTTCGGTATTCTCATATGAAGTTTTCCTAATGCAGGAGAAGGGGGGTTAAGGATGCTTTTCACCGTCTCATTGTCATGTTGAAGTAAGTGAACTGGGATTTGGTTTCTTTTGATCTATTTAGTTTGTTTGTCTTCACGCTCCTAATGCTTAAATTTTCTTACTTTCAAGCTAGGATCATCTCCCTTGACGAGGCTGCATAATTACTGCTTGGTGATGCCCACAATACATCAATAATGCCAAGTAATTATCTTCATCTTGTGAATTTTAGACTTCTTCTTTCTTATGCTGCATATTCACTTGAAACTAATTGATCTGTGTTTGTTGCCACATTACTTTCTTTTCTGCAGCAAAAGAAAGGCGGCTTTATGATGTTACGAATGCCTTGTCATCTATGAATGAATCTCGTCGAGAAGGTAAGCCAAAACTTTTTTATAGCTGCAGCTTTTATGAACCATCTATATTATGTCTAACTATTTTCTTCTACCGTTACAGACTCAAGACTTAGATTCACACGATCTGTAAGTTATCTCAAAATTCTCACTGCTTTCTTTTCTTTATTTTGTGCTGTTATCAAGTTTATTCATCATTTTGGCTATTGTTTGATTCAGACTTGAAAATGAAAAATGGTTCTCTCTTCTAATTCTATATGTGCAGCAGATCGGAGATGGTTTGAAGAATGAAGAAGATTGAGATTGCTCAAGGTTTTCTTTCAGCACAATCCATTTGTGGAGATTGATATTTTGGTTTTGTTTGTTGCTGCTTCTCTAGATGGAGGGGATATATATGGTTTGCATTATTACAAATGATGATGCATTTTGATCATCATCACTTATTCCGTGTTTGCTTCAATGGGTGTTGATCCTTTTCACTGCTTGTAAATAAGTGTGTTAAAAATTACTAAGCTGTTATCACGTACCATCTTTTTTGTAAACATATTGACATTGTACAAACAATTTTGGTACGTAATAGAGGACCTGAGGTTGAGAAGGGGGAATCAATCTCAGCTTTGCCGTGCGAGTAAAGCTAACGCAACATTTTGACCTCTTATCTTCGGTGGGAAAGCCTTAGGCCGTCCACAACGTAACGTGTGTTCATTCCTTCTTTGGTGTCAGATCCAACACGAGCTGATCATAAACCAGCCACCAGCCAGTTTGTAAGATACCATAGTTAAGCTTAAGCACGAGACCTTTAACCCCACAAAACAACTTAAGATTCAGCATTCACCATCTTCTTTTATAGAAAACAGAGAAAGCTCAATTGGTTTCGAGAGTCACAATCAATAATTACCTGTAGTGATGTTCTTAACTGAACATATAAATCTCTGTAGAAGCTATATATGTTTTTGACATATATTATTTGAGATGTATATCATGATATTAACATTGTTGATCACAAGGAGAAAAACGAATAGGAAAGCTATACGTTTCGTGCAAAAGTAGTCGAGGACTTCATTTTTGGATTCGAGCTCGACGAAGAAGCAACCAACAAGACAAGACATTGGACATGCAAGCACTCAACAACAGTAAATGACAAAGCGTGTGAGCATCCCGATGACGCCACGTGTCCAATTGGATAGAACCCAAAATGTTGGAACACGTCACATGGATTTGTCCACCTATATATCCATTTACACCTTGCTCTTGCTAAGACTCTGACGTGGCATTCGTCCCCACGTGTATATTCTTTGAAACTTCCATTTTTAACTTTATAACTTGCAAATATATATGTTTCTGTCATTGGTTTATAATACAGTAAAAAATACGCTATAATTTTTAATTCAAATAATAACCTGATTTTTTTCTTTAAAAGATAGGTTAAAAACTTTAAATTATGGAAAGACTTAATTATGTCTCTCTAATTAAAATTAATTTGGAATTTTCTTAATCAGGTCGGCAAAATATTCTGAACCAACTCGACTACTCACTGCTTGATGGGTCCCGCGTGGGGTAACACGTGTTAACTGGATAACTCACGCGCATAACACGTACGCTTCACCTAAACGACGACGTTCCCAGTATTGTTGAGGAACTTTCATTTTATATCATTTCTTTCTTTAACTCTTTCTCCTCCAATTAAAAAATATCGCAAAAAGAGGTGTATTAGTCAAAAAAAAAAAAAAACAAATATCAGGGAAAGCAAAAAAAAAAAAAAAATGTCTACTTTTTGGTATTTAAAATAGAAAAACGAAAATATAGCATAAAAAGATCTCTCGCACACATAAGTTTCCTCCTCGGCGATCTGTTCGGCGGATTTTCAATTTTTTTTTTCTTCCTCCATTCTAAATTTTCTCTATTCTAAAATCTTTCTGTGGGTACAATTCACATTCTAAAGAAATCTTAAATATCGTTAATAATTTTTTAACTACTGAATAAAAGAGACGTTCCCAAATCAAAGGAACAGCAAAACAAAAAAACACGATGGACAGTTTGTGTTTGAATAGCGGTTTACACGGCGTACTTCCACCGATCACTGCGGTTGGAAGCGGTGGAGTTGTTGAAGTCCGAGCAACTGCGACCGCACCATCGCAAAAGAGAGGACCTTTTGGGTTCTCGTTCAAATACCCATTGACGCCGTTCTGGTCTCGCGGTGGTGGAGGAATTGCGTCGAAGAGGCGGAGCGGGTTGTGTTTAGACGACGCCGTTTTGGTTGATTCCGGCGATTCTAGGAAGCCGATCGCGGAGGAGACGGCGGTGGAAATGGAGACGGAGAGGCGAAATGGTAGCTGGGTTTTGAAGATCTTGGATGTACAATCTATGTGGAGAGAGAGAGAAGACCAAGAAGAAGGTGATGATGATGATGACGAAGGAGATGATGATGATGATAATGAGAAGAAGGTTGAATTAGATGACGACGTCGTATTATTTGAAGATGATGATGGATGCGATATTTGCTCGGTTTTGGAAGATGATGGTAACGAAGCAAACAAATCTCAGCTTGATAGAGAATCCTTCTCCAAATTGCTGAGGAGGGTTACGTTATCGGAGTCAAAACTCTATGCCCAGATGTCTTATTTGGGGAACTTGGCTTATTCAATTTCAAAAATCAAGGTTAGATTTTGATTTCACTGCATTAGCTTTGTTGAATCCAAAAAAAAAAAAAAAGGATTAGAATTTAGAAGAGAGAATCTGTAAAAGTTTGAGTTTGTGAATTTGGTTTTTACTGATGTATTCTCTTGGCATTTTCCTTTTGTAGCCTGCGAGTCTGTCAAAATATTACGGCCTTAGATTTATAACTTCATCAGCTGAGAAAACAGAATCAGCTTTAAAAGCTGCCAAGGGTGAAGTTTCTAGTGAGACTAAGCCAATTGAGGAAGCTGAAGAAGAAATAGAAGAGGGAGAGGAGAAGAACAAAGGTCGCAAGATTAGTGCTTCTGCTGCTTATGAGATTGTTGCATCAGCTGCTTCTTACCTTCACTCTCGTACCAACAGCATACTCCCTTTCAATTCTTCATCCAAATCTGAAAATTCGGACAACATCAATAAGAGTTTGGCAAATATGGAGTCATCGTCAGATGTTGCTTATTCTGTTACTTCTGTTGTTGCTGCTGAGGAAGAGGTGAAGCAAGCAGTTGCAGACGATCTGAAGTCAACGATTTCGTCTCCTTGTGACTGGTTTATATGTGATGATGATCAGAGTCACACTAGATTCGTTGTGATTCAGGTAAGAGAATAAGGAAAACTTCATTAAGCTGGTTCATTTTTTGAGATTTCGTTCTCTTAATGTGTTGATGGGAATTATGAAATTTTGCTCGTAGGGATCTGAATCTTTAGCTTCTTGGCAAGCGAACTTACTCTTTGAGCCTATTGAATTTGAGGTAAATTTTATTTCCTTACAGTCGCGACAATCTCGGAGACTATACTGTTTGATCTAAAACTTAAGGAACTTGTTTTTATTGATTAGGGACTTGGTGCGATTGTTCACAGAGGAATATATGAAGCTGCAAAAGGAATGTATGAACAAATGCTACCTGAAGTTAAAGCACATATCAAAACCCATGGGACCAGCGCTAAATTTCGTTTCACCGGGCATTCATTAGGCGGAAGCTTATCGCTTTTACTAAACCTCATGTTATTGGTTCGAGGTGAAGTACCTGCTTCTTCTTTACTCCCAGTTATAACATTTGGTGCGCCGTTTGTATTATGTGGAGGTGACAATCTTCTTAAAAAACTGGGATTGCCTAAAAGCCATGTTCAAGCTATTGTAATGCACCGTGATATTGTCCCGAGAGCTTTTTCTTGTAACTATCCTTACCATGTCGCCGAGCTTCTCAAAGCTGTTAATGGAAACTTCCGTAGCCATCCTTGTCTTAACAAACAGGTACGACAGCTACAATTCATCATATAGATTATGTTGGAAAAATCTTGTAGTTAAACGACAATTTGTTTTGCAGAGTATGTTGTATTCTCCGATGGGCGAGCTTCTGATACTTCAACCGGATGAGACATTCTCTCCTGGACACGAACTTCTCCCTCCTGGAAATGGTTTATATCTTCTAACTGGGGATTATGAATCTCCTGATAATGAAGAATCTGAGGAAAAGCAACGGCTAACAGCTGCGCAGACAGTTTTCTTGAACACGCCGCATCCTCTTGACATCCTCAGCGACAGAGCAGCTTATGGGTCAAGCGGAACAATCCAAAGAGACCACGACATGAACTCGTATCTGAAATCGGTTAGGAGTGTGATAAGGAAAGAAGTGAATCAGATAAGGAGGGAGAAAAGGGAGCACCGCAGGAGTCTCTGGTGGCCGATCCTGGTGGCTAGAGAGAGCGGGAGCTCAGGGATTGGGATGAGTAACGGACAAATGAACAGTCAGGATTTCTCGGGGATGATGAAGACAGGAAGAAAGTCGTTGCAGAGATTTAGCCGCCTAGTGGCGTCTCAACACATGCCTTTGATCGTTGTTCTGTTGTTTCCGGTAAAGTTGTTGTGCCTCGGAGCTTTCAACGTCTTTAGTTTCCGTTGAAAAGTTTCATTTTGGCGGGTCGGTTTGTTTCTTATACTGGTTCAGACCGAATTATGGTTTGACCGGTTTAGATCATTCTTTATTCATACATATATGTTATCATGTGTGTCTGTTTGTTTGTTGGGGAAGCCATTGGAGGCTTTTCCTGTTAGATACCATTGGTTTCACGCTTAAAGGTTGTTGAAAAAGGAACAAAAGGGACCAATATTTGTAATATAATTTTCTAAAAAGTGTGTCTTGTTGATTACAAGTGGCAAGTACCACCAGCTTGGTTACACTCTATTAGTCAACAATCATGTATTTAGAATTCACATTCATACTTGTGATTCGAAGGTTTCATTATTATCAAGCCGACATCAATTATTATCATCACAATACGAAGATATTTTGTGTTGAAAAGCTGTCTAATCTTAGACATGATTTGTAGAAAACTGATATTTTTTGTTTTGTTTTGTTTTGTTCTGATAGCAAAGAAATGAATTATATTTATATTTTGCTTAGATTTATTTAATTACGTATTACGAAAGGAGAAAACTAGTTGGGAGAGTTGTAAAGAAAGTGGCCCCAATGGGAGATTGATGTTTATCCAATCGAACAAGACACGTTGCAACCAATCCTCACGCACCCTATGTTATACTCTACGACCAATTGATATATTAGCTGGCGGTGCCTCTTAAGTCTTCATAACCCAACGCGCATGTCATCAACTTATGAAACCTGAAGCTTTGCAACTGTTACCAATACAATACAATACAATACAATACAATACAAAGGTACCACATAATTGCATTGTATGCATTCTTCAGTCGAGGCTTTGCAACTCTTAACTTCATTAACGTGTTTGTCCTTTCCATGTATTTGGTATATCTATTACTATATTAGATTTGAACATATTGATGAATCAATGTACTTTTTTTTGTAAATGTCATATCTGAATTATAGATATCGAACTAGATTCGTCCTTTTTTGCCAGTTTTCACATTGACTATTAAAGCTTTTTTCTTCTTTTTTACTTTTTCCTTTTCTTTTATAGTGTTTCCTTTATTCCACCTGAAAATATAGTTACGAGAGCTTTGACTTTTTCCTAACCACCAAATTAGGTGAAATCCAAATACATGTTGACTTTTTTACTTGGGTAGTTTCAAAACTTACGAACCTTTGTAAAATATGTTCACCTTTTTTTTGTCCTAACAAAATCGAGGTCTTGAACTTGAAGTAATGGTAATTTCGTTTTGAGGAAAAACAAAAACAAATTATGATTAATCAAGTCAATTTACGCGTATGACGATGGCAAATTCGTCTCGGTTTTGTTATAGTTAATGAGTCGGTTAATCATTTAGACATTCAATTACTCGATACGCTCATAACAAAGAGTTTATGCAATTTTTTAATGTTTCATTCTCACTACAATATGAATGTCAAAATCTAATAGGAATACATAGAGAGATACACATCTCTAAAATCCTACGACATACAACTAAACCGGAATAGGTTGTCTTAAACCGGCACGGGCTATCAAACTCCCAACCGCCGCCATATCTCTACAAAACACTCCTTTAACCACATTTATATTGTTGCTACTCTTCCTCACAACCGCCTTTGCTGCTTTATTACCATCAATCAGCGTTTCAGCCGATTGCTTTTCGATTGCCGCCGCTTCTACCATTTCTATGTCACTCATTACGGCGCGGTATCCCTTCTGGATCATTCTGTAGAGTAACAAAGTTGACAATCTAGCTCGGTTCTTAACCGAAGCTAATTCTTCTTCGTCGGTTATATCAAACCGGTCAATGAAGACCACTGTTCTCTCCGGTTTATGTCTTAGATTCAACAACACATAAGCCCGGTTCAGCTCCGATCTCGAGCACCCAAGTTCGACTCCCATCAAAGAGTAATAATCCACGTTACTGGTTTCTCGGTTCGTAATTTTCTCCTTCGTTTGTTTGAATTTAGAGGTCAATACACACAATTTCCCCGGGATCTCTCTGTACCGGACATTGTACCGTTTCCAAACCGGACTGGTTATATCCCGGTCACGTAAAATTGTATTGTAGAGAAGTTTCAAATGGTCTAGATCGTGAAGCGAGTCCGGGAAACACCGTATTGATCGGAACAAATCGGCTCTGGTTTCTAAGGCTTCGAGGCACGACGAATCTAAGGCTAGGGTTATGTTGCAATCGGCAATGGCATCTGCGATTCGTCCGGCGGATTTGTATGCTGAGGCACGACGGATTAAGCAGTCCGCGAGGAAGCTCTGCGGTGCGCCGCGACGGCTGTCTACGATCTTAGAGAAGTGGCGGATGGATTCAGAGTAGAGACCGGCGTCGAATGCCGCGATCGCCGCCGTGCGCCGACGGATGAGGAGTTTGGTTTGGGAGAGCAATTGCGATACGATCTCGGATTCGGTGATTGGTTGCGGATGAGATTCGGAGGTGAAAAGGACGAAGCTGTCGTCGGACCAGCTGATGCTTTCACGGCGGAGCTCTGCCGTGGCAAGGCGTTTACCGTTTTGGAGTAGGATCATTGCGTCTTCCATTAGACCTAGGTGGTAACAAGCTTGACCCAGAACCATGTATCTGCGACAGAGAAGAGAAGATCCGAATCATTCCGGGTCCGGATATGGTTTTATCCGGTTCGAAATAAATAAATAGTGTGAAAAATACCTCCATTGCCCTTTTACGTCGGGATTATTACGCAACCCTGTCATGACCTTCTTCTTCAAGCAGGAGTAAGAGAAACACTTAAACTCGTCGTGACCCGGTGAGTGATTCGGAGGAAGAAGCCTGAGAGAGGAGAGCTCCGATGAACCGGCGACGAGGAGGCTGCTAATATCTTCAATATCGGTTCCAAGAGTGGGGATGTAATCGTGAAGCAAATCAGCGACGTCTTTGAAGCGACGAAGGTAGAGAAGCGATCTTGCTTTGAGTTCAAGAGCGAGTTCGTGGCGAGGAGATAGGGAAAGCGCGGAGTTTAAGTGGCTAAGAGCTCCTACGACGTCGTTTGGATCCTGGCTCGTTAACAAGCTCTTCGCATTCTTCATGTACTTGTCTACTTTCTGAAGATAGATTATTGAAAACATTGAGAAACATATACAGTTTAGCGTACAATGAAAAACCAAAGATCTAAATTGGGGTTTATTGATAGAAAAAACAGAGTATTTGACCTTTCTATTGCGCATCCACCAAGGATGATGAATCGCCATTGCAGCAGTATTGTGGTTCTCGAATTCGTCAGAAAAAAAGCAATGAGAAGACAGTGAATGAGAGAGACAGATGGAAACTGTAAAGACGAGAGAGAGAGAGCTGAAATCATGTGAAAGTCAATTAAAAAAAAAGAATCGTCTTAAATACGAGATAGAAAGAGAGAGAGAGAGCTTCGATATAAAGAAAGCTACAACGACGGATTTGCCCCTTGTAAACTTAATCAGCTCAATCTGACTTTTGTCGAATGTATTGACCATGGAGTGATAACCATTTGGACACATTCAAAAAAATAAAAGGTAGGATTGACAAATTTCACACTATCGTAATGTTTATGAAGAAGAAAAAACCAAGTCTTGTTCTTGTCTCGAAAGCCAAAAGACTCGTGTTTTCTTCTATTTGTTTATTGCCACGCCGTAGAGACTAGCGTTACAAGTTTGTTGTTTGTTTGTTTTGTTTAAACTAATGTACACTTTGCTTTTGGATTTACCAAATGTCTATCAATGAATGCACATGTGTATGTTGACAAAATCACAAGGCAGTGAAAGGCTCAATGTGTATTTTACACATATGTTTAATTAGATTTCTTTCATCATACTCCAAGAAGATTTTAATGGCAAATCTTTAGACGTAAGTAGCAAAAGTGTTTGTATCATCACATTTTGTGTATGTATTAATGTACAAGTAGTCCACAGAATCTGCAATATACATAGATCTAAGTATTATTTGTGTACTACATACATAGCATGCATGCACATTAGGTTTAAATAAGAGTAATAAGAGGATTATTAAGAATTAAATAGAGACATATAGTATATTGTTCTCTCTTTTCACTAAGTTTCACACACATTTTTTTCACTATGTTACACATCCATAAACTAGTTAAAATTTTCTTCTAGTTTTGTTATTGTGTTTTAAATTTTTCAATATGCCAAAATTAAATAATTGTCCCACTTAATCCGAAAACAAATCTTTATTTGTAAGAAGATCAGAAGCCATACAATTCAATTTCAAATACATTTTTTGAATCATAAGCACCAGACTTTTTTTTTATCTTTTTTTTACCTTACAGACTAACCCTCACAACAATCAGTACGTGTTGCAACAATCCAATTTGTTTCATTAGAAACATTTAGATCTCTTAAAAATACTATTTTGGTAAGAACAATAAAAGAGAAAGGAAGAAAAAAACCAGAGTCAAGACTTGATGACTCCAAGAGTAGAAGCTTGAAGCGACACCGTATGACTCTCATCTCCAATATGAATCCCATGATCACCGATCGGAATCCTTCGGTTCCCGGCTCGGTCCACTACACTTAAATACTTACACACGTGTATATTCACTTGCACACGCTTTTTCTCCCCAACCGCCACGTGCACCCTCTCGAAAGCTACCAGCTGTTTTTTCGGTGCCCACTCTCCCCCCGGCGGAGCCGAGAACACAAGCATAGTGTGCGTCCCATCCCTAGACCCAACGTTGGTAACATCCACGTGGACTCCTAGAGAGAGACCGTTGCACCTAGCGTGCGTGACACGGACTGATTTCCCTGAGACGGTGCTGTTTCTACCACGAACTGCTATAGCGATTACTTTAGGGGCGTCGGCGATGCTGTGAGTAAAGCGCGTGTAACTCAAACCATGTCCGAACGGGTACACAACCGGGCCGTCGTAAAACCTATAAGTCCGACCCGGAATCTGCTTCGAGTGGACCGGTCGCATAGACATTTCCGTCATCGGTAAATTCGTTAAATAATCTTGCGGGTACCAAGTCATAGGAAGCTTCCCTCCGGGATTAGCACTGCCGAACAAAATATCGGCAATTGCGGTTCCTCCTTCCTGACCCGGATACCCGGCCCAAAGAATAGCTGAAATCCTCCGATCCTTTTCAGCGAAAGATATATCGATAGGCCCACCAGACATCAATACTAATATAACTGGGCCTTTAGAGGCCTTAGCAACTCTAGAGATAAGCTCTCGTTGTTTCCCGGGCAAAAGCAAACTGTTTCTGTCCTTGAACTCAGCTTCAATAGACTGATCCAAACCCATCACAAGAACCGTCGCATCAGCTCCACGAGCTGCTTCATCCGCGGCATTGAACAATCTATCGTCCATGCAATGCACGTCCGCACAACCCTTTTGGTGAATCGTTCGTGCATAACCGGTTATCCCTTGAACCGGACTGGTATATCCACAAGCAATCCCTGCGTAATTACCAATCATTGTGACTGTAGCGTCGGAATTAGGTCCGATAACGGCGATGGTTCGGTGGCGGTGCTGCGAGAGAGGTAGAGACGATCCCCTATTCTTGAGTAGGACGATTCCTTGATGAGCAGCTTCAAGAGCTAGTCCCTTGTGAACCGGTGTACACACGTGTGCCGGTCCAAGGTGTCCGTATGGTTTACCCACTATATCACCGTCGAACATGCCTAGTCTCATTTGGACTGTTAAGGTGTTGACTAAGGCATTGTCGACGTCTGACTCACGCAACAAATTTTTCTTCACCGCATCGACCGTATGGGCTCCAAGAAACGGCCCACAATCCAAATCCAAGCCTACAGACAATACACACGATTAGTTAGAAAAATCCGACTTAACACTATGTTTTGTTTACTTTAATATTTTTATCAAAAAGTGTAACATTAGTTAATACCAGCTTTGATGGAATCAGCGGCAGCTTCTTCAGGAGTACCAGTGTAATGTTGTGTGTCGTACAGAACACCAACAGAGTCACAATCAGACACGATGTATCTGTAGAAAAAAAAAAACAAATGAAATAAATGGTCAACGGTCTTCTATACTCCATTAATAGGAATGTTTATAGCTGACGTGGCGTGATCTTACCCGTTAAGACCCCATTGATTGCGTATGGTCTTCTTTAGCAGATTAGGATCAGCACACGTCGGAACGCCGTTAACTTGATTGTACGAACACATAATGCTCGCAACGTTGCCTTCTTTCACACACATGCGGAAGGGTACGTCGAACGTGTCCTCTATGTCTTGCTTGCTTACCTATCAAAACCAAAAAAAAAAAAACACATGAGAGAACAAATTAATAAAAAGGAAACTAAAGCGAGACAAGAAAATAATAACCTTGGCGTTGAAATGGAATCTATCGACGCCGTTCCAGTTATCAAGATCGTAAGCAGTGAAATGTTTGCAACAAGCAGCGACTTTTAACCGGCTACGGTCGTTTCCCTGTAAGCCTCTGACGTAGGCAGCAGCGTATTTACCGGCTACGACAGGATCTTCACCGGGAGTTTCCTGTCCACGTCCCCAGCGTGGATCACGCAATATGTTAACGTTTGGGCTCCAATAAGTAAGCCCACCAACACCACCGTTATACATGGCCCTGGCCTCATTTGACACAACCTGCGCATCCATCATCCCCCACACACGGCGTAATTTAGAGTCAATGATAAAATGCGCTCTGACTAATAAATAATGTTGCAAGTTGAGAGAGCATCCATCCATCATATGCAACTTGATGCCTCGTTTTTAGCAAAAAGCGTACGATCATTTTATTTCCTATTTTTTTTTGTTAGTGATTAAAATTAATCCTATTATCTTTTTTTTTTGTTAAACAATTAATCCTATTATCTTAGTGATAACGACATTAAAACATTTCTATATTAATTAGAATCAGATCTTTGTCATAAATTGGAGGCCAGAAAAACAAAACCAAAAGAAGAAGAATACTTAAAGCAAGTTACTTTGAATAAATTAGTTAATAGTATTATGAAAAAGTTACTTTAAATAGAGGTAAGCTAATGAGAGATTCGTGCGTACGTTGTTTGCATGAAGTACCGGACAAATGAGAACACGAGAACTGTCATATATATATATATCACTATTACGTAGTATGATAAAACTTACAAAATAATCGAATATTATTAACATTTCGAGAAAACAGAATACTTCGGTCCACTGAAAAAAATAATTCACATATTAATCTAAATATAATAATCAGATACATACAGCTATTTTACATTAATGTGAACTGTATATAACATTATTACTTACGTCATTTTCACAGATGAAATCGTTAATGTAATTTAGAAAGAGATGAAACTAAAAATATCTATCTTTTTTTTAGTGGATAAAAGAGAGAGAGAGAGAGGAAAAAAAGCTGACCCGTCCGATAGATTCCCACAAAGAGGCGTTGAAAGAAGCGACGGTGGTGATGACTTGAGGGAAGCTGGTGGCTGCAGGGTACACCCCACCGAACTTAGTACCGGGACCTACATTTGAAACGCCGTGTAAAGCCTCCGACCACCACTCGTACCCTTTGATTCCTAGCCGTGGTATCGCCGCCGCAGTGTTCCCTAACAAGCTCACTTTCTCGGCCAACGTCAGCCGTCCGATCAAATCTCTCACTCTCTCCGGTATCGGCACTGACATCTGGCAGAACCTCAGTGTAGCTGTTGCCGCGTCCTTTGTATCGCAAGCAAACGTTTCGCGGCAGTGAACGCGGACGCTGCTGCTGCTTATCAAGAAGAGGAGAACAGCGGCCAAGAACGCCATTTTGTGGAGAATCATTTTAATTTTCTCCTCTTCCTAAATATGTTTATGGGGTTTTTGATGGGAAGAGAGGAAAATGAAAATGAGATGAAAGGTTTTGTGAGAGTGAAGTTTGTGTGTTGTGTTTATTTATATAGAGAGGCAATGATAATGGTATGATAATGATAATGAGTAGCTCTCTCTTCGTGAAATTTTTTTTGTTACGCTAACAAGGATATATCATTATTTTACAATATAAATAAAATATGATTTCGAAACCAAACATATCTAGATCTAAAAGAAATGGTTATTATATAGTATTTTTAAAAAATAACAATATACATTTAATTTAAGAGGGGAAGAGAGGAAGACAAGTTGAGAGATTTGATGAGTGAACTAAACCTGCCATTTTGGATTTTGATATGTAAATGGTTAGAAAGTGTTGGAAGACAGTTGTCACAGTGTGGGTCCTTCGGTTTCTATTGTATACTTTTTCAATGTAAAACAGATTTTGATTCTAATATTAATCATATAGTTAGTAATTTACATAATTATGTATTTGAATGTTGGTTTTTTTTTTTTTTGTTTATCGTAACGAAAGAAAGAATTGTTGATTTATATCTGAAGCAATCTCCTCTTCATTTATTTTCTTTGTGTGTGCAAATGACTCCTACTTGCAGGTAAACGAATTAACTTGGCTTGTACGAGATGTCACACCCATTCTATTATATTCCTAAACGATCATTTCTTTTTACCCTAACATGTGGCTGGTGACGTGGAATTCCACAAATTATATTTTTTATACCGATATAGTAGAGATATGCGAATATCTTATTTATACGAATAGTAGTACTTTGTACTATATTATCGTTTGGGTAGAGTAAAGGCCTGTGGAACAATTTTTGTGGGTAATCAATTATATACAATGTTAGAATAAACGTAGCTCGAATCTTTTTCTGGTTGAGTATTAAAGTTTGTATCAATTAGTATATAGTATATATATATATATATATATGTTATATGCAGATAAATTTGATTTTCAGCAAAGTTTTATTTTGATTTAGTTTACCTTATAGCTAGATGCATTAATCCATTTATATTGGGTGTATTACCATGTTAATGTATATATATTATCATAATGAAAATATATATAACGCTTGATTGTTAGGTCATGTATTCGTGGGAACGTATATTTTAACATGATAGTAATATATTAAACGACGACCAAAATAAATTGGAAAACGAAACCGTGAAGATTGATAGGCAGGGAAACCGTGAGAATAGGAAAAGGATAATTTAAATTTTATTCGAGCGAGCGACTAAAAAGAAAGAGGTCACGAAGAAGAATGCAAAGTAATAATCTTTAAAAAGTTGAAATATGAGTATGGGCATGTGTGTCGGAAACAGACACCAACTTGTGCTCTTGTTACTTCAGTGTCTCAAATCTCACACCCCATTGGCTCATATCTTCGGTGTTCATTATGATACTCATACTAAACTATTATTAACCCAAATATTGGTTATTGCGACAGCCTTGGGAAACACCTAATCAAATCAGCTGTTAGACTTCGAAATATTTTTTTCTAAGAAACTGTAAAATAAAATGACAAAAAAAAAAAACTGTAAAATAAAAAATAAAAAAAATCTCACGTACTATAACTCAATTAGTACTATGTATAATTTCCAGGTTTAAGTTTATATGGGAGAAAATGAAAGTAGTCAGTAAATGGAATATATAAGGGTATCGATAAGACGAGTCCCGACCAATGTCATGCACAAAGTAGTAATCTTTAATTCTAACCCATCTGTTTTTGTGTCCCACCAATAATAACATAGGTCTCTTGTTTCTTTGTACTAGCTCTCATCTATAGAGCCATATCGTAGAATCGTAATCTCGATCGAACAATAATGTTCAGATATGTGACTCGTGGTGGTCTTCCCACCACCAAAACCTCACAACCATCGTCCATCTAATCAAATCCCTATCACACTTGCTTTATATTGAAATCAACATCAGAAAACATTCAAGAACGCAAAGTAGTGAGATCAAGAGAGAAAGGAGATTTTACAATGGTTGTTGAGAAAGTGACTATTCATGAAGCTGAGACAAGAGACGCTTATAGAGTTGCTTACGTGATCCATTTCTTGTTGGGTGCTGGTAGTTTAATACCATGGAACGCTTTGATCACAGCCGTTGATTACTTTGGCTACTTGTATCCTGACAAGCATGTAGAGAAGACTTTCACCGTGGCTTACATGAGTTGCTCGGTCCTTGTTCTGGTTTTCATGATGACTTGGAACACAAGGTTGAGCTTTAGAGTGAGGATGAACTTGGGGTTTTCAATGTTTATCATTTCCATGATGGTTTCGCCTACCATAGATTGGCTTTGGAAAGGTGAAAAGGGTGAGAATGTTTCTTACCTAATAATGGTCGGATCAGTCGTGCTATGTGGTTTAGCTGATGGATTGGTCGGAGGAAGTTTGATTGGTTCAGCTGGAAAGCTTCCGAGAGAGTACATGCAAGCAATTTTCGCCGGTACTGCCTCTTCAGGTAAACCTCTTTTTTATTACAATTTTTTGTAGGTGTAATAATTGTGCCATTCAATTGAACTAAGTTTCTTAGTTCGTCTCTGTTTTTGCTAGGTATCATCATCTCTGTCCTTAGGATTACGACTAAAGCTTCGTTACCACAGACACCGCAGGGGATGCGAACTAGTGCTCATTTATATTTCATAGTCAGCTCTACCATACTCTTATGCTGCTTTATTTGCTGTAACGTTCTCCACAAGTTACCAGTAATGCAACACCACCTCAAGTTTCGTCAGCCTTTGTGTTCTACTGTGGCAATATGGGTGGTTGGGAGGAAGATTAAGTGGCCAGCTTCGGGTATTCTAATAATCTACACTGTTACTTTATCTATATTTCCAGGATTTATAGCTGAGAATTTGAAGTCCCATCTACTACAAAGCTGGTACCCAATTTTGCTCATCACAGTGTACAACATATCGGATTTCGTAGGCAAGTCACTCACCGCACTCTACTTATGGCATAGTATAAAATCAGCTACATGGGCATGTATCGTCAGGCTTCTCTTTTATCCGCTCTTCTCGGCATGTCTACGTGGACCGCAATGGCTGAGAACAGAAGTGCCAGTTGTAGTTCTGACGTTCCTACTTGGGCTCACCAACGGTTACCTGACTAGCGTGCTCATGATCATGGCTCCCAAAACGGTTCATACATCGGAAGCAGAACTTGCAGCCGTTTTCATGGTTGTTTTTTTAGGATTAGGTCTTGTTTGTGGCTCGGTTCTTGGCTGGCTCTGGCTCATCTGATTTTTTTTTTAATTGTCTGCATCAAAATGTTTATTTTATCAAAAAAATGTCGAGCACATGACTCTCACGAACTTTTTGATATTTGACTACTTTGATATTTTGTGACCACAAAAAAGGAAAAAAAAAACGCAATACTTTGGTATATCACTTCGATTTAATATTAATAAAACATGAATTGTTTAAATGGGAGTAAAGTATAATAGTAGCTAATTTCTTGATTAAATTACAAAATATAAATCAAAGAGTAGTATAAAATACAAAGGTAGGGGAAAAAGGGAATCAAAAGTCCACTTGCGGTGTATCGTACCTTACCTTGTCTTCTGATTGGTAAAACTTTATTTTATTATTTGTCTCCGTGTGAAATGTTTTCTACTTTTACTTATAGTTTTTTTTTTTGGGTCCTGTATATAATTAAACATTACTAAATTATTTTGATCTTAAATATGTGTTAAATTAATTTCTTGAATTATACACTTATATGGTTTTTTTAAACCTTGATTAAGAATTGAATGTCGCAGTCAAATCATATTGCTTTATATGTGACTAATAAATAGTTTTGTCTTTATATGTGAAATATGTTTAAGAAATTTTTTTGTCTTCCGATGATATGGATAACAAGCGTATGTACGCCCATTGCTTTTGATCTAGAGATACCTTGCATAATAATTTAACCTCTTCAGAGTCACAATTATAAGCAAAAAAGGTGTATATATATTATATATTATGAAACGTTAAAAAAGAAAGAAAAAAAAACAAAATGAAATTTAAGGATTGTGTGATTTGGTTGATTGTGAAGAAAGCAAAGTGGTTGATTAGGAGGAAGAGAGAGATGTCGTCTTTAACGGAAGTAATAATGAACTTTGGTCCTTTTTTGCTTGAGAATTGAGATATACACTTTTTCATAATGATAATAATGGAGGCGGGCAGTTAGTTATAACGTTATAACACATTCATTAATCATTATCCCATATCAGTATGATGTTGACATTAACAGATAATATCTTCGTTTTATGTAACAGAAAAAAGTGCTTTTAATCACTTCAACCAAGAAAAAATTGCTCTAACAACAACTATACCAAATCAACATTTCAACTTGTTTTGAAAACTTTAGAGTCTAATGATTTTTTTTTTTTTGGTTACCTTATTATTATAGTACAAAATTGCTGTGAAAAAAGTAATCAAACTTAACCTTGCTCTTTTTTTTTTTTTGGATTTTTGAAATAAAGTAATAAGAAACTTTTTGTCCCATTTTGATAAGAATTCTTAAACTCAATAATTCAATCAAAAGTTCTGTTTTCGTTTTTTTTAATTAAAAAGGATAAAAGGAAAAAGATGACACGCAGAGAGAATGGGGCATTCAGCATTCTTATCCAAATTACTACACACACTTGCATCATCATCTACTGAGGGATAAGGGAATGAAATTGTCATTTCTTTTTGTTTCTTCTTCATCAATTTCTTTTTTTTTATGTATAAACAAAAAAAGAGCAGTGGACCAACCAACCAGGAAGCAAACATTATATGATATACCATTATAATCTCCTTTTTTTCCCATAATAGTTTTCCAAAATGTCTATTGAAAAACTATTCAATTTTTATGCATTGAATTGATACCAAAACATCAGCAATGGAACAACCAAACAAGTGTAAGTACGTACGTACGTATACACAATTCTTCTGTGTCATTTCATGTTTATCCTCTTCTAGGATATAATAATAATAATAAGTATGGGTTCATTAGTTAACAAGATACTGTATCTTCAACGGGAATGACAAAAACATTCGCTGGCTCTGCCATTCGTTATAAAACAGACTTAGTAAAGCTCTTTGATGGTGAGTCCATTTCACGGCGTTGCTCCTCGAATTTCAAACACAACAACAACAAAATGTTTAGGAGGAAGAAGAAGATTCTGAGATCTTTCTTTTTCTTTTTTTTTTTTGGTTTGGTTCACTGATTTCTGAGATCTATTAATCGATAAAATTGAAACCCTATTAGTCTGTTACTGTATATCACCAAATCAAATCATCTCATTTAATATTGTATAAAATAAATGGTGGGAGATCTTCTTCTATAACTGTCGTTGCTTTTATGGGGATTGTTCCACTTTAAAACTAATAAAAGAACACCACATAACATTTAACGTGTTGTCTTAATCTCATTGTGAGGCTTTTATATTATCCACTTCCTTAATTAAGTTCGTCTTATTTAGAACAACAATTAATCTGTTTGGATCTCAATACCTAGATAGTAAGCCCACTAAGAACCGGTCCGGGCCGGGCCGGGCCGAGCGTGAATTTAGATGTAAGATCGGATCTTTGCTCGTCATTACTTCCAGCGTAAGAAGAGTCTTTAACACTGTAACAGTATTTGTTTTTCTTATTAACCCAAAATTTTCACCTCTTTCGCCTAGACGACGACCATCACCTTTCTCGGTCACTTGCCTTGAGATCTGACTGGCAGCGAGCGATTCAATTTCTTCTCCAGTCTCTCTCTCTCTCGTCTCGGCTCGATCGTCTCAACTGGCCATTGGCGCTTTTCTTCTCGGCCGTGGATCTGATTCTGGCCTCGGGACTTTTTGTCGTGCCGCGATCTGTAGTCAAATATGGCAGCAGCCAACGCCCCCATTACGATGAAGGAGATCCTGACGGTGAGTTCTCTTTCCTCTTCCCAGAAATATATGTGTATCTCCTGGAATCGATCGTGGGTTTTGATCTATTTAGATATTCCCGTATTAGCTTTTACTCTCTCGTTTCTTCTGATATTCAAGCTCTGCTGAAACTAGTTGTTTGATTGATTCCAGCTTCCTGCTGTTATGAATTCTGATCGATCTTTGTTTTTACTGTCTTGTTTTTCTGGATTGCTGGTTTTGGGAATGCATGTTTCTGATCCGGTTTCTCTAGATATGTTCAGATCCCCGAATTTTATCTTCTTGTCTAGTGTGCAATGTGCTTATATACTCGGATCTCATTACTTTAGTATATGAACTATGTGATATAACGCTTCAATTTGATTTTTCCAGCTTCCGAGCGTCGGGATCAATCAGCAATTCATCACGTTTACTAATGTTACTATGGAGTCTGACAAGTACATCTGTGTACGAGAGACGGCACCCCAAAACAGTGTTGTAATCATAGATATGAATATGCCGATGCAGCCTCTAAGGAGGCCTATTACTGCAGACTCTGCTCTTATGAATCCAAACTCGAGAATCCTTGCCTTAAAAGGTATTTCATTGTTTCCTTTTATCGAAAAAAACTTGTGCGTCTTTGAACTACCATTGGTTCTTCGTCTTGTTAACAACATATGCTATCTATTTCGGATTGGATTCTTTTTACTTCCCTTGCTCTCAACTTTGTATTCATGCCTTCATACTGGATCATTTCTTAAGCCTATTTTCTTTAATTTTTATGTAGCCCAAGTTCCAGGAACTACTCAGGATCATCTACAGATATTTAATATCGAAGCAAAAGCAAAGTTGAAGTCGCATCAGATGCCTGAGCAGGTGAGTGTTGATGCAAAGATATTGTAACCCCCCATTATCTTTGCTGTTGCACTTCGTATGGCTCTCATTTTTTTGGAATACTAATCTTTCATGTTTTTACAGGTTGTCTTTTGGAAGTGGATTACACCAAATATGTTGGGGCTGGTCACACAGAGCTCCGTCTATCATTGGTCAATTGAAGGTTGCATATCTTCAATACACTGTCATTTTTTTCATATCATATGTCTGTGTTTCTAATTTTGTTTTGATGTTATTAGGTGATTCTGAGCCAGTTAAGATGTTTGATAGAACAGCAAATTTGGCCAACAATCAAATTATAAACTATAAGTGCTCTCCTAATGAGAAGTGGTTGGTTTTAATTGGAATTGCTCCTGGCTCTCCTGAGGTAGGTTTACTGTGCCTCATATTAGGTTGAATAAAGACATCAAAAGTAGTAAATTCTTGACTGATCTCGTCATTATTATCTATCTTCTGTAGAGACAACAATTAGTAAAAGGAAATATGCAGCTTTTCTCTGTGGATCAACAGCGGAGCCAGGCCCTCGAGGCACATGCTGCGTCATTTGCACAGTTTAAGGTAACTAATTGGTTCTTTGGTGAGTTCATTCTATGGTCTAATCTTGAACTCTAGATTGACTTAGAACATTATTATTATTAGGTTCCTGGGAATGAGAATCCTTCTATTCTTATATCATTTGCAAGCAAGAGCTTTAATGCTGGACAAATAACATCAAAGTTGCATGTCATTGAGCTTGGTGCCCAACCTGGTTAGCTTCCTTGTTGCAAAACTATATTTTTCGTTTTATTAATGTATTTGGTATTCATCTGATCTCTTAAGGCTGGCGATTTTATTTCAGGAAAGCCATCTTTTACAAAAAAGCAAGCAGATCTCTTTTTTCCCCCTGATTTTGCGGATGATTTTCCTGTTGCCATGCAGGTTTGTTGTTGCATTAGAATACCAGTTATATATATATATTCGTTAAGTTGCCAGGGAAAATTTCTGGGCACTAATTTCTACTTTTCCTGACAGGTCTCTCACAAATTTAACTTGATATATGTTATCACCAAGCTTGGCCTGTTGTTTGTATACGATCTAGAGACTGCTTCTGCTATCTACAGAAACCGGATTAGTCCTGACCCAATTTTCTTGACTTCTGAAGCTTCCTCAGTTGGGGGTTTCTATGCCATTAATAGGCGAGGACAAGTTCTTTTGGCTACAGTAAACGAGGCTACCATTATACCTTTTATTAGTGGCCAAGTATGTTAATCTGTTACCGTTTTCCCTTTATAAGCTACCCATGATATCATGCCACTCTAAGAAATCTGTGCTTTTGTATCGCAGTTGAACAATTTGGAGCTTGCTGTCAATCTTGCTAAAAGAGGAAACCTCCCAGGTGCAGAAAATCTGGTATGCAAGTCTTTATCTTGGATCTGTTGTCTTGGTTAAGTAATTATAGTTGAAAAATGGCAGCTTGAAGAAAAGAATGTAATTTGGTAATGTGAAGTTTCTCATATTCTGTTTGGATGTTGTAGGTTGTCCAGCGGTTCCAAGAGTTGTT